TGCTGAGTGAGGGAAAGTTTTTCTCTTGTGCTCTTGCAGAAAATAGAAAATGGAGCTGAATGGCTTCACTTGAAGTCATAGTTGGATTGCTCTATTCAAAAAAGAAACAAAATTGTTGCGAGGAAGATCACAAGATGCGTTTCTTTCTGGTATAATATCGATCAAGATGAGATTGCACTATGAGAATAAACATTCTGGTTAGAATATCCGCTGAACTAATGCCTATCTATGCAAAGAAGAAGTATTCAACACTAAACAACCAAGATACAGGGTTAGCACCAGGGTAATGCGGAAAGGTTTATTTGTAACTTTTTTATCATTTGGTATAAAATGATGATTGGCCCATCAAAATGCTCGAAGTATGATACATTTAATGATACTCAAGCTCAAAATGGCCTCCTTCTGCAGCGATGACGGCCGTAAGCCGTTTTTGAAACCTAGCGATTGCGCGAGTAGTAGTAGAAATACACAAGATAGGACATACACAATATCGGACAATTTATTGAAAATAGATCGATATTATTAAATCATTTAATTTTCATTGGTTCGATTTTTGATTATTGTGACGACATTGTGTCAGACACAGCTGTTCCGCTGCACGAACTCATTCGCATCTCTTTTTGCACTCCTCAAAACTTTGATTTACCCTTACTTTGACCTCCAAAGTGAGAAAGCATGAATAAAAGTGTTTTTCTGACCGTCTAAAGGTCCAATAGCATTCTCTCGGCTGCCTCATTCATTTGTATATAAATCATAACTTTTTCACATAAATCACATAATAAATCACTTAATTCTTCATCTTTAACCTGCTCACTTATTACTAACAAGTAAGTCTACCTCTGGCGGAATCAGTTCAACCAAATCAGCCCCTGGTCCTGTTCACAGTTACAATTATATTTCAGCATATTCATTAAATTTTTAAGTTAAAATTTGCGTGAAAATCCGATTAGATTTTCACACTCTTTTGACAATAACAATAACTCTTAACTTTATTATCTTTGAATGACCTATGTCATCCACACTCAAAACCAAATTGGACAGGGCGGGTGGGTGAAAGGTATAAAAGGAAGTAAGGATGGAAGGAGACCTAAGAACGTACGGATGAACGAAATGTATCTTATTTCATAGTTATAGTCCAACATAATTAACATTAACTTCAGAATTCACACCCCCTTAACGTTTACATTGGATTAATCTTTACAATAAATAGTACAATTATTCATTAGTTAATATTGGTTTGTTAAACTAATCATCATCAACTAATCAACATTAACTAATTAACACCAACTAATCAACACCAGTAAAAGCAACGCAAATTAAAATAAGTTGATTCCTTAATAATCATTATTCACTTTAATTGTTGACTATTAGATGAACAACTTAACTGGACTCAATAATATTCAATTTTATCAATGTTAACCTGGAATCTTAATTGTATTACAGTCACCATTGAGAAACTGCACCTCTCTAGAAATAGCTTATTCGTCGAGCAGCGTAATTCATGATTTTCAATCTTCCTTAATAGATCAAAGGACAATGCCCAAAAACTTTGATTTTACCGTTAAGAGTTGGGACTTAGTGAGTTTTCAGGGGTATAAAAACTGAGAAATTAAATTGACCGCTTTCTGTAACCACTTGAGTTAGAGATCTTAAACTTATTTTTACCGGCAAAACTCATGGATGAACATGTTGAGTCAGCCACTTTTCGAATTTAACGGCAAATCGAAGTGATCTGTTTTTGATCTGCTGGTCCTCTGCTGGTATTTTAAAATAATTTTACAGAAAAAGGAAGTACGAGGGTTCTTAAGACATTATTTTCAATTAATTTTTGTATTTGAATCTTTTTTAACAAAATGACTGATTTAACAAAAATTGAAAAGGCATTTCTCATCAAATCTTAATACAACGAGGTAGCAGTGCTGGTGCAGCGCTCGAAACATTTCGTAGTAGATACAAAAATGTGAAGACGCCATCGCGATGGGCTTTCAGAAGGTAAAAACTTTCTTTTTTTATGTCTTTTAATTTTTTCTTCATTATTTTCTTTGCATTTTAGGTCAATTGATAAGTTTGAAGAAAAAGGGACCCTACTAAAGATAAAAAGTAGTGGGTCTTGCGTGTAGAAAACCTAAGCCTCAATTTAAACAAACCAATAGTGAACCAGCAATCCCATCTTATGTTGAACCAATAAATGAACAACAAAGATTTTCTAGAATAACATTGAACAAACAAAATAAGAATTTAAATCAGAGTAATAACTAGGAATAATGAATGTAAAGAACAAGTAAATTCTAAAAGAAGTATCGATTATAGTAGTGAGAAAAAGCGCGGTATAGCGCAATTTTCCACTGCGACCATTTTCAACCAATTTACCATTCAAATCGAAATTTAAATTTGTTCCAGATGAACTTGAAGATGGAGAATTCGAGTTAGTTGGGAATAATGCTGAAGATAATGTTTTTGAGCCAAATCATTCTTCCAATAAATGTAATGTAAAACGAAAATGTATGTGTGGAATAATTATTAATATTTCATTTGTATAGAATTGTTTTGGCTTTATATTCGTTGTGATTTAAAATAAATATATATTATATAATATTAACAGATGTTTGTGGATATAAAAATGAAAAAATACCTTTATTCAATATTGTATAATATTGCGATAAAAATTTATGATAAAAAAAATTAAAAGGAAAAAGAAAGGGAAAAAGAAAGGGAAAAGAAAGAGAAAAAGAACGCACGCAGTGGACAATTGCGATATACCGTACGCTTTCTTACTACTATGATGAATGGGGTAGTGATGCTTATTGTAAAGCAAAGCTTAATGATGATATTGAGAAAGCAAAATTCTTATCAAATTATTTCAACAAAAAATGAAAACTTATTCATTACTATTAACAAAGCGAAAGGTCAAATAATTCAGTTTTAATGAACGACGAAGCAATGTTGAATCAAATACCAAGAATATTATAGTAGTAAACCAAATTATAGTGCCAAAACAAATTAACCAGTCAATTGAACCAGAAAAAAACATGTATTTACAATCGAGTTGAATAACTATCATCCTGTTGGAAGCAGAGTCGAACAAAAAAGACAGTAAATGTAGATCAAAAAGGTAGCTTGGAAATACAGGCAACGAAATGCAGAAAAAGTGTTGAACTGTTGGTTTTGCCCATTTGATGATTAATGTAAAAGATCATAGATATTTATTACCACGAATCGTTGATATCACTTCCTAGAATAATTGTCGATCCATGCAGGCTCAATAGTGCTAAAATAGATTGTATTGTCATTTTTGGTAGTATATTTTAAGCTAGCATTATTCGCCATTACTTGATGCAACTTAGAGCATGTTCTTATATACAATTGATTATCATAGAATTGAGATGATGATGAAGAAAATTTCAATTAATTGTACACCAATACGACTTTATCATGATTACCGAGGATATATTTATCCAGCGAATGAGTTATTTGTGGTTTGTTAAAGATATAATGAAATAAATCAAAGACTGGCCATTGAATGTCAAAATTAATGTTAACACCGTAAAAGAGGTCCAGGAAAAAGATGCGATCAAAAAATCTCACAGTCAAATGCAACTATGCAATCACATCGAGGAACCAAGGCCGACACCTTCCAAATATGTCGGAGGAAACTTTCGTTTTTTCTGCCACCCAAGCACCCGTAAATAGGTACTAGTGTGACCTTAGGGGGCATCTGTAAGGCGAAGGCACCTCAACTTTCCCTCTCCTGTAACCGCTCACGTTTTTGTCTTAAAATGATGTAAATTAAATAAGTTATTTCCTTTTCCCTTTTTTGTAGCATAAAAAAGAAAGTAAAAGAAGAAAAATGCCTTTTAATCTCTAGATGTCTTGAATCATTTTTGCCCTTAAATTCTTGAGTTATAGTTAATACTGATTGTCGAACATTTCCAATCAGCTCAACCATACCTACATCTTTCCTTCCACAGTCTATCTTATATTGTATTTCATGTTAATGCGAGTTCATCAATAAAATTCAATTCAATCTAACTTGTCGGGTAAACATCGTTTATTATTATGATTATTATTTGTATATCGCCCATTATTTGCATAATTGCACCTTGCAAATCGTAGGTTATTGTCAAATGCATGTAACAAAAATATAAGGTAAAATACAAATTATTATTTATGTTGAATTATTAATGTCATTTATCTGTTTTTGCTCAACTTCAGTTTTCGAAATTTGCGCTATTATGATCCAAATTGTGAATTTTTTCAATTTAAGATGTGATTCTCAATATACTTGTTACTAATTCTGTCAATTACCAAAATTTAGGGTCCGGCGGAATTGATAATCAACTGCAATGTTTACCTCCTTTCACTTCTCTCTTCCTGTTTCATTTCCTTCCATGTTCGCTGTTGATTTTTTTATTTGTTCTGGTTGTTTGCATTGGACGCGGAAGCAAAAATCGGTATTGGAACACTCTTATAAGGCATCTCTTTTAGCTTTTATTAATTCTTACTTATCGAAATTATGTGAATATGAAAATATCATTCAAATAGATAATCGAAAATTACTTTACGGTTCGAAATTACCTCCATTTAGCCAATGTAATCTTTCCGAAATATCAAATCAATTAAAGGTGATTTAATTCTAATTTTAATAGAGTTTCTTTCTCAAATTGAGATTTTCAAGTAAATGAATCAGCGCAAAGCAAGTTTTTCTGAATCTTAATTCCATCAATAGATTATTTACACATGAAAATATAATACGTAGCTACAAAATTGCACTCTCAATCTCTATCATTCTGTTTTCTGCCATATCTCAAAAACTAAACATGAGAATATGGCAGAGAAAAATGGTTCTAATTTTGCAATTATCACACTACAAAAAATTAGTTTAGATAAATGTCGAGAGAAGACCATTTCTCATATCCTCCTTTAAGGTACATTTGCTTTCGATTGTCCTCAAATCACAAATCAGGAAAAGCTTCGAGAGCTTCCAATACAATTAATGAATCTTTTAATTTTTTTAAGTTAGATTTATTTGTAGAAGCTTGGAAGTTTGAAATCACAGAGACATTGGCTTCAACAAGATCGCTTTGGGTTCGTTTTTGAATTAAAGGGCATAAAACTGAAATTGGAAGAAATACTTCATTGATTACCAACTCTTAATTGGTTTTTACAATTAAATTTTAACTGAAATGCATTGCATTTACATTTAAAGAAAATTAATGAAACTAGATTAATTATACAATTTGAATTTTTACAATATTTGACAATTAAAATACACAAACTATGTTGAAATTGGAATAGTAGTGATGGTAAAAGTTCAACAACTTATCGTCGTTCTTCTTTGTACATGTTAAAAATTTATGTTTAAAAAACAAAAATAAAAATTGCATCCATCGATCTCATATGATCGTCACAACGAGTTGCTTCAAGTTATTTTATGACCTCTTCAGTGTTTCACTATCGGTGTTTTGCTGTTGATTGTTACACTAGAAGCTGAGACTGGTTGTTTCTTTGATTTGCTTTTGTTCTTCGATTTGTCAAACAATTCTTCGACATTTTCAAGTGACATTCCCCGTGTTTCAGGTAACTCGAAAAAGAAGAATATCCAACCAACAATGGCAAAGCCACAGTAAAGCCAGAAAGCTCCGTATTTTGTGATGGCCTTAGTCAAGGAAAGGAATGTCAATGAAACGAGTAGATTGAAAGCCCAATTGGCTGAAGTGGATATTGAATAGCAAGTACCACGAGCCCAGAATGGATAAATTTCAGCATTGATAGTCCATGGCATGGGACCCATTCCGGGTGCGAAAAAGAATAAGTAAAGACATAAACCCATTATTGTGAGCCAAGCATATTTAGATGGACACCAATCGTAAGCCCAAACTAATTTTTTTGGCACAATTGTTCCATTGGAACAAGTTCCATATTGAGATTTGCTTTCATCCCATTCTGATTGAGGCGTTCTTGCGGTCAAAAGACACGATCCATTCTCCCATGGAGGATAATCAGAGAAACAAAATCCACATTCAGGTCGTGCGATGCAGCTACGACATGATGTTTGAATTGAGCAAATGTCCATATCAGCAGAGAATGAAAATGGTAATGATGAATTTAAAGGTTCAGGGTGAATGGCGGGAGATTCACGTTCAGTCAATTGAAAGCCAGCGGCAAGAACGGCTAAACTAAGTATTACACCAGAAAGTGATCCAAGAGTTAGCTTACGTCGACCAGTTCTTTCAACCAGATAGAATCCAATAAATGTACAAAGGAAATTTACAGAAGCCACAGCAGCGGCTAACCAAATGGCCAATGTTTCTTCGTAAACACCGGACATTTGAATGATTGTCGCACTATAATACATAACAGTGTTGATTCCAGATAATTGAGCAACAGCTTGCAGTGCACATCCAACCAATAGAGCTCGTCTCAACGGTTGAGATGCAAATACTTTTGATAAAACACTAGCATTGTTAGTTTCAACATTTGACTCTTCTTCGGCAATGCAACTGTCTTTGATCATTTCATATTCCAGTTGAGCTGCTCTCTCGCAACTACGAATTCGGCATAAAATGGCTTTAGCTTGCTCGTCTTTGCCTTTCTTGACCAACCAACGAGGTGATTCAGGCATGAAGAAGAATCCAATGAATTGGAGAAACGCAGGAATACCGGCAATACCCAACATTAACCTAGAAAAATAGTAAATTCATAATTATTATTCTGTAGTTAATGATATCCATTTTTAAACTTTTATGAATTTTAAATTCGAAAAAAACTTTAATTCGTTTCAGCTGACGAAGATCAGAGTCATAAAACATCATTAAGATGAAGTCACAGCAAATGAAAACACAAAAGGAAAGTTGATTAACCTTCATGATTTGTAAAAACACTATCAATATCAAATTATTGATTGGAATCATTTGATGAAAACATTGAGCAAACAGGACTTCCTTATTAATGGTTGATAACAATTGAATTAAAAAGCAACAAAACTCGATTAATTGGAATGAGAGATAAAAATTTCATGAATGAGTTTCACGAGTTCTATGATTTATGAGCATGATGTATCAATTAAGATTAATGTCTCATGAAAACAAACTTTACAATTAATGTGTCAATAGTTGACATTCAGTTTCAATTCAATTTCAATGCCAATGAAAGTAAAATTGATTTCAACATAAATATTTAAATAACTCGCAATGGTTCATGAGAACAAAGCAAAAGGGCAAAATCAGTTGATTCATGCCATAATCACAGAAGAAATAAAAATGCAAATTAAGTGAGGAATCACGAGTCAGTTCAATAAGCAACGGAAAAATTAACATGAAAAGAGAAGAGGGTTTCATCAAAGCCAAATAATATTAATAACCAAATCATTAAATCAATAAATGAAGTTCGAACCATAGCGAGTTTGTGAAAGTTGAGTGTAATTTTTTAAAGGCAACTATTTAGCTTTTCAGATAATCGCCCGATAGATAGCTAAACGTACTGAAAGCTATTAATTGAGTTTCAAGGTGAACACAAATTCGAGCAAACATTTTAGCCTTGCTTACCTCCAAGCAAGATCATGATCTAAATAACTCAAGAAACCAGCAGTTACAGAAGCAATGAACTGTCCGCCGGTGATGAAGCAAGTGTTGATTGTGACGAGAGATCCACGAATGCTACTAGGAGCCACTTCAGCTACATACATGGGAATGACCATGGATGATAGTCCAATGCCAACACCGACGATTGCTCGGCCAATGAGCAAAGTCCACTTGCCCATTGCGATGGCCATAACTACTGAGCCTAGAGTAAATACAGTTGAAGCAAACAGAATGACTGGTCGACGGCCAAGACGATCAGTAAAGTATCCAACAATTGTACTAAATATCCAAGCAAATACTAGAGTTATGCTGATAATCAGCTCTTGCCAAATGTCGTTCAGATCCAACTGCTTTTTAATCAAAACCATGGCACCAGAAACAATACCAGTGTCATAGCCAAAGAGGAAACCACCGATGGCAGACAAAAATGACACTGTGTACACGAAAATGGGTTGACCTGATGGAGGTGACATTCTTACTCGCATTCACATTAAACTCGTACAAAGACACTTGAATTCATAACATATAAATGTTAAGGATTGAATCAAGTAATGTCAATGACTAAACTTGGTAGAAGCATAAAAATTGTACGTTGTAATTAATCTGAAAAATTCAACTATAAAAATGAGCACAGGTTACATTGAAGGATTCTGTTTGAATCTTCAGGTACATTAATCACAGTTATAAAACATGTAATTGATGCAAATAAAATGATTACACTAATTAGAGTGAACATTGAAATTTTGAATCTCGTGGAAGAATTGATCTTTTGCCAAACACTAAATACTGCACAATTGGAAACATTGGATTCTAATGCTTTAAATACTGTTTAGTCAATCAAAAGAATCCATAAGATGGGAAAACATACTAATTAAGAAAGCCTTGCTGATTGTTTAATAACCAGCAGAAGTCACTGTTGATTAGTTGAACAAGTTAGGTTCATGGGCAAGATTCAAAGAACTACAATTGAATTTGATTGAAGATGAAATACTTTATGAGCATAACATGTATTCAACAATGGCACAAGGATAATGACCGTTAATGAAAATAAAGTTGTCCATTAAAAGTTGAAGATGAATGGATTGAATTGGGTTGAATGAGATTGAGATTCATGAAAGGTTATGGGAATAAACCAAAAGAGCAAAATAATCCATGGAAAAATTGAAAAAATCAAATTACTCTAGTAAACAATTGAAATTACATTTTGACTCAACGTTTATTGACCCAGTTAAAGCAGATAAGCCAAATGTAAAGATTATTAATTGTTTCCAGAAAAATCTTAACCAATGTCACCAAAGTTTACGGAAAATTTTTGCAATTGTATCACTCAAAGATATAATACTTAACCAATCAGTAAATAACAATTTAACTCACTATCCTTCAAATAGACAAAAATTGTACCTCAAAAACATTTTATGGATAAATTATTTTCCAGTTTCAAATTTTCAGTCAAAATCATTAAAAGCAACTTTTGAATTTTCGAGATAAAATTAAATGAAATGCATATTTGGGCGACTTTTATGGACTTGGAATCGAAATTTTATATCAATGTTTTTCAAAAAAATTTTAAGCGATTATAATTACAAAGAATTTTAGCTTCGAAAAAGCACTTTTTTGTTTCTTTAGCTTTGGGTTTTGGAGCTACATATTTCATAGTTGCATTGAAAATGAACCTAATTGAGCCAATTGTTCAGAGACTCTCGATTTTGAACCGAAGTGATTCTGAAATTAGAAATTCGCTCAATCATTTTCCTCAGAGGAATTGAGTTTTGGTCTGAATGAATGATCACTTTGAAATTAAGATGATTGATTGAATTAAATCACATTGAAACTAGAATGGAAAGCTCCAAAGGCCATAAAAATAACAAGATAACATGATTTGAAATGACTGAAAATATTAACAGTGATTATCATTATTTCGGCTTAAGTTGAATAGTAAATAATTGAGTTATCTGAGCTACGAATTCAGTGTATCTTTTCATAGACTGAAGTCACTTTGGCTATCATTATTCATGCCATTAAAAGTTCATTTAGTAAAAAAAGAAACAAAAATTATCTAAAAAAGATTAACCCAAACGCAGTAAACCCAAAACATGAACAACACACTATTCAATGAAAAGTTTATGCTTTTATCAACTAATGGTTGTAGTTAACGCCATATAGTAGTTAACCCTTAATGGTAATTAAAACCAAGAATCAAGGTGGGAGAGCTTTAAATTACATGAAAAAAGTGATAATTTTTATGACGATTTGGATGTTTATGAAAATGTTTATCATGATGACAATAGTGAATAAAAAATGAAGTTTTGGAAAGACTCTTTTATCATATCAATAATCAACAAATACGTCAACAAAGTTGCTTTATGTGATAGTTATGAACACAATGAATGATAAGAACCTAATTTGTACCAGAAGATGTAATGATTGATTTTGGTTATGACAAGATGATAATCATGGTTATGAATACTTAATTAGGAATGGGAAAATAATAGAATTTCCTTAGAATTGATAAATAGAAATGATTGTTGATAAAAGCGACAAATTACTAGGCTTAACCATATTGGTTATAAAGTGAGACCTTAACTATTTGCTATTTGATACTCAGTTTGTGAATAATATTTGAATCTTGCTTACCTCCAAGCAAGATTGTGATCTAAATAACTGAGAAAACCAGCGATGACAGCCGCTATAAATTGACCGCCCGAGATTAAACATTGGTTCAGTATTGTAAGAGATCCACGTATTTCAGCTGGAGCCACTTCAGCGATATACATGGGGACAACCATGGATGCTAATCCAATGCCAACACCAACAATTGCTCGACCAATGAGCAAAGTCCATTTACCAACAGCAATGGCCATAACTACTGAGCCTAGAGTAAATACAGTTGAAGCAAACAGAATGACTGGTCGACGACCAAAGCGATCAGTAAAGTATCCAACAACGGAACTGAATATCCAAGCAAACACTAGAGTTATGCTTATGATCAACTCTTGCCAGAAGTCAGTCAAGTTGAATTGTTTCTTGATGAACACCATAGCACCAGAAACAATGCCAGTGTCATAGCCAAAGAGGAAACCACCGACGGCAGAAAGCAGTGACACTAAGTACACGAAAATAGGCGGACTGGATGAAGCTTTCATGTTTAATATGGACTACTGAACCATTCGAACAAGAAAACGGCAGTGAAAATTGAAAAAATTTAACCTAATAAGCTAGATGCAACTACTAAATACAAAAATATTAACTTCTGCAAGATTTGAAATGAGACATTAAAAGTAAAATTGAGTGAAGAGAAACGATTTAATATGAATTACCATGGATAAAATCATGAAATCGTGGATATCGTCATAAAATATCTAAATAATCAACTATTTCATGTAATTAGGCATATAAAAATAATAAAGACGAGTCCATCATTTGAGGTGCATTTGTATCTTCACATGGATTGGTACAGTTTAGCTTATAATATTTCGTCATTATTGATCATTGAAAGGTTAATGATTCCAAACAATAACAATAATTAAGATATTGGTGATCTATAATTATATCAGCATTATCATGATTCGATCAATCTTGAGATGATTCTCATGATAAAATAAAGTCTTGTTGATAAGAATTGACTGGGTCAGATAACTTGATATAAACAGTTAAACTGTGAAATAACCCAAATCAGTTGATTGATAGATTTTTTGATTTTATGAGTTGAGTTTTTTGAGTTGTATCATTTTACGTTAGCAGTACGTTGTCAATTTATTTTAAATAAAAGTCTTGAAAGTCATCATAACCATAAAGAAATGTGAAAAATCATTAACAGTGAATTTACTCGTCATTTACTGATTTAAATCATTATTGGATTATTGAATTATGATTGAATTGTGGTGATAAAAATGCAATTAAATCAAAAAGGTGTTAAATGGTTTCAAAAGCAGAACCATGTGAAAATGAAACTTAGAGATACTTTAACCGCCATTATTGAGTAACATTATAAAACAGTTAATCAGTGAATTGATCTTGAATTTAATATCATCAAGGATTCAGAGAGTCATATTGGATTTGCCTGAATGTAGTCAATTGAATGGAAATTTACTCTAGGAAGTTGAACTTAACAAAAATTTGACTGAAGCTGGAACAATGAATCGTTTAAATCAGTTTACAAATACGCTAAACAAATAGAATCATGGAAATATATTAATTTTAATATTGAATAGAAATTTCACGATTAAGGGCGTTTTTGAAATTAAATCACGCTAACTGATTACGATAGTAGCGATAATCAAAATTGTACCAGTTGGTAATTGTAATTATGACTTAATGTCATAATGACATGAAAATTGTATCTTTTTGAGATAATTATGCTAAATCAAGTTGATTCTTAATGAATTTTTCAAAAAATTTAACCAAAAATGAAAATTCAAAATCACTAGGAATGTTCAGTAGCATTTAATTTCATATTTATCTTTACTGGACTGAAATTACATCGTTGTGTCTTAATGTAGCAAAAGCATGCAATTATGTTTTAATAGCCATTTTCATAACCTGAGAAAAGAGGGAAAATGTCTAGACTTTGCTTAAAATAACGATATCAGAGGATAATTGGTAGTTGACGTTTCTCTGGGTCTATTGAATTCGTGAAAAGACCTCGAAAAGGGAATGGGATGGAAATGTTGGAAATTGATTTGCAAATTTATTCATGATGGCTACTGGAAACAAGGGCTTGGTCAAGAAGGTGAAGTTTATTTCATTGGCTTTAGCATGAAAAATAAACATTTAGATTTCAGCCTTTCACTTCACACTCATTAAGACCTAACGAATCACTAAGGTTAAATTTGAATGGATGAAGCTAATCACTAAGTAAACGAGTCATGCTACGTTTACTGAAGTGACATTGAATTGAGGAAACGGCGTTATTTGTCCACAAACAAAACAAAGTAAAGCTGTAACGAGTGAATGAAACTGTCTCGATAAGTAATCAGATTGATATCTGGTTTTTTTCACTTATTAACATAAATCCAGTTAAATCTTAAAAGGGTTAGACTTTCTCACAAGTTGTGCAACAAGTTCAACCAGATTGGTCAAAAGAAATTCTGGTTTCTTCTCAAGGCTAAATTATTATATCATCTAACTCATCGAATCAATGGAAACATCTTCATAGAATGGATTAATCGAAAAAATCCAACGACTAAAGAGCTATTTTTAGAAGTAAACAAACTGAAACATGAAAATAAAAAGCTGAATCTTACCTCCAAGCTAGGTCATGGTCAAAATAACTCAGAAAACCGGCGATTACAGAGGCAATGAATTGTCCACCAGTTATGAAACAATTATTTATCATCACAAGAGATCCACGGACTTGGTCAGGAGCCACTTCAGCAATATACATGGGAACTACCATGGATGCCAAACCAATGCCAATACCAACAATGGCTCGTCCAACGAGTAAAGCCCATTTTTCCATTGCAAATGCCATAACTACCGAACCTGCAGTGAATATAGCAGAAGCTAACAAAATAACTGGACGTCGACCATAACGATCAGTAAAAAAGCCAGCTATGGAACTAAATATCCAAGCCATACCAATGGTTATACTAACAATCAACTCTTGCCAAATGTCGTCCAGATCCAGCTGTTTTCTGATCAAGACCATGGCTCCAGAAACAATACCAGTGTCATAACCAAAGAGGAAACCTCCGATGGCAGACAGGAACGAAACTGTGTATATGAAAATGGGTTGACCTGATGACATGTTGAAAATGTTGGTCTAATTATATCTACCATTCGATTTTATCCAAAATCGCTTGAAAAGTAATGTAAACACAACGAAAGAGTGTAAACTGGTTAAGTGGAACCGTGCCTTTTGAAGAGGTTTATTCAATATTTAGCTGTTGCTATTGAAGGTTATAAACTTGATCACAAATGATTTACAAATCGATGTAAATAAAACACAATATGATAGGAGTGTTGGTGAAACAACATGAAAGTGAACTGTTAAAATACACGAGATGACAAAAAAAGCAATGTGTATTACAGGGAGCAAAAGAGGATAATGCAGAGAGAAGAGAAAGTGAAAAGATTTGCTATCTTTCTCTTTCTCCCCCTCACTCTCTCCGCCTCTCATTTTTGACAACAATTTTTTGCCACTCAAATCATCAAATGTATTTTTGTACTTGCAAATCTTTATCTTCATCATCTTCATTCCATAACAAATAAACATTTCCACTAAATTTTCAGGCATCAATAGGAATGGGATCGATCACTCGATCAAAATCGATCATTGAAGCTCTTGATCATGAGCGATCCAAATTTTAAATGCTCAAAGGCTAAAAAGCATGTTTTGAGCAAAATTTTAAAACTTACTGAAATTCATCTACTAATCAGAAAAATAAATTAAAAATTAGTGCTTTTTTGATGGATCAAAATTATGATCCTGCAACACTAGCAATATTAATCCTAAGACTTATCGGATTTCACTCTTTGCCAATCATATCGATCTGGTGATAATCTGTCAAATAAATCAGATCAATTTAAGTTTACAAACACCTTGTTAGTGATTTGACATTACTTTACATTACATGACACAACCTTTTTTCTGACATCTACCAATCAACTAACAATGATCAACCTGAAGTTAACCTGCAAGTTACATTATTGATTTTCGACAAAAAACACTGTTTCTGTTGCTATTAATCATCATCTAAGATACTTGATCTTTTCCGATTACTTTAAGAATAACTTGATTGTAAATTATAGCCGACTTTCAGATAATGAAGGGAATTTTTCCACTGAACCCAAAAATACTTGGTTCACTCAAATTTACTGTTGACTTAATTTGATCTCTGTTCAAAAAAACCCAATCAGTAAACTCACAATATTGATTTTGAAATCCTGATTTCCAACAATTTACAATATTTTACAACTAAACGAGATTCAAAATGACAAAATTGAACTTAGAAATAGTGCAATATTTCAAGAGTTAATCATTATCTCGAAGGTAACAATTCTTGGTAAATGCATTTAGCAACAAATTAATTAATTTTCCATTGATATGACTCTTTGAGTGGTCGAATATGGTATAAAATGATGTTTTCGAGATGATAATTAACTTTCGATGTCATTAATGAAAGTTAAAAAGTCCGATGCTCATCCTTGATGTAAAACAGCGAAGTCACCAACAAACTGTGCGATAAGGTTTGTAACTTCAATATCTCACTTTCATGAGTGTATTATGATAATTTAATTAAATTACAATTAATGACAACAGGGATTAATCATTTCATAATAGTCTATGCAGCATAAAACAGCATTAAATGTCTTCAGATTGTTCAATATATGATTCTGTGTGCTTCAAAGGTTTGGAAAACTGTGGTTAATGAATGCTTTTTACCATTTCCTCTCCTTCCAGTTGAAATCATTGACAAGAAAATCGGATTTGTTGAGTCGATTGATTTATCCGTTGGATTTGAATCGTGAGATAAGTCCATTGAATTATCAAATATTACTTTGGTCTCAATATGCTTATAATTTGAATAAAATCCATTCACATACTTCGATGTTTGCCAAAATCTTTTGTCTAATTTGTCAACTGCAATTGGACGTTTCATTGGTTTTTTATTACCTGTTAGATTAAAAGAAATGAAAGTTAATAATTTTTTTTACAATATTTAGCGTATATTTCAAGTAAACGCAGTTCAGATCATGATTACCTTCACAGATTCTTGGTAAAACATTAAAGATAGATAAAGCAGATAAACCAAACCAGAGTGAAAATGATCCACTAATATAAGTAAAATATTCAATGAAATTGATTGCAGGGGAATGGATGTAGCTAATAGCGTAGGAACGGGGTCGATTTACAAAGATGGATGACCTTAGCTGTGTTTTATTATCATGATTCGGGATGAAATCTTGGTTTTTGGTTGTGAAAGTAATGATGTAAGATGAACACTCCGGTTGGATACATGATTTAGAGCAAGCAGCAAAGGTCTTTAGAGGAAAGGCTCTTTCACGTCTTAAGCCAGATCCATGAGGGAAAAAAGATAGTGAAGTGTTCACAGGAGCTGGCACATCAAGAGGCCAAGTTCCTCTTTCACGTCTAAACATCGAACGTTCACATGAATGGACACAATAAGTTCTACCAAAGACACCGTATTCAATGTAATGGGAACAGTTGGTTTTATACGGACGAGGAAGAAGTTCAAAAATGATTACTGAATAGTCGATGGTGAATCGTCGATATCGATCAATATCCAATGAAGAGAAATCCTCTCGTTCAGTCCAAGGTAATGTTTTACCGGAATGCATGGCAAAAATGACAACAGCTGAACCATTGGAGGCAACATTGAACTCAATCAACTCACGACCATCCTCACTGTATTCCCGTAAAGGTGTTGATGTTGAGTTCCAAGTGAAATAGGTTGTACAGCGACGGATAACATTGTTACGAGCCCAGGATAAAGTTTCAATGGGCTTAGAGTAAATTGAACAAGGAATGTCAACACAAAATGAAGCTGAATCGAAAGAAGTTGATTGAAAGGATGAACTGGGTTTGACGAATCGGGAATCACGGGAACATTTGACTGTACAGTTGATGGACACTCTTCCAACAGTATGAGCATTACGATAAATTGAATGTATTGGGGTTTGCAAAAAGATGAGACGTAAATCATCTGGTGAATAGTTGTCCATGTTGTGATCAGGGTAAAATAGTTTAAAGGTTTCCTTGTCTTCCATGTCATAATCAAGGCAGATGGTGATTCCTGGCATATTATAATGGGTCATCTTGGAAACAATAATATTAACAACCGTATTATATTGAAGATAAATGTAATTAACCGAATAAACTTGCCATAAAAACCCAATAATTGTCACAAGATTGTAACAAATTTTGAACAACTCTAAACTCTTAGTTGTCTTAACCGCTTTGTCATCACCTGACACTCCATTGTTTTTAGCAATGTTAATAGCATTGAAACTCTCAACTGAAGCTTCCTCAATGGTTTCAAAGTATTTTTTTGAAGATAACATTGATATTAAGTGTTTAATTTGTTCAATCGAACCCCAAATTACTTTGAGAATCAACAATAACCAACCATTAATCTGTAAACACTAAGCATGTTAGCCCACAATGGCAACATAATTTCACTTTACATCTTTTCACCAACTACAAACACATAAGTATACGGTTCAACCTGTTTTGATTTGCATTTCACTATTTTATTTTATTTTGATTAACTTGTTAATGAGAGATAATTATGAAAGCCAATAAAACAGTTATCTTTAATGTTAGTTGTGCTTCCATGCATTTTAATATGAATCTCAACATGTCAACAAATCATGTATTTATCGATTGAAACGATTGAAAACATTATTATAAGATTTCCTTTCATTACCATTTCATGGGAAACTATCCACATTGTAATTATCGTCATAATGTTCACAGTTGAATCCTGAATTTTCAGATAATCAACAAGTTTAACATCAAAAATGATTGATCATTTGAATGGGACTTCATTGTTGAGTAAATGATGTTTATGAACTTTTTTTCAATCCCAATATAAAAGCGATTTGTTATTATTTCATTTTCTTTTGATTTGAACAGCTTGCTAAATTGTTTTATATTATTACCTTCTATATTACTAGATAATTTAAATCGATGAGAATTTGAAGTGAATCGATTAAAAATGCTCTGAACATTTCAGTATTTCAATTGTCCAACGATTAAGAGTTTTAATGATTATTTAAAGTATTACATTAATACTTACAAGTATTCAAGTCAAATTATCTATTAAGGTCCGATTTTGGACAAATAAAAATAACCAAAATTATGTTATGATCCTAATAGTTGCAGTTGATGGCAAACTGGATTAAACTTGCCATTCATTCAAAGTAACAATCAATTTTAAAATTTCGTTATTTTAACGATTTACAATTATTTCATTTTAAATCTTTACTTCAATTTACAATTAGATTTGTCTAATTATTTACAAAGACGAGTTGAACCTCAAAGGAATCAGCTCTGTTCTTAGCTTGTCAAGGGTCCATTAAAACGCACAACATCATCAGGTGATTGATTGAAGGATTTATAAGTTGGTGAGAGATTAGTGCTTATTGGCAAAATCATATTATTGGTTCGTGGCGGTGTTAACGTTATATTTGGAGGCCTTTTCTTGATCCTCTTTGGTGTGTTTGTACTGGTTTCATTGGTATTTCCCTGTTTTTTCATTAGTGTTTTCGGTGCTTTTTCTGGTACTTTTTTACCACTAATCAATTGTTTGAAAAATTTTTCCGCAAAATTGAAAAAAGTTAAACAGGAGAAACCAAACCATAACCCAATTGCTGACCCAACATAGCTAAAGTACTCAATGAATTCAATAGCTGGACGGTGTTTGTAGACAACATCAAAGTTAAATGGTCGATGGATGTAAACTCGGGTTAAATAAGATGATTGTGAGGGATCAATATTAGGATCGCCTGTTAGATTATATTGGATGTATTTGAGATAATGTGAGTATTCGTTTAAAGTACATTGTTCACGATCACATTCTCGGCGACATTCACGATTTATTTTGTGAGTTAAATGAGGATCACCTAATTGTCTCGATTCAGGAACAAATGGTATCGAAACATTCGATTCTGCTGGAACATCCAAAGGCCAACCATTAGAGTCTTTTCTATTGAGCTCTTCTTTGCAGTCATACATACATCCTACCCAGCCGGACAACTTTGGATATTTCCTGCAGTTAGTTTTATATGGCGGTTCTAATAGCATTATTCGAGTCAGTTGATAATTTACTGAGACAATTGACATTAAGCCAACGTGTAGAGATGAAAAATCTTGATCCTCTGTCCACGGTACCAATGAGCCATCGTGCATCGAGAAAATGACTGAAGCTTGCTCGTTACTCGCCTTGGTTATATTAAAATTGATCAAATCACGTTCACCATTTGATTCCTCCATAAAAGGTTCACCTGAATTGGACCGAGAAGGGTCATTCCAATGAAAGTAAGTGTCACATCGACGAAGAGCACTGTTCCTGGCCCAAGCAATCGTTTTACGGACTGGTGAATAATCTTGACAAGGAACATCAACACAAGAACCATTGGTAAATCGTGAATTTTGAGAACAGATCAATAAACAGTTAATAGTTAAATCACTTTGTATGACTGCATATTTAAACAGTAGATCAATCGGTGCTGATCGGTAAAGTTTACGTTTCTCATCAGATGTCAAGTTATTGCTCAGCTGTTTATCTGGATATATCTCTTTCAGTGGATCTAGTGCATCAAGATCAAGGTCCATACAAATGGTGAATGATGGCAGTTGGATGTGAAATTGTCTTTCAACATTAATATCGACAACAGTATCGAAACGCAAATAAAGCATGTTGATCTGATATACCTGCCAGGCCATTCCAGACATCAAAATAATGAACAAGGTTAGCTTTGCCCATCTATTGTTTCTTATGGCGTTAATTTTTTTGGTTAAGCTGATTATGAACTTCATAATGATTTATCCAACTTTACAGAGTTAGATTATTATGAGAGTTAAATTTGATTAAATGTCACATAAAGTTAAACTTATAATTTGATGGAAACACTTGAGACTAGATTGTTAACTTGCTCTGGACTCACTTTTTTGCTTCTTGCTGTTAGGTTGGGAATTTTTCCTTTACATTCATGTAATTTCCATTCTATCTCTTAGTCTAATTATCTATATAATAAGACTAAGAAATGGCCCAGAACTGTTAAGAATTTGTTATTAAATCAATAAAATTTTCTATAAGAATGAAAATATCGATAAAATCATTAGTAATTATTTTTATTAAGCACGAGGAAACAGTTAAAGGTGGATCCCATTGAGTTGAGTTTATTACTCCATGTTGGTGAATAAAATAACTGTCATTTCTTTTCAATCTCAAGTCATCAGAAATTTTGCTCAAGTTATTTCTCTCCGTTTTATATTGAGTTTATATCTTACAATTTATTGTTGTCATGTAAAATTTCCACTCTGTCCATTTACCTGAAGCATCTTTGATTCTCATAATAAGCTGTCGTATTGAATTAATAGAGAAATCAAATTATTAAGATAAATTAGGTTAGCCAATTTTAGTAAATTAAATATCAACTTTCATGAATTTAAATAAACATGGATTGCTATTTGCCTAACTTATACTTAATTAGGTGTTGGTAACATTGGAGTCTGAGTGTGATTGAATTACTCTGAAATATAAGATTTAATTACGATTAATAAATGATGATAGCCTTGATGATTATTAAACCACTATTGATATCAGCTAAAAGGTTGTCCAGATGATAGGAATAAGCCGAGGGATTATAAATGCTATGTAAATTAAGAAAACGTTTATTCATTTTTGAACTGATTTTTAATAGTTTCAATCTTATTGATTCATCAGATATCAAATTTGTTTTTGTGCATTAGATCCAATTTACAATCAAAGAAGGAAGACAATATTGCTTACAAAATTATTTTTTTTATAATATTGTTATTTTTATAAGTAGTCAACAATAGTAATTTGAAACAATCTAGTTAATTGCTTGAAGTACTCAAAACTTAATTAGGTTTAGCATTCGGTTGATTAATTGGAATAAGTATTAATCATAATACTTCAAGATTAACAGTCAGTGGGATATAATTTAGATAATTAATAGACGACTGAGCAATTTGAGACAAATACAGAAATATCTAGTTTTGTTGAAGAATGAACTGTTAATGTTCATTACAAAAGCAGATTTGGAAGAGTTAGAAAAATTTTCATAAAGAGTAATGGAAAGTTGAAATTGGCATACCAAATTAAATATATGATTCTTACAGTAATAATAAATTCCTACACGATTTAATGAAAAATAAATTTCAGTCATGTTGTATAAATGTCCAATTTCACAGTTCGAAATAATCGAAATAATATTAACTATTTGGCCAGTTTATTCAAGGCACTGAGAACCAGATAATGTTTTTCAGTCCGTTTATTCATTGCGTCTTCCAATAATTTAGTCTCATCGACTTTGAAGCTCCATCCATCGACAATTAAGTTGAGTCTTTTCCTTTTTGATTCTTTGTTTGGCAGTTTTTCTGATACAAATCTGAAATTTCAAAAAAAAACATTTAATATAAAATGGTTAAATTAAATTTCAATAAAATTATGTTTATACTTACTTTGCAAATGGAAAAGCCTCAAATAAGCGAAGAATTGGACTTTTAGGAACATTAGCACAGAAAAATTCTATAAAAAGAAAAAAAATATTAGATGAAAATCAAAAATATCCAAAAATAAAAATAGAAGAGATAAATTACCAAGCTCGTTGCAAAAAAATTTACAATAAATATGCCAAACAGTAGATAAAGAATTGCCACTGTCCAAATATATTGCACCAGCAATTGATTCAAAAATATCTCCCAATGCTTTGGGCGGTTCGGTCAATGTTTCCATCTCAAGATTATCAAGAAGAAAGCTGCCAAGTTTGATCTTGTTTTCACCAAAAAGATCCGCTTTAGTTAATTGCTCTCTGAAAGTGTTGATTTCTTTGTACAAAGTAGGAGAGAGGTGAAAGATGAATTTATCAAATCCATTAACTAATGAAATAGTTGCAAAGTAGTCATTGTTAACAAGCGCTTGACGAATGATTGTAACTTCTCCGGGCTTTAAATGCTGATATTTTTGATTATCAAAAATGTAAGAAGTGATTAAATAATCAAGTATAGCATCACCCAAAAATTCAAGCCTTTGATAACTGTTAAAATGTGATCGACTCCAGGATGGATGTGTTAGAGCCTCAATCAAAAGATCTTTGCGTTTAAATGTGTATCCAAGTTTCTGCTCAAGTTTTGATAGGTTGCCACATCTCCAGGCCGCTTGAATTTCTGCTGGATTCTCGATCGGGACAGTATCGTGATAGGATGGCAAATATGAGTTGTCATTCATTAATGAATCAAAATTGAATGATGTAAATAAAGGCATTCCAATCCAAGATAAAAACGAGATTGCTGCTTTTTCGCCAAGACAGATCAAATGAGCACCCAACAAAGCTTCCATCATATCAGCAACACTTTTATCGCTAATTTCTTGCTCGGTAAAATTACGATTTGCGGATGAATAAAATGGCGGTAACCAGTTCAACCTCGGAAGAAAGGTTTTGTCATTTATATATTGAGCCAAGCCTTTAGATCGACCCAAATGCAACAAATAAAAGTTTGAAACAAGCGTCATTTTGAGATAAGTGATTCTTGCTTCATTTAAATCATTCAGTTGTAGGAATAAAAGGGCAGAAACGATGTATTTCAAGAAAGAATCACCAATGATTTCCAATCGTTCAAGGTTGATTTTAGAGTCAGCTTTTTTCGTGGTGAAAGCTTCCACAATCAGCTCAATTGGCAGGCCATATTTAAAGAGGGATAATTTATCCGTATAGATTGGAGTTGTTGAAACATAATGATTAGTTTCTTTAGCAGAGTCATTGTCAGAATCTAGTTCGTTAAAATCAACACCGTTGCTTCCATTTTGAGAGCTTTTCCAAGATCTTAAATTAAATGTTTTCAGCTTTTTCTCATAATCTTGTAACAGATTATGATTAAGTTTGACATTATTACCATTCCATGAAACTTTTGCAATGCTAGGTTGAGCTACCGGAGTTAATTCATTAAATAAACTAGAATCATTGGCACGTTTTATAACGACGGGAAGATTTTGATAAACAGTATTGTAAGTATCCTCTGAAGTATTCATTGATGTTTCATCTTCATCATCTTCTGCTGTTTCACTAGAGCTATCGTCATCGTCTTCCTCACTGTCGTCACTATCCTCACTATCACTATCATCTGTGTCTTCCGGGTGACTCACGTCCTGAGTTTCCATATTCCCACCATTAGAAGGCGAAATATGATCAACAATGACACATGATAAGTCAATTGATTCCTTTGGCTTGGTGTATTCAGCAATTTTAACTTTCATTTCAGGGAAGTTTGTAAATTTGTACCGTTGATCCCAGTTGTATTTCTCATCGACTGGTATTTCAGCTATTCCATAACCAATTTCTGAACAAAGTCTTCTGCGAATAGCAGAGGCGTTCAAATATTGATTGATTACTGAAGATATTGCTGGAATCGTGTAGATTATATCCAAATATTCATAGGAAAAGTATTCATAAGAGCAAAGTTCAGGAACCAAGTGTACAATTTGCGGAGAATTAGCAAGTTTCATAGCCTTTCGATCTGGTTGACAAGGAAAAAATGTTTTTGTGGGAGCGGCATGGCAGCAAAGAAGAGGTTGATCACTCTTTAACGATTTTATTCCATAACGCGTTTTGTAATAATCTTCAAAAGTGGCGTAACTTTCGTTCACAAAAGGAGATTTAGGTGACAATGTAAAGTCAACTTCTTTAACAACGAGAAGTCCTCTTTGATTAACACCATAATTTTTACTGATCAATGCACCGGTCAGCGATGAATAATCAGAGGGCTGGATCGGGCGACGGTGGTATGTTTGTTTCAACAATTGATAGTCAATATTTTTATCATCGGTTAGGAAAATGTATAACAAATGATAAGCAGATACAGCTGCAGTGAAAAAAATTGAAGATTCTTTAGATTCGTCACGGACACCAATTTTTAAACAACCAGAGAAAATAAACTCTTGAAAGTGTCTGATGTTTTCAAGCTGCTGCTCTTTCAAAACAAAATTTTCTATCAACTCCAATGAAATAGTCAAATTTTCCTTAGACGAATAAATGAGCATTTTGCCTTCGATTTCTTCCAATGGTAAGGGATAGAAAGAAATCAAACCAAGGCGACTAGTTTCCTCCTGTTTTTCATTTTTCGCAGAGACTTTGTATAACCAGCAGGGCGAGTCCATAGACTGGTAACCTTTTAACTTATCCGAAAAGATGATTGGATATTGACGACGCTTCTTTTTTGTACCAGGTTTAGGTGGTAACGCGATTCTTTCTTTCCTCTTTTTTCTTTGATTGGATCTTTTGATAGCAGCCTTTTGCTCTTCCCATTCTTTCATTTCTGTTCGATCAATATCCAGATTATATTTTTTCATCAATCTTGCAATCAAAGTCTTCCGATCCAACGGACGAAAGCTATCATCCAATTCTTGATGAGCCCAAAGTTCTTTGGCTGCTTCAAAATAGGCAGACGCCTCTGCTTCAGCTGCAGTTGAACATTTTCTCCCGAAAATCGGCAACTTATGATAGGGTGAGATTTTCGGTAAAGTGAGCTTACATTTGAATAATTGAAAATTTGTTGCAGCATTTCGGTGAATAGAAATATCTTTCTTAGGCATTTTGACAGTGTATCCGTCTGCAGGTAGATGGTCACAATAAAAAATCACTCTGGTTTTTGCCTCGTAGAGAGGCAAAATACCGCCAGCACTCGTTTGCAACATTTCAAATGAGTTTTTAACTTGAGAATCTTCTGCTTGACAAGGTTTAGAGAGAAAACGCAGCTTTCTTTCAGTATCACGAAACTTTTCAATATCCCTTTCAGTTGCATCTATCTCGGCTTCTTTAGCGAAAAAGATGAAATAAGCTCCATTACTGCGAGCTCGTCCTTTACTTTGAACATATGCACGATAGTTAGTAGGTTTATCGTATCTGACAATACAATTACAATGGTTTATGTCCAACCCTTCTTCCAATACAGAAGTCGAAACGAGGATGTTGAGGGTCTTTTCTCTGAATCTGGTAATAACAGTTTCTTGTTTTTTTCTGAATTGGGAATTGAAAGGAAAAGGATTGTACGATGAAAAACCAACAGTGAAATCACATTTTATGAAATCAAATCCTGAAACAAACTGTGCGATGTTGGAGAGCCAAGATGAGAGGACATAAGCATCTAAGCGACGTTCAACGAATATAATGGCAGAAATCGGGTCACTGTCTTTCTTTCTATTGAACTCATACAAAAATTGAAGGAGACGGAGCATCTTATTCGGTATTCCAGCTAATAGAGCATCTCGTTTAGACATCCGGACAAGATTTTCCCTGAGACTTTTCTCAAGATTTTTAAGCAATGAAATAACATGTTGAATAATTTCATTGTAAGAATTTTCCAAATGATTAATCAGTTCAAGCTCACGTTCATAGCTCTCAAGAACAAATGCGACTGTTCGGTGAGTTGCCCATGGCCCAAAGGTCGAAAAAATATGTTCCAAATCTGTGAAAGTATTCTTAATGAGATCCAAAGGAATCGGATTAGCTGCATTTCCCAACATTTCCTCAACCATTGACAAATCCTCATGATGGATGGATTGATTCTTTTTCATTCCGCTGATAGATCCAATCAGCGAACTCATTTTTGATAGGTAAGATTTTACAGCATCTGGAAATTCAGCATCCCAGCCTTCAGGAACTTTGAATGTCCAGATTATCTCATTCGCATTACTTATCTTTGATGTTTCAGGGGAAAATACATCAGCACAGTAAGTGTTGCCGATCTCTTTTATCATTGATTCCAATTTGTTTTCATCAACCCAACGATTATTAATTAAACTTGCGGTCAGTCCAATAATTCTGATATTAGAATGGCCTTTCTCCTTGAGTATTTCCATTATCCGGACGTAGTCGTGATTGGTATTTTTTCCTTTAGCATTGGGTGCCCCATGATGCGCTTCATCAAAGATAATAACAGCTATCGAAGATGTTTTAATGTGCCCCGAAGCGATGATGTCAAAGAAAATTTTCCGTGTCATAACTAAAACTTGATATTTCATAAAAATCAAATCCCAGTAAGCTTTAGTCCAATCATCGATACCAGTACCATCCTTGTCTTTGCTTGTACCAGAAAACCGACCAACATTAAAAGTAGTATCATTTTCGATAGCTTTCGCCTGTTGTTGCACGAGAACTTGATTTGGCACCAAGAAGAAGGCTCTTTTACCATTCTCATTATATGGAAGGTTCAATTCTCCGGCGTGCTCCTTTAGCACAATAGTGGCAATAAAAGTTTTACCTGATCCAGTCGGTAGGCAAAGAATTGTATTATTGCTTAGAGCTTTGTCAAGAGCCTCTAGTTGGTAAGGACGAGGAATTTTATCTACAACCCTTTTACGAGTTTTGACCATGACTGATAAACACAAATAAATTAAATTAAAATAACTTTAAATTGAACTGGAACACTTTAAGAACAGCTTAAGTGAATAGTAGCTCGAATCATCTAGAAGTATTACGGAAACAAATGAGAATGAAGAGTGAGAAAACAATAAGTTCCATTTATTACATCAGTTTTTCCAGGCTCATGAATCATAAAGGGGAGGGATCTTAAATAGTTAACAATAGTTAGTGATAGTAATCTTAACGCTAGTAAAGCTTGTCAATAAATAATGTAGTAATAATCATTTAATAATTGATAAAGAATTTTTGAACGAGCAAAAGGTGCTTTCTGTAATTAAAGAGTTGAGAGCGTAAGAATACTAACAATTGTAAGACAGAGAGGTTAGCCAAGACATGTTTGTAAAAAGAAATATATAAAATATCGTTATCAATATCGTTGGAAATAAAGAGCAGTGAGAGCTGATACAATTGGGTGAAATGTGGAAAAAAACATTTATAGGACATCAACCTGACTTTTAGCAAAATTTATATCTGATGCAATCTAACATGGTAGTTACATAAGATGAAGACTGTAGATATTTGTTGGTTATTATTCGAATAACAAAATAGACTTGAGCAGTAATCCCAATCAAATAAACAACAGACTAATATCTTATTTAAAGGTTTCTAGCTCAATATATAAACTAAAGACGAATTTTAATACTATTAATCAAGTGATTCAATGAGCTAAGAATTTTTTTATCAATATTGTAAACATACTTACATGTGTGATGAGTTGAGTTATTCCTGATAACCGACCAAATAATTTGTAAATTCAACCAAATGTTGACGTAAATCAAGAAACTAACCACAAGTTTGATTGTTAGCAGACTCCAAGACTGTCCATTAACTTTGATTGCACTTAAATTTTAATATTAAGATTATGGTGAATATCCATGGCAGAAAGTTTAAATGTTTGAAAGATCTTCTGACCAACGTTTAATGATCTTAAAAGGCGTGTTCCAAGTTGTAAGTTACACATTTGTGAGAAAAAACCTTAGGTCACTTTTCAAGTTTTCAAAATCTGGTAAGAGTGATCTTGTAGATAACGGAATAATTTTGGTATTATCTTAAGCTAGGTTAGATCTCAAAACCTAGTTAATATCGGGCAGTGTTAAAGTTAGAGTGATTAATTAAATAGGAATGACTAGAGACACTATCCTTTCACATTATCCTTTACTCACACAAATATGAGATGGAATAGAACGAGCTAAGCCATAAGGTCTTTGAAAGCCACAGATTACCAATCTGCCGATGCTACAATTCAAGAATTGTAAAAATTTAAAAAATGATAGCTAAATGTCCAAAAATTGACAATCATCAATATCGTTGGATTCATTAACTTCAATTGTAAGTCGTCAATCAATGAGCACAATGTTTACAAAAATTGGTTGCTCATTTGCAACCAAAGAGTAACCAGATTACAACGCCACCTCGTAGCCGTAAACGCTTGCAAACTTTTCTCACCACCTGAGTCGGCAAAATTTTGAAGTAAAGAGTTGGATTACCTAAAAAATTAAAATCGAAGTTGAACAAAAATAATAAATAAATATTTTCATCGATAATAAACGACTTCTTATTTTCTTATGACATTCACATCATTATTTTTCTTTGATAAATACTTACATTTGGTCAAAATGATCATACTTTCTGACCTGACTTCTTGGAAAAATATTCTGAATCGAAACAAAAAAGGATATCATTAGAAATATTTTTAGTCAAGTGGTCCATTTTGATACTCACCTTAATCAGAGTAAGCGATAACGACATTCAGTTGAATTGCAATAACATTTGATCATTTTTCCTTCAACAGATCCTATTTCATAGTTGTAGTCCCATGTTAATTCACTGTAGGCTGGGATGAATTCATTGGCAAAAAAAGCAACCCACGGAAATCTTAAATCGTGTGTGTCAACAAAAACACTTTGAGCAAAACAATTAGGTGAACACGAGTGATTTAAAAATCTACCAATATTTCCAAATCGTTTAGCATCCAAGGTATAAGAAAAATCTTCATCGTGCATAGATCTGATAGATTTGAATTTCATAGCTCCATCCGACATTTTCAATGCATTCATAGATCTATAAGTACTCATTGCTCCACCTCTGATCCCGCTATGATTACCATTTCTTTTTATATTGATATTTGTGTTTTGTAAATGATCAAGACTAGATGAGTTGTTCACTTTTTTAAGAACATTGTTTTTCGCTTTCCTTCGATTAGATTTTACTTTAACGGAAGAAAATGATTCATCTGACTCTTGATCTTCATCATTATAGTCTTCATCTTTTGCATCATCAGGCTCATCAGCATCATCGTCACTTGAAATTTCCTCTACAGGAGCTGATTCATAGCCTTCTTTAGCAGCTTCACAAATATCAATTAAATCCAAATCAGCTAAATATTCATCTCCATAGACAGAAGCATAATGATTAGCTGCATGTTCAGTCATAACTTCGCCCGAATATGTACACACAAATGCACCAGCAGGTATATCATGTAAACACCTAACACCCCATCCACGACGGACAGTTTTGAATATTTGTAAACGAGCTTTAATTCCATTTTGTACAACTTTATTATGGCAAGTATCGCTACAAGAACAGTATGGATTACATTCATAAAGACCCGTAACAATAAACTTTTTAAGTCTTTGATATGTATAACCGGCAGTTACGTTTTTCCTTCGTCCAGGTAAAGATTGGGTTGCTTCGATTGTCAATTTTTGACAGGCACAAGTTGATTTGTTCCTACAATCGTCATTGCACTCACACCTTATTAAGAAAGAAGGATCTCTTGGAATGTAAACACTTCGTCCTTCGTAGCGACTTGATATATAGTTGAAATCGGATGGAAATTCGACATTGTCACATGAATTTATAGCAGAAATGATTTTAGACTCCCGTCCAACAGTGATATCATTATTTAACCAATTACATCGAATACGAGAATTGCCACTTTCATTATACAGTTCAACGTAAACTTCAAAAGTAAAATAATCAATGGATAATGAACAGTTTGTAATCGATAAATATTTATCCAATTCTTCAATATTCCTCAATCTTCTTCCACATGGAGCCACATAGCTGACCTCCTTGACCGCAACCGATCTGCTTCCATCGTATCTGCAATGAGCAGTAGCTACCTCTCGTTTCCAGCCTAATATTACTGGTATTGCGTAAGGAACATCATCCCGAAATATTGGAGATTGTGCGTTGAATGTATTTTGGGCACAATTTTGATTACAAATATGAGGAGTAAATGGTTTAGTTTGCACCAAAATATTGGGTTTTCGGGTAATTTCAAAAAACAGAGGCATGTTGCTGTCTTGGCCTGAGTTTTCACTGCTTGAGCTTGATGATGGTGATAATAATTGCATACTACTTAAAGAACCGTTGGATCCAATGCTTTTGCGAGCGATATGCATTTTTTTACGGAAATATCTTGTAAATGAATTGCCACCATTCCCATTATCCCACTTGCTAAGTGTTGATTCTGATTTATTGAGTCTAACTAAATAAGATAAAGTAAAAATCAAGTTTAATATATTTTTATAAACAAACAAAAACGAAACTTACAATCTAAAATAGAGTGCGAATTCCCATTCTGAGTATTCGAATATGTAATAGTGGATCCTTTGAAACGATAGTCTTTCTCATTTTGTAGTTTATTCATGCTAAGAAAAAATGAGTAAAGTTAGTTATAATATGTGCAACTAAAAGTGACGATAACTTACCTTTCATGAATAAATTGTATGTCATTTTTGAGTGCATCAACAAACATATCAATTTTGATAAATTTTTGTTCAATATTTTTGAATTCAGTCTCTGTTTTAGTCATTTGTTCATCAAATTCAACGATGGAGATTGAAACATCTGATGTTGAGTAGCCATTATTTTGTCGTGGTTTGCTAAATTTATTTACAGATTTGGTTATACATCTATCGATGTAAGCGGCAAAAGCAGCTGCGAAATCAGCCATGTTTGAATGCTAAAGAAATTAAACAATAGATTATTAGACGGAAAAATTAATCATTCAATTCAATAAAACATTTGATCTGTTATAAATCATTGCTTTTTACACATCTCTATGTTTTCACTGTATTCAAATTACTTTAAAGGTCAGGTTGCAAGCTGAAGGAGTTGATTTTCATAAATAAAACATTATTAAAAGCATGGTTGAATAGTTGTGTAACCAATGAGAATAAAGTTAAAATAAATATTAGCCAGTGATTTTATCAGAAATGGGGTGTAATGTTGAGATAATGAAATCAAAAAATGAATGTTTGAATATTTCAACCATCATTTTGAATGAATCTAGCGTAAACCGTATATATGGTTAATATAGAGTTATGGTGCATCAATAAAAATGAACTTACAAGAAATTGCACTTTGAAAAGCTTACAGAATAAAAACTCCACAATTAAATGTGCTTTTTCATAGTAAAGATAATTATAACAATAATAAGGCTGTGAGAAGTGATCAATTGATGATTCTTCAAACATATAAATGAAACTAATTTGTCAATCTTTTTAAATTAGACTATGAAAGGTATTTGAAATAGATTTGTCAGAAGAGATGGACTTGAAACCTGTTCTAATTAAAACAACACTTGACATTTAGTTAGAAATTGACAGAAAATCATTCCAAGTTTTAAACAAAATAAAATAAAAACTATAAATGTAAACTGGTCATTCAACTTTCATTTAAAAGGTCAACCACATTCAGCCATCAACAAAAAATAATATTTACCCATTGGGAGTAAGCAATGTAACAAGTTCTATAGCAGGTGAAATCTGACAAATATATTTGAAAATGAGAATTGAGCTTGAAATTCTTAATACTTACATTGGATAAATTGGCTGGAAGATCAGAGGATCACATATAAATATTATTTCCACAGAATTCTTTAGGTAAAGCGCAGTATTTAATTAATTCACAAATAAATAAAAGTGATGATGCATTATTGTATATCCATTGAGACTTGAGGTTACTCCAACGCCAACTTTAAAAATAGTATTGATGACACCGTTGGTAAGACAATTGGCTTGGATAATAACAAGGTAACAACTAGGATTGCTTTATGATAGTTTATTTAATAAATAATAACATAATTTTGTTTCATCATTTACATGAATTATTCTTGATGTAAACAATAAATATTGAAAATTATAAGAATTTCAGTCAGTTTAATATGAAAATTCATTGTTTCATTTAATATGAAAGTTCACATTCCTAATATAATAACATCAAAAAATTCAACTCCATGATGTTACGCATGCCCCATTGATGGAAATAAAAAGCGGCCCATTCAAGCCCAGAACTTACTTATCACATTATAATAAGATAAAAATAACTTGATTGGAAATATAATTACTAAGGATTATTGTAAGACTGGATCAGCTAATAATCAAAGTTTATATTAACCATTGTTTCATTTATTTTCAAAATCTCTAGGATGATTGTTCTTGACTAAGCATTGACTGAGCATTCCTGATTGGAGACAAGCATGAGAGAACAAAAAATGATTATTTAGCAGGAATGGATTGATAAATTGTTATTTCAAGGGAACGAAATAGACATTATAATAACTGTAAAATGCAAAAATATGGCTTTGAGAATGTTAAATGCGATAATTCTAAGTCTTGAATGACTAGGAGAAGTCAGAAATGAGAGAAAATGATGAGTAAAGAATAGATTAATGAATGGAAATATCCTTTTTTCAAATTAAGACAATTCAAATCCAGTGTTATTGGTGATTGCATAACGGAGTTTATCACGAAGGACGCTTTTCTTTTGGTAATTAGGCAATTTCAATAAATTGAAACAGGTTGATGATGATGGTAGTCTATTAACTGGACCTTTCCGACGTAGAGTGAAAAACCCACGAAGAACTGATCCAACGGTATCACCGACATCTTGGTCTTCACTAACTTCAACACATCGGATTGAAAATTGTGGTTTTAAATGAGTGAAACCTAATAAAGGTGGCTTAGAACAGCTAGTTACAAACTTAAGTAGCAATCGGTGCTCTTCAGGTTTGAAATCTTTCTCTAAGATATCCCAAAACCAGTTAATAACTTTGTGATTATTGTGAAAACCGCCATAATATTTTGTATTACGTCGCAAATCAGTTAAATCAATGGGGTTATTATCCCCTGAAATCAATCGTTGAAATTCTGGGGTTGAGAACATGGTTAACCAATCAGGATTAACTATACATCTAAAACCTTTGATAAAAGCAGCAGTCTGATCACGAATTTGTCGATGAACACGAAAATGTGCCATCAAATGAATGTAGCTGATTTTATTCTCATTATTAACCGTTGTAATCCTTCCACCTGGCATCAACTCATGAGAAACTATTTTACCCATACAATCTTCATCGACAGAGAAGGTTAAGTCAAGTTCAGCAACATCGCCATCATAATGTTTAACGTAGGTTAAATTTTTGTATAATTCTGGATCCAATGAGGGTAACTCGTCGATTGAAGAATAAAGAGCATTTTGTTGTTGATGAAGAACTTGACTGAGAAAGAATGACGCAAAAGGGACATCTGCAACTATCCCTTCATAAACAGCTTTTCCCAACATTCTTCCAACAAATTCAAATAATGACAGATGATTCTCGTGAATGTATGAGGTTGGAGATGGATATAAACGTTGTTCACTTGTTACTTTGAATAAATTCAATGATGGATCGAACACTTTTTTGATCGTTTCTTCTAGGAATTCTTTGAAAACTCCATCTTGATCTATTCCAGCTTCATCTAATCCTTGTTCATTGATAAATTTTACTCGAATGATGCCCTTTAAAGCGTGAGGTGGTAAAAGTACTAATTGTTGATAACCATCTTCAACAATACGTGATCGATGAATAGTAATTAATGTAGACAGAGAAGATGCACATGCAGATTCTGTTATTCCTAGTACGGTTTTTTCATTGTTGACTTGTTTACGAAATAAAACAACCCTTTCTTTGTGTGGAATTATGTGGGGAACTTTCATCATCAATATTTGTGCCGATTTTTTACCATTCTCCAGATCTTTCAAGAAATTGGCAACTTTTATTTCTCTGCAAGATAAAAATTAAATTTTAGAAATAAATCCAAAAATGGAATCATTAAATAAATTATCTTACTTAATCAACCAATGATCTGAAGGAGCAAAACTTCGTCTAGAGTCTCGTTTGTAGAGAACCATTAAGAGTGAATGAGTTGAATTTAACAAAAGTGATATGCCTTTAAAATCTGAAATGAGGAAATAGTGAAAATTAAGATGATAATAAAAGAAAATTATTAAAAAATATTACCTATTAAATTACTTGCAATAATCTTGTATACAAAGTTATTAAGGAAGGAAGATATGGAAAGTAATTCTTGTAAACTGAATGGTTTTTGATCCTCATAAAATTCCTTCTCATCTAATATTCTGTAATGAAAAAAATAAAGACAATGTTAATTATTGTTAATAGTTAAAGAGATAATTAGGGGTAAATAATATGCTTACGCTATAAGATGAGTAGCACAATCACAGAAAAGTATTAACAATTGAAATTCAAAAGCACTAGCTTTGGGACTGACAGTTAAAAGGTCGAGAAATACATTTAAACCATTCCGAGCTCCGAAAGAAGAGATAAACTTCCATAAATTTGGTAGAATCAAATCTTGATAACAAAGTCCGGTGAGAATATCCATTTTTACTTGAGATAATGTTTCTAATGCTGAAACATACATAGAACATATTAATGAGATCACAGTAACTTCGGGTGAAACAAGTTCACGACAATCTTTGGAAACTGAATATGAGCTGGATAAGCGAGAATTAGTTGCCTTGTTGACAGCTTGAGAAGCTCTGTCAATTACTCGTCGAAAGAAATTCGATCGGCCAAAAAATGTTGCTGAGGAATAAGAGTCGGAATCATTTGAGTCATAGCAGTTCTCGTTATAGATGAGACTTTGTTTTCGAGATGAACGCTGGTTTTTGGTCGCTTCAAACAATGGCTCAAACATAATATTGATCATTTTGACGCTCCAGAGATATTGAAGTTGCTTTTTAACGTGAACAAAAGACTCATGGAGACTGAAAATTGAGAGAAAGAAAATTTTGATGTTTATAATTTACACAACAGTAATATTAAAACTTGGGATTTTAAACGAAAAAGTAGCCTCTTACCCAGAATCAACATTTTGAGCGAAATACCCTAAAATTGGATGCCAATGTGTAAGACTTGATTGTTTACTTGAAACATATTTTTGACAGCCTTCGAGCAATTTGGCAACGATAATCTGTAAAATAGAATGAAGGAGAAGATATAGAAAAGCGATAGATTGATAGAAGTTGCCATATTTATTTTCACCTATTCATTATACTCACCACAAAATCCATCAATAACTCTTTAAGCAAATCTTGATCTAGGTAGCCTAGATTGATTAAATTAGCAAGTAGACAAAGACCGTAGTTAGCCTCAAGAGATTCAGAAAGCTGATTGGAGGTAGACTCGGTATTTAAAAAATGAATGCATTTGGAGAAAACTTTGTGATTTTGTAAAGCTTGAGTGGTATCAGGACAAAGATTTTGGAGATGGTAAATGAGTCCAGGAGTCGATAAGATATGAACCAGGAAAAATTTAATAGATGCTTCATTGAATTGACAGTTTATCATATGTCTCAAAGAGAGAGTTAAAACTGCAGTGAGGGATGGCTTATTCAGGGACGGTTTACTTTTACAAAGGCCTTTGTTTAGAATACTTTGGAGATTCAGGTAACAACCTTTGGCGACTAGGTGATTTAATATATTGGAACATAATTGATTCATTACTGGACGTAGAGCGGAATAATTTTTGTTGGTCGATTGTTGTAAGATAGGCCATGATGAAGGAGAAGTAAAAGTTACCATCATGTTGAGGAACAACATAATAGATCGGAATTCACTTGTTTTCTCCGGGCGTAAAGTGGAAATTAAAGAAGAACAATGAAGAAGGATAGCTTTCATTTGATGAATCCATGGAACAGTATAATTGCGGTCGAAAGCAACTATGACATAAGCTACGTTCTGCCCATCTTCAGATCCATCATTTTCAGCGTCTGAGTTGAACATTGTTGCGATTATGTATCGACACATTTTCTCGAGTAAATGCAACTCTCGTTTCACATTTGTAACCCAAAGTAATTTATTAAAAGCACGAAAGGCTTCTATGGGCTCGATAAATGGAGGTTTTTCTTCCCCATCCTTCCAGTCTTTGATTTTTTCATTGAAATCTGAGATGAATTCTTTGGTCAATCTTCGGCGGGTTAAAAAGCCTCTGAAGTATTTCTGTGTGATAAGATTGCATACAATAATTAATTTTAAGTAAAAGCATACAAGTAATAACAGATGACAAAAATTACAAAGGATTACCTGAATAATTATTGCACTTGCATGGATTTTCTTCTCTTTTTCACGACTCAGTCGAGCAGCCTTTGTAGCCTCAATAAACTCCTCTTTGAGATTAACCATCTTTACATCTCTGTCTCTACGATAATGCCATTAGAATTCAAAGAATCTGAAATCGTAAGAAAAAAGAAGAATGTTATTGTTTAAAAAATACTCTTCTTCTGTCAGTCGGTTTTAATCAATATGGATGAAGTTTTGAGTTAGACAAAACGGATGACAGTTATCAGACAGTTGAGAACGGATGGATATACATACCTTGGAGAAATATTAAACGACACAATAGAAAATTAGATGAAATAGATGAGCGATTGGTAAAACTACAATATGTGAGAACAAATATGAACACAAATGACTTGATAGGATGAATGGATGAAACCGGAGGAAAGTCACAAAAAAGGTTAAACAGTTTAATATATATTCGGAGGAAACAGAAGCGTAATCATTCACTAATTAATAGACTACAACTACATTAAACTACAATGACAAGTAGCCCGACTAAATTAATTAAAAATAAATGAAGACTTTACCTCTTCTTCTGACTGTAGATGAAAATTTTTTGTTTATTTCATTAATAAGGCTGTACTAAAAATTTGAAGCGCTCATTTTAAAGGATGAAAACAGTATTGATTGCCTTGTGACTCCTAATTTTTACTAACCGATTTTGTTTGGAAATAATTAAATTAATATCGAAGCGATAAAGTGACTTGAATGTATTAACAATAAACGCATTTGTCTAATGAGGTCTGCATCGCTAAATTGAACGCAATGTCAAAACTCTCCACGATCTTTCAAATGTTTATTGTCATCGATTTCTACTAAAAATTCATTTGATATTCTTTGAAATTAATGTTGAAGCTCAGTTTACATATTTTGATGTAAAAGCAATCCAATTAAATCGATAATCTAAAAATAATGACTTTGAGGGATTGCACTTCATGGTCTATGCAGTATAATTAACAGATTTACTTTACTCATTTATTTCAAATAGGATGTAAAATTATAAATTAGTCTACTTATTTTGACCTAAATCTTAATGAATAGAGTTAATTGATGATTTTCAAATTTCACAGCAATTGTGATCCATTTAGCTAATGTTTACTTAACAAAATTAATGTTTTTAAAGTTTGTTTCCTATCAATATGACGGAGTATTTTAACAATTTACAAAATGAGCAAGTTAGATAAAAAATCAGAGGATTGACAGAACAATTTGATCCGTAAAAGGTCAGCTTTATTTGAAGGAAAAACAATATCAGGAAAGGAAAAAGAAAACAACAGCAAAATCCAAAATTGGATCAATTGCTATGTTACATGTTTTGTATTTTATGTAATGAATGATAAAAATATATATATATATTCAATATAATCTTAATTCACAATATAATCCACAATAGAATATAATAGTCATAATAATAATAATCAATATAGTAGTCATAATAATAATTATAATAGTGATGATGATAAAAGCAATAATAATTCATAATAAAGCAAATTTATGATAATCCATTTGTTTTTTTCTATCATATTAATAAGTTTTCTGGTTTTGACTTTTTTTTCATATCTTAAGCAGAGTCTCCATCACCTCCTTCATCTCCACGTATGAAGAGTTTTTCTCATTTCCCTGTTTTTCAAGTTTTTTGTGATGAAACTCAATACAATTTCGCATTCATAACGAAAATTTATAAATCGATGGTTCTTTTTATCAGAAATAGTTGAATGGATGTTGCTTGTTCAGTCGCTATTTTGCGCAACAATGCTTATGATTCCAATTGTAAGTGTAAAAGGGTGAGAAGGAAGCAAAGTTTGATGATGATAAAAATAAAGAGACAGCATAAAGAAAGGGAGATTTTTCAGCTCTTTTCTTTTCTTTCAATATTTCTGTTTTTTCCTCTTTGTTCTTTACAGTTTTTTTTCAATCCTGGGCAAAATGGATAATTGTTGGTCAGCATTATCATTATAATATCAGTGAATTTTGTGAAGCAATAAAATACTAATAGCACGAGTCTTGGTTAAAAGTTGATTAGTTTCAAGGGTTCTCTTGCAGTTTGACTTTGGTCATCAATACATCAATAGATTGTGAATGATACAGGCAAGGATAACGGCAAGGACTGAAACCAATGAAATGATAACAATTGCACATTTTTGTTCACTACGAATGATTCGAGTTTCTCCATCAATTTTGTTATTCAATGATTCCTGTTGGCGGAAGGCTGCTTGCTCTTGATTTTGGTTGAAATGCTGTTGCTTTTGTGACGACTCTCTGGAGGAAAGGAAGAAGAAAATAAAAGAATGTTAAATATAAGTAAATTGTTGATGAATGACGATAAAACAATTTAAAAAGATAAACTTACAAACTCAATTGGACTTGTTGATTAGAGTTTTGGGCTCTTGATCGTTGACGCTTGTTAACAGGTTGGTGTTCAGGTGTAACTAAAGTTAACACATTACTGACCAATTGATGATTATTTTCAGATAATCTCACCCTAAATGAATACTGTTCTGAAGGAGTTAAATGCGAAACTCTGCAAGAAGCTTGAGTTCCTTGATAGACGATTCTTGTAGTTGGTGTTACTGTTCCATTTTTGGCATTTGACTTCATCATTTCAACCATGTAATGTCGAGTTTCACTAATTAAAGAGCCATATGAAGATGATGGCGTGTGATGATGGCTATGATGATTATTATGATGGCCTTGCTCGTTGATCCATTTTAACTTGACACTGGTTGCGGTCAATGAGGTATAAGTTAAACAAAATACTTGAATTTGAGGCAATAAATGCTTAGGTGAACGTTGGGGTGAGTTTTTAGGTTTATCTCCAGAATCTCCGCCATAGATCATAATACCATTTGTTTTTGAGCTTTTTTCATCTCTCAATGAAGAATCATCGTCTTCCTCCTCATTATCATCTCCATCGTGATCATCTTCAGCATAATTCACGGTCTTTTCATCACCATTTTCATTTTTATCATGAGTTGCAGAACTATCACTAATATCTTCTTTAATTGCTTCAATAGCGGTAACATTATTAACATAACCATTACAGGTTGTTGCTCTTGTTGTTGACCGATGCTGAGAATCAATTTTATCATCACTTTTGCTCTTTTGCTCTAAAAATGCATCACCAGATCTATTAGACTCCTTATTAGATGTAGCGATAATATCTTTATCCTCATCAATATCATTTTTGACTGTTAATGATTCTTTATCAATATTATCAGCTAATCTTACATTGGAATCATCATTTACAACGAAATTTTCATCACTTTGAAGTTCTGACTGCTGAACTTGGCCAACATCACATTGATCAATGCTATCTATCTTTTTCTTTGCATCTTGCCCTTTTACACAAATATCATTGGCATCAGTATCAGTATCGTCTTCTTCTTCCAATTTATCACCATTTTCTTGTACTTCACTATGATCAATAAATTTTGTTATATTTAATTTCGTTGATGACTTTTCATTTGGCCTTGTTTCACTAATATTTTCTTTAGTTTCATTCTCTATTACGACTAAAGTATTTTCATCATTAATCTTCGTATCGACATCATTGACTATTACAGAAGTTGGCATAGCTCGGAGAGAAGTTGAGACTTGTGATTGCTGTTGACCACGAGAGAGATTCCGTCCAGTTGATTTATTAGTTTTAGAATCAGTTTCAGTTAAAGTTGATTCTTTTGTTTCTTTCCTACTCTTTGAGTCTAGTGATGAATTTAGTCCAAGAGTTGAGGAAACGACACAATTATCAGATCTAAGAGGAGACTCAGGTACTGATACAGTTGCCACCGGGTCATTGTTAGACTCTTTGCCATCTTCTTCATTACCTAAATCACAACCTTTCTTCAGTAATGACGCTGCCTCCACTGGTATACTGATAATAGGTACAGTAGTTGTCGATGGTCCTGTTGCCAGGGTAACATTAATCGGTATAATTGCAGGAATAGGAGCTTGTAAAGGTTTACAGTGACTCAATCGATTTAATGGAATCTTGATTGGTGACGATTCTTTCGAGTTACTTGCTGAACTGGCACCACTGCTGTTCTTTCCAATCTCGTTATCTAAAGTGTAATTGCTACCATTAGGCGTATTGATTATGTTTGATTTTTTCCGTTGAGGTGTATTCTCTTTTGACTTATTACTTTCCTTTTCCTCTTTTGACTTTTCATCTCTTCTCACTTTTCTGGACACATGATCATTTTTAGGCGAATTATTTGACGACTGTGTTTTGGTACTAAGGGTAGTTGAACCTTTAGCATTTAATGAACCATTTTTAATCGGTGAGGAAGGAAAACCAATGAGTAATCCATTGGAAGTGGAGTTTGTATTACGATTAACCAAAACTCCTGAAGATGAATTATCTTTATGATGATGAGATGATTTATTTTTTTCACTGTCAACCAACTTATCATTTGCACCATGGGTAAAAATATGATGATGGTGATGGTGGTGATGATGATGACTTGAAGTGGACGATGATGAATTAGTAACAGTGTTGTGCTTGCTGTTAAAATTGTATGAACCACTTGTTACTGAATTGTTGCTATTACTGAATAGGAGACATTCAATTTTAGTTGATTGTTGCTGTTGATGTTTCGTTGATTGTTCTGTGGAAGAGATAAGCTCAGGTACTGAAGTAGTCAATTTAGTAGCCACATTGCTTCCATTGGTCCTCAAATGGGTAACAGGAAATGTTATGGCCCCGGTCCTAGAGACTGATCCCGTTTCAGAAACTGTTACCGTTAATGTTTGATTTTTCCCATTGATTGTTCTAATAGAGTTTTGACCTGGAATATTTGTGGTTGAAGTTGTAATGGTTGATGTTGCTGTTGTGGTCGTTGTTGCGGTTGTTAAAGTAGATGTTACCGTTGCGATTGATAATACCCCGGAAGAAGATAGCTTAGTGGTTACTCCATTAACAGTTGGATTACTGTGTGAGTTTGTGTGTGAATTAATTGTAGGAGATGTGCCCGTTGTGGTTGTGGTAATTGTTGTCGTGGTGATACTAGTATTGTTATTAATTGTTGCTGTTGACGTAGTAGTCGTGGTCGTTGTGCTGGTGGTTGTTGCTTGTAATAAAGTTGATGGCGATCTCTTGGTATAAGAGTAATTACGATTAGGTAATCGCCGTCTAATTGTGGTGGTTGGTGATGCTGGAAAGGTCATGTCAATATTGTAAGAGTTTACTTTGGAGTTTGTCCGGGAAAAGGGAAGACGTCGCGTTGAGTCAACATGAGTTAAACCCATTTCCCACAGATTGCTATGGTGAATAGGCGGAGGTGGTGGTGGAGGTGGCGGAGGCGTAGGAAGTGGATTTGGTGATGGCAAAGAAGAGCTGTGAAAAAGAAAGGAAAAGAAAGAAACAAAAATTAGATTAAATATTCAATGTAGGTTATAGGTTTGATGATAATTTAGAGAGCAGGAAAAATGTGAAAGGTGAAAGGTTGTTGAGACTTTGCTCTTGCTCATTCATGAAAATCTTCATCTCTTTCATTAACTTACTGGTTACTCGATAAAAATAACAAAACGTAAGAACAAATATTGTACTAAATATCATGTTTAGTTACACAATTATTGATATCAAAATGATCGCCGATCCATCGTCATGACAATCGGGATGACATTAGCTTGAATGATGATGGAAACGTGAATACATCAAAACAAACATAGTTGATGTTGATTGTGATCATGATAATGAGAAGAGATATTTTTAAAAAAAACATCTAATCTAATCAATCAATTACAACAAACAAACAAGCACAATATGAAAAATCAATAGGAACATGATTTGATTGAACTTCAAGTGAAGCTTTTTTTATTTATTTACTCCTTTCTTGACTTGTCAAGAGCTGTCAAAAAATAATAACAATATGTAACACTAATGAGAATAAAATTGATCAGCAAATTTAAATGTGTAAATGTTGATTATAAGCATCATTCAACATTAGCCGGTATATTTCAATTATACTTTTAATATAAGATTGCAATTTTCCTCAAATTTTAAAGTAATTTTCAAACTGTAGTCTAATAAAGATTTGATGTTGATATCAACCAATGTGTTTATTAAATATCATGTAGTATCATATTTATATAAACAGTTGAATCTAATAAATATGGTTGGGAAAAGTTCAGTTTAAACTGTACGTGGCAACATAAAAAAAGTCAAAATCGTTTAACCTTTTTTTCAGATTTAGAGTTTATTCTGATAACGACAATTGCATTACCAAAACTAGCGTGACAACAGTCAGGAGCAGCAGAAAAAAAACGGAAACTCAACTTTCTCAATTTACAGCAAACCTCACAATTGAAACAACATCAACATCTACAGCAACGTCAACAAGTGAATGAGCAGAAGAGTGAAAAAGGCAACCAGAATAAGAACAAAAGGTTTCATAGAGCGAGAAGTTTGCATCATTTTTATTTGCTGCTTCCGCTGTTGTGTATTGTTGACGATTGAAGGATGAGAATCATCATGATGGTGGTGATATTAAAGGATAAGGTGACCACGATGATGATAGTGATGATGGGTATCATCACAACCATCTATCAACAAAAAAAAAGTTCAAGAATTTTTTTCTTCATTTCTTCTTCTTCTTCTTCAATTTCTTTCTTTCATTATTCTTGAGAGCAACTTTTTTGTGATTCTCAAATTTACTTTAACCATGATAGTTTTATAATAACATGAATTTTGATTCAGATATGATATAATGTACGGGAGAAAAGGTTGATTGGTAAATATCAATATCTCGCCAAGAAAATGATAAACTCTTTGATTGTCCAGATCAGTTTTCATTTGTTTAGATTATGAAAAATAATATGGAAAATAATATTTACCTGTTTCTAGATAACTTGATTCATCAAGTTGTGACTAACAATATTCAGGAATTTTCATTATTTCTCTTTTAATGTGCAATAATTATGATACTTTTCCTTTCAAATATCAATTTTAAGCGTTCATTGGTGAGTCAGTGAGATTTTTAAGAAACATTTTCATGTTTAGATTGATGTAGGAGAAAGTACTGCATCATGATGATCGTTTTAATAACCATCATCACCATTATCATCATTATCATCACCATTATAATCATCATCACAAATATCATTATTATTATCAACACCATCATTGTCATAGTTTTTCTTGAATAAGAACCAATTTTTCACTTTTTTCAGAGTTTGGAACCAACAATAACAAGAAACCTTGATTGATGAAAAGGTCAACCATAAACTCAATTGGAAGCAAATTTGTAAGTAAACAAACAAACTGACAACCAGGTTCAACCGGCTCAATCAAACATTGCCTTGTAAGACTTCAAATATGAGAGTTGATAATTTCAGTCATCAACTAGTCTCATGATTGTTGAAAAGTGTACATGATAGTGATCCTGATCATCATGAAGTTGCTGATGATGCTGGACAGCAAAATTGTGTTTTTTTCATAGTGAAAGACACTTGAAGATGAAATAAGATTGAAATGAAAATGTCAGGCCTTTCGTCTATACATTGAAATGAATTTAAATTTGAATATAAACTAACCAAGGTTTTAATTCATTCAAAATGTCTGTTTCCTTGGTTTACTAATTTTCCCTCTCTTTTATATCATTCTGGGGCCAACTCAGTTTCTCAGTATTGTTATTTGTTCCTTAAAATGAAAACAAACTTAATCACAAAAAATTAAATTTCAGTGAATGAAAACAAGATAGTAATCAAGAAAAGACTAACCTTGTTAGTCTCAATTTTTTTCTGGTTCTTCAGCTTCTTTGAATCAGTCTTTTCTTGCTCAAGCTCATGATTAAACCTGACTATTATGATTATGATTATTGTTATTATTAAAACTATTATTGACAGCAACACAATTTTAATAGTTTGTATTAAATAAATATTTTCATCTAACTTCCTTTTTTCAGTCCTTATCGAAAACTATCAATTTCCTAACGACATAGCAAACGATGAAGCTATTGATTGTGAGAAATTGTTACATCTTATGTGATTGCTCATAACATAGCTTAACAATTAGTTTTAAGATGTGAAAATAAATTACTACAACCTGACATTTTGGAAAAGTTATAAAAAAATTGGTGAGAAAATGAATCAGAGCAAACAGAGATGTGAAAGATCATTAGGATGATGATGATCATAATGAAAATCATAAGGAAAAATGAATAAAAAGGGATGAATAAAGTTTGAAAAACTATATGCTTATATGAAAAGATAATAGATGAAATGGTAGGTTTGAATTAAAGATGAATAAATATAACAATAGATTTGAAAATAAATATAATGTTGACGATTTTTACGATGATGATGACGGAGATGTAATGGTGAGGTTGACAGCCATGTTGATGAAGCAGAGTAAAAGGTTTTCTTGTTTTGTTATCATTATCGAGTAACCAAACAAATAATAAATTGTTATAAAAAAAATGGATAAAACAATATGGTTGATTCTGTACCTGAGTAAATCCCTTGAAAAGAAGTTAGAAGTACTGCAGTAACAACAGCAACAACAATATGGATAAGCTTGTTGTTGTGGTACCAATGTTGCTGCCGGAGGAGTTGTGTTACTTGTGTTGGTGCCATTGTTGTTTAAAGCAGATAATATAATATGTCTCAGCGTTCCATTTTCATCCACAATTTGTTGCACCATGTGACCAGGAGGAACCTTCAGGGGGAGAAGAGGAAAGAGCAGAGGAAAATGTATACACATTAAGTGGAGATGGAGGAAAGAGGAGAGAGGAGAGAGAGAAAAGAAGAAAAGGGATGAGAGAAGGAAGAGAAAAATAAACCAATAATATATTAGTCAATTATATTGCATGGAAACATGTTTAAAATGGAGTTAATTCATTGAAATAATAACAATCTTTGGCTTCTCTTCTGGAAGACATCCAAGATCAACATTGGTCTAACTGGTAATCTGGTTTGGGCTGTTTCGGGTTAAAACAGAGATTCTTAGAGATTCTAATTTACCTGAACAGGCATCGGTACTGGAGGGAATGAGTGCTGAGAAATCATAGTAACTGTGGCTGGTCCTCGAAGCACTGTTTCATTGCCATCAAATAATTGTATCGACACAGATTCACCTGGGTTCACATGTAAATCAACAAAATGAGGTGGTCCAGACAAGCCAACAGCAGTTGTTGAGCTGTTTAACATGATGTTGATGGTGGAAGATGATGATGATAAAAGTAACTAGTAAGAAAAAATATGTCTCAAGTCTATATGGTAACACCAATATGGTTAACTTCACAGCAATAAATATTCACTATAATAGACGTAGTTCCGCTGTTTTATACAATTAATTAGGACAATTGACCACTACATTCAAAAATTAATTGAAACACGTATACAGATATTTCCATCCGTTTTCACCTCCCTCTCTCTCTCCAGCTACAGTAAAGACTCTCTACTGTCATTTGTTCCGATTTTTAAAATAATCGATCCACCAAATCGATGCTAAATGTCAGTTGATAATCGATGTAAACCACTATTTATAGTGAATAAATCGCTTCAAATTAACTTACAATCTGGTTTATGATAACATTCAAGACGAATTTTCTCGAAAAATATCGTCTAATGAATTTAATCTAATAAAAATTATACCACTTTTTTTTTGGAAAGCCATTGTTTTGTGAAAAGTATATTGCACTAATACCAGTGCAGCACATTAATACAACAAAACTGGTATAAGTTTGTTAGATAACTACATTGAAAGATATAGTCTATAATATCGTCTAATGAATTTAATCTAATAAAAATAAAACCATTTACATAAAAAGTTATCACCTGTTTAAAAATCATAAGTAATTTGACAGCCAATCTGTAACTAAAGGCTGACCTTTCACCTATGAGGTTTAATTGCAATTTTACTTATCTTTCTCAATCTTCAATTTTAATAGTAAACTTGCAATAAGCAGATCAAAACTGTGAATTTATCAAACATTTTATGAAAAATTTGTGTCTTTTTTTCAACTTTTAGTGATTATAATTGATAAATTGACAGATAATGTCATCCATATTGATCTTTAATGACTTTTTATAATTGAAACAGATGACTTTATTTATCCCTACTTTGTTTAAATGTCACTGTAAAAGGTGACATTTATTGAAGATCAAAGGTTATCATGATTCAATTTTCCAGAAATTAGAGTTTTAAATTACAATCTGAATTGAATTTGAATTGAAATTAAATCTAATTTATTGAAAACTGCCATCTATTGTTGAAAAGGAGTAAACGCTTTCTTTTATCTTTTTATCACAGTAGATGGAGCTCCTTGTTCAATCTTAATTCAAATTTGTCAGTTACAGTTAAAATTTAAATTTACAGTTAATTAGAATCAACAAATTATGTTTTCTTTGTTATGTGAATAAAATTTGAATACGCTGAGCATCCAATTAATTCATCAGTTATAAATAGTTTCTCTTATTTGTGTTTGAAACAATTAAAGCAATTCAGATTCACTCTACATCCTCCAATTGAAACCAACAAAACATATGTAAACAAATAAATCAAAACTAAATTAAATTAACCCTTTTTTAAAATTGACACAGAAGGAGCTAACATTTGAAAACCTGATCATTGTATTGAGCATTTATGTTAAGATATCGGCCTCCTGTAATACTGTGAAAGATAAATAAACCATTTTTGCGTTTTATTGAATCAACTGTTTTTGTGTCTAAACAATTGGGAGTTTTACAAATCTTGACAATGACATTTGATAGCTGCTGGTTTACGCATTTCAAAAGACTATCAACTATCACTGTTCATTATTTATTTTGTTACAGTTATTAATTTGATTCTTTTTTTCTCTGGTTTGTAATCGATAAATTGTAACCAGCAGGCTATCATTAATTGCATTTGATGCACAGTTTTGATTCAGTTTTCTTAGCTATTTTAATTTTGGTAAAGCAAATTTATCTGGACGCTTAATTGCCAGTGATTCAGGGGTTTTGAAAAATTGGTTTAAAATTGTGAATTTTTAAGCATTTATAAAAAATAATACGTTTAATAGTTACAATTTTCACTCAGATGTAAAATATATTTGTTTTTATTTGCAAATATTGATAAATTATAAATTATTTTCGATTCAATTTTGCGTAAATATATCAGAATCTCTTTCTTAAAATGGTTTTTAATAGATGATAGATTTGATTTCAACGTACAAAAAGATGATAGCACACAATAATTAAAAATAATAAATTAAGTTGTAATTAAAATATCGTTAACGATCACGATAAACTGGAGCGGCTTGTTTACTGTGATTAGAGTCTTCAACTGATGATACTAAATCCAATTTTTTAGATTTATTATCAGTCTCAGTTGATGGCAATGGTGATGATAATAAAGAAGATGAAGATTTAGATGACGCTGAGTATTGGTCGAAACTTGCATTGTTTATGTGATTATTTGGTTCATTGGTATTTTTTGATGATGAACCAGTGTATGGATTTTCCTTGTTTCTGCTAATTTGATTGAAAAGCCCTCTTAAGCCTGTTTTGAAAGTTGAATAAATTTCAGATGAGGTTCCTCTTGAGGGTCTATTCAATACATTTTCATCTGAATTTTTATCTCTTGGATAACGGCTATTAACTGTTGGTCCGTTCAATCGCCCATAATCATTCAAAGGAAATGAAGGTTTGGTTTGTGTATCCATTGTTTCCTTACTTAAACCATAAGGAAGTTTATTAATGTAGACTGGTTCATCTTTTGGTTCATATTTATTAGTATTTTTAATTCGATCCGAATGTGAATCACTAACAACTGAATACCAATCATGATCATGGTCAGGATGAGAAGAAGGAGATGGACGATGTTCGTTTCTATTGATTGGGTAATGATGATGCTCATGAGAGTCACGTTCGTTTGATCCTGATTCTCTAGAATCATAAATAACTTGAGGTAAATCAGAATCATGACCAGAGCTATCCTTGTTTGTCTCTGGTTTTGGTGGGTAAGCAGCAGGTCTTTTCCGTTGTACAGGAGTACCATGAATTTCCGATGAATATGGAGGTGGTGGTAATGATGGAGATGAAGCTGGTTGAGGAGGAGGTAAGGGAAGTAAATCAGAGTAATGTTGGTTCTTTAGTCTTGTAGGTTCGAAGGGAGGAAGAGAAGATGTGAAATAAGATGGTGATTTATCACGATAATCTTGAGATTCATGAGAAGATGGTGAAGATGATGGAGCATCTATTTGATAGATACTTGAATGAACAGGGGGTGATGATGAAGGTGGAGCTGGTAACTGAGTTTCATGGGAACTATCGTAGTTAGTAGATCTTGGAGGAGGCAATGGTAATTCAGTAGCTAGATAACCAGCAGAAGGATCTCGATAGCTGTTATAAGATGTTAATGATGATGGGGGCAATGGTAGTTGACTTGGTGAATCTTTATAATTGCTGTTGAAAGGTTTGTTTCTCGAATACATTGATGAGGTGTGCTTTGACATTGGTTCATGGTGATAACGCGCTCTTGGATAAATTGGTTCATTTTTAGTAACTTCTTCTTTCTTTATGTCTTCATCGTGTTTAGTCCATCTTGTTGGAGATCGGAAATGAGTGCCTTCCTTACTTCTATCAGCATCTTCTTCCTTTTTGATTGGTAATGGATAATGAGGTTTACTGTAGGCAGGAGGGTGATAAATGTGATCCAATTCATAAGGAACTTTCATTGATTTCAATTGTTGAGCTCTTTCTTTTTCTTTTTTAATTGGATCATATTGAGAGTAAGGAATAGTATTTGGCACATTATGATTAGGTTTACCAATTGAATCATAATTATTTACTTCAGATGATGATTCAAATGATTTACCATCGCTTGGTTTTAGGGGTGAAAATGAGTTGATAGTAGGTCGATGACCAGTTCGATAGACTTCCTCAGATATTGAATTCGCCTCTTCAGAGGAAGATTTAAACCCATGATTTGGCTTCAATGGAGGTGAATAATGCGAATCAGATGATAAAGGTAAAGACGGTTTACTCTCAATAGCAGGTGAATTCATTAACTGGTTCGGATACAATGATGGACGATTCTGATTAGCTCTATGCTCATCTGACTCTTTAGAAGAAGGAATAATTCGTTTATAAAGATATTCTGGAACATGTTTATCACCATATTTTTTAGGCTCAGAATGTCGAGGTTTTGCTTCATTGTCCAATTTAGTTGGTGCCAGTCGAGATGATTCTTTCTCCAGTGAATTAAATGATCCATCGTGAATGGGTGCTAATGTACTTGTCTCCAATTCATTGCCTAGATAAGGTTTGGTTACCATTGAAATTGATGGTGAGTTGTAACCTTTAATTCCTGGTTCATTCGATGACATTTTAACCCGAAATCCTTTATCATCCGCAATATATTCAACTTTACGATAGATTCCGTTGGCATCAACATATCCATAAGATCCTACTTTAGCTCCACTTCCGTCCGAATGTTCATGTCGATGTTGCATATTGCCTTGTCCATCTTCAATTTCATATCCAAATTGATAGGGTTTCTTAACTTTATCACCATTTAACTATTGATCAAAAACAGAAAGTAAATAATGTTTAAATTAAGTAACATTGCATGTTGATTAACATAGATATTAGATGTTTGCTTGCCATGAAATTAACCACTAAACTGGACCTGATTACATTCATTATCATTAAAAAAGCCAAATAATTGCTCTTCATTTCCTTCCTTGGCTAATATATTTTAACCAAACCAACTAATTTACCCGTTTTAGGTATTTTCTTAATTACAGTTAATTGATGTGCCGTCATCAAGGTTAATTGAAAATAGGTCCAATTAAGCTAATTGTTTGTTTTACTTCTGTTAACAGTTGTTGACCTCAAAATGATGGCAAAGACAATTAACCAATTTTAATTCATAAACAAAGTTACATTTATAAAATATAAATAATAATTATAAATGTACATTTTTAGATGTTGATACAATAGAAAGTAAATTAAAGAGTTAACCAGAAATTTTAACAAGATTAGGTTAATCAACTCAATTGAGTTCATCATTAACCATATCCAACAACTTGTTCAACTGTTCAAATCAATTGTTGAAATTGAATTTAGTCTCTAACAATCAAATAAATTGTTGAGTTGAAATTTTTCCCTAAGGGAAAATTGTTAATCAATCAACAAAATTAGCTGTAATATATTAGTTTTTTTGATTAGTTTGTTACTTCCATGGTTAAGTGTGAAATCCTTTTGCAATTAATCAAGTTACCTTCCGGATTAGACCAACCGTGAAATTAATTAATTCAATCAAAAATTGTGAAGAAGATGATTAACAATGAAGAGAGAAAAAAATATTGAGAAAAATTTGTGATTTATTTTGACCTGGAATGTTTACATTCACTTTTGATTGTTAATTTCAATTTAATCGGGAAAATGTTTTTAATTGAAATCACTTTTCTGATTGAAATCATCAATTCGATTGGGAGAAATTAAAATTTTACTTCAAATATGCATTTAAAATGAAATATAAATCACTTATAAATATCACAATCAATCGATTAAACTGTTGAATCAATGAAATATTCATCTTCCAATTTAGCTGAAAAATTGGAGTAAAATTCAAGTCAATTTCAATGAAATTGTTTCACTTAAATCACTGATTTACCCACTGAATATTAATATTAGTAAATTGTGAACAAAGGTTGAACTATTAATCTATTTAATTAATTGTTTGGGTCAAGTTAAGAAGCTCCAATGAATAATCAATTACAACTCATAATTGTCAACTTTCTCATATTAAATAATCATTTTACCCATGAAAAGAAAGGTAAAGAAATGAATTCACACGCTGATTTATCAGCTGAGAACAATCAAATTTTAATTTGTTAACCAGCAAATTGTAAATAAATTTACTCCCATTGATTATCTCAGTTAATGAACTTTCTTTTGTCTTACACTTTGCTAATGAACTTGTCCTTATGAACCTGTTCACAATGATTAATAAATTAATGTCCCAAAGTCAGTGAATCAATCAATTGGCCATAAGCTGTCTAATTAGATGTTAAAATAGCAAATTAATGCAACTTGAAACTAATTATTGCTATTCTTTGATTACAATCAGACGATAATTTTTGTTCAAGTTTAACCAGTTGAATCTTAGATGGTAAATCATGTAAAATGATTTAATTGTTATCAAGATTTGAAGTCACCTTAAAATGAGACAAAAAACAGCCTCAACAATTTATCTATTGGCAGACTATTCAATGAGATAGTTCAATGTTTTACTGATTGTTAATGAACTTCAATTGATTTGGCTCAATTCACTTAACTCTTCATAATTAAACAATGTAGCCTTTATTTAAACCCAATCAGATTCAATGATTAAGTAACCAAATTGCTATTCTAAGTGTGCGACTCTAAATTCAATTTAATGGTTGAAACGGAAGAGACTTTTCTGGTTGAAATTGATCAACAGAGACAGCAATTAAAATACAAAAAAACACTTGATTGGCAATCTAATAATCAAATAATGAAGCAAAAAATTAAATCCAATTCAATGTTGACCAGAATCATGGAAAGTGTGGTTTAAGCAGAGCGTTTCAAATTGATTTATTTCATCTAATTAACTACTATTATCAAGTTAAACCAAGGTTGATTGTGAAAATATGATTAACAATACGAACAAATAATTTAGTAATTTGAAGGATAAACTCAACCATCCAATGATTTGGTCACTTTCAACTAATAACATTAATACTTTTTTTGTAGTCCATTTTGGTTCGGCTGGACAGATACACTTGAAAATAACAAAATATTAAATTAATAGTTGGGTGAAACTACAATTTGTAAATGAAATCAAATTGAATGGGAATAGACAATGAGTTTCAACTTTCTGGTTTGATAGTTTTCAAGTTGAAGTAAAATTCACAAGAAAGTTCAATATTGATTTAATTGTTTTAATGGTTAATGAATGAACCAACAATTGGTCAATGTTGATTGTCACATATGTTAATCTATTTGTTTCATTAATCAACTTTTCTCTCACACTAGTTTACATTTGATTCTTGATTAACATTTACAATTAAACCTTTTGCAATTGTAATATTTGCTCTGATTTTTGATTCCCTAATATTGAGTGTAAAAACTAAACTACAATTACATTTTTCAAGTCTATTAACCAAGTCTATTGCTAATCAAGAAAATACAAATCATGTTCAATATGAGTTTGGATTTAACCGTAAGATTAACTCTGAAAATTAGATTAACGGCAGAAAGTTTCCATTAAAATGGTTAAACCAATTTAATGTTTGATTTACCAGAAAAATTGTTACCAGTTTTGATTGGCAGTTATTAAACTCAATGATTGAGAGTTGTTTTCATACAAATTATGGTGTTGATTGGTCAGCTTCAATTGAGAATGATTAAGTGATGATTAGAGATGATTAAAGGATAGGATTGAAATTGTTGGCCCGTTCAGTGCTTTACAATTGTTTACCTTTTCGCAAATTTATAGCTAATCAACCGATTTAACCGTATTTGTTTGTTGAGCTTTTTGTTTTCATTTGGTAACTTATATTATTGATTAAAGTTCAATAACAAATTGTTGGACATTTATACAATTAGCAAGTTGCTTTGTTTACTTGAATTTGTTGATAATAAATTCAGGAAGAAAGGTAAAGTTAATTCAGTTGATTCAACTTTTTCTGCCTTTATAATCAACCTTTTGTTTTCACCTTTTTTCAAATTCATTGTTTTAACAATTCAAGTAATTAATTTTGTATCCATATTGATCAATCTAATCAAGTGTAATCAATCAGAATGTAAGCTTAAATAATGAAGGGAATGTTAATTATTTTTCCACTTCTTGAGCTTCACTTGATTGTTGTTTCATTAAAAAATGGATTGTGTGATTAAGCAAAGGGTAATCTCATTCTTGAATTCATCTATCAATCCTGACTAATATTTTGGTTATTGATTGTTCAACTTGTATTGATTTCAACTCTTCTTGTTATGTTTGTTTGAATTGGCTGGGAAGGAAATCTCAAATTATCTAATCGTTTGCAATAATCCAATATTTTGGTGTCATAATTATGGTTAATATAAAGATTAACCTTGACTATTGGTCAAGTAGGTCAATCGAGACGGTCAATAATGTTGTTGATTGTGGACTAATTGAGTTATCTAAAAAAAGTGGACAACAGATTATCAAATCTTTCAACCATAAGGTGGTCACAATAAAATGAAATGTAAAATAACAAAATAAAAATCAATGATAAATCTTAATTTCCTTTCATCTAGATGTCTGTAACTATTTTTGATAAACATTTTGATTTCCTAAAAATTATACAATTCCGTTTGATCTACCTGATAGAAACGACCCTGAATGGTTCTGCATAAATCAGAAATTGATCTGACTTTGATTAAACGGTTATAAGCTGTTACGTGAAAGATAATGCAATGTTAAGATATAGTGGAGTGACAATATCATGGCAAGCTTTAATGTTATCAAAATATCTACCAATTTAAATAATCAAATTAAACACTTACCTTTTCATCGGAAGACAATTTATCACCCTTTAATTGCTTACCAAGCACAGGGTTAATCACTAGTTGAATAGAGATTATCGAAATGAAAGTTATCCAATTCATTTTTGGGTTACAAAGAAACAGTAATTTCTTTGACAAAATTTCTGGTTAAATCTCTTGGTAACAGGCACAACTACGATGAATCAAGTGTCGGGTTAAAATGGGTTAAGTTGAAAAAGTATGGAAAGCTGGAACAATCAACTGATTAGTTAAACTTAATTAAGAAATGAAAAGAGACCATTGAAGGACTGTAAAACAAATAAGATTGATACAAGACAATTTGTGTCCAGTTAATAAGTGATGTCTAACCTGGCAATGTAAGACATTTTGATTGTTGAGCTGAGAGTTTAGTTTTGTAACTTGAGTCACTGTGAGGGAGAAAGTGAGACTAAAGAAGAGAAAGTAGGAGTCGAAGGCGGGAAATTCATATAAGGTGAGGGACATGCAACAGATAGGTTAATACAAATCAGCTGAGTATCCGGTTAGTCTTTATAACTGTTTTTGTATGAATGGCTTTAATTTTGTTTGTCTATCATAATATAATAATAAATAATATATCTTTTTTTGTATTAATTTTATCATTTGTTTGTGCCAATATTTAGTCTTTTATTAACTGTTAACTTTCTCACTTTCACGACTTGGTGTGGCTTATCTGAATCTCACACGCGACTGTTTACCCTCTTCATCTTTCATCTTGTTGGTTGGTTGACTTTTTTTCATTTTAATCACTCTTGTTAATCAATGTTAACATCAACCTTCTTCTTAATTTTGCTGTTATAATCTTTTGTTTTGTAGCTTTTTAAAGTCATTTTGTCTTAAAATCCTTTTTTTTCTTCTCTTTTTTAGCGTTGCTGCTTCAAAATTCAGGTCCATCTTCACCTTTAATCTGGCTGTTTATTTTTATTTGTAAACCTGATTCCCAAAGACATCAAGAAAGAAAAGGAAATCTTTTAGTGAAAAGAATGGATTCCATTATCAGTTGTCGTTCTGTATCTTCCTGAGGTCACAAAACCGTCATCATTATCATCATCATCTTCGTCTATCATTTCATTGTCTAACTTTTTACGTGATCAAGATTGAGATTAGCGTTTTGGTGTGTTTATCACAACATTCAAGGGAAAACTATTTTAAGCCTCTTCTTTCTCATAGGAATGATAGATGATGGTTTAAAGAGTGTTGACCGAGAATTCAGTACGAAGTGCTAATTAATAATGAAAGTTATTAAACATTAAGCGCGAAAGTAAATAAATTTGTCGTTTCCAGAAAACAATTAAATTATATTTATTATTTAAAATTGTGAAATGCATAACAATTCCGATCTCAAAATAATCTGTTTTGAATATTCGTCAATTTAAGGTGCAAGGATTTTAACCGTAAGCTTGTAAGCTACGAACAAAGCGGATTAAATGATCGATTTAGCTTACTACCTGATCTTAATCCGGTCTAAATTGGCTTATGACAAGCTACAAATTTAAAAACAGATCTTTTGGTCAATATCTTCTCATATTTTACTTGACTTACAAAACCATTAAGAAAAGCATTAACAGTTTTCATAAACTCCGATTATCTCATTAGATGAATTTTCAACAAAACTCAAACTTTCGCGCTACAAGCTCAAACTGATAAAGTAAATTCATTGGCTTCTGAATCGTATTCGTCATGACCAACTTCAACATTTTCAGAACAACTTTCTCGATTGTCAAAATATTCAGTTTCGCACATCTCAATCATTATTAGCAATTGAGTTTTCTTTCGTATTATTATTGTTCATCGGTTCAGATTCATCATAATCTTCTAGATTCATTTCAACGATTCTGATATTAGGTTCGTTCACCACACTAACCCTTTAGAGGAACAAAAACTTGAAAATGTTACACAATTTTGGGACAAAAATAAGCTTTTAGTTTCTCTTAAATTTTAATTTAGAGTCAATTTTGAGGTGTAAAGTGTCAAGTTTTTTTATTAATCAAATGCCATCATATCATTACAAAGGTCTAAGTAGTTTAAGTTATTCAGTTAATTGAATCTGTACTCTGTCTTGGTAATGGGTCAACAGCAAAAGTCAAATAAGCAAATAGACAAAATAGCAAATCGGCTTATAAAATTAATGTAAACAATTGAAAGGTTTAATGCCAAAATCGGTTTAAACCGAGTTAGTTTGGGTACACAAAGGGCACTCATTGAACAAGTTGAGAAATTTTATGATCGATGATTCTCGGTAAATCACGTTCAAATTGAAAATTCGATAGATTTTTGCAGTTATGGGCAAATAAAGCGAAAAAGTGTCTGATTATCAGTTTAATCGATGAAATGAAGTTCAACTCTTCGATAAATTGCATGAAAAGTGTGAATTTAATTGGTACATTGTATTAACTTTGTCTCTTTGCTATTTTGGTGACAAATGTTCAGTAAAATTCAACCATTGGTAACGCTTGATCACAGGCAAGATTGACATGACGCTGTTAGAAAATTATTTCTAATAGTTGAAACGCTAGATTTATCTGATAAAGAAACTTAAAAGTCGAGAATCGTGACAAAGAAGGTCGCATTTCGAAGGATAAGAAACAAGTTGTTTTCGAATTCGGTTGTAAAGGTCTCCTTCCAATTGAGCATCTAAAAGTAATACAAAACTCAATTCTTCAAGATCTAATTTTTCAATAACCCGTCTAATTTTATCTTACAATTTTGTTAATTACAATTGTTTGAATAACAATAGCTAAAGCCTTTCAGAGATAATTACAGACGAACCTCGATTTTTTGTCAATGAAGTAAAGAACAGCTCCATCTAGTTGCATTATAAATGATTATGAAACTCAATAAGTTTATTAAACACATTTAAGCTTTTTTTGTTTGTTTGTTATTTTCAGTTGATGGTTCTTTTTTGAAAAAAATCGAGGGTCTAATGTACTTAATTTTTTAGATTAGTAAATTAATATTTTAGGATTGGAAACTCATCCGCACAAGGGAAACTTTAGGAAAATTTTGAGAGGATTAGATACATGCATTCAAATAACTCGCTAGATGGAAGCACTTTAATCCCCTTAGGTGGCGCATGCAGCGTTTAAAAATAAAAATAGCCGTATACTTTTAATGCGATTATTGTTAAACCAATTTTTGTAATTTAATTGACCCATCTCTTGACCTCTGTTTTTTTTCATTTCAGTTTAATTTTTACCACAGTACATCGTACATCTCTAATAACATCATGCCTAACATCGAACTACAAAGCAGTGAGGGAGGTGATGAAAATATTAGTGACCCAGCTGAACCAGATTTATCATCAGATGAGAGTGATGGTGAAGATGGTCCTAAGAGAAAAAGTAAACAAATTTCTGATGATGAAGAAGACAAAGATGATCAAAATGAAGGTTCCGATCATGGAGATTCAGCGGAAAGTGATAAAAATATTAGTGACCCAGCTGTACCAGATTTGTCTTATGAAAGTGACGGTGAAGATGGCCCTACAAAGAAAAAACAAATCTCTGATGATGAAGAAGATAAAGAAGAACAAAATGAAGGATCTGATCCTGGAGATTTAGAGGAAAGTGATAAAAATATTAGTGACCCAGCTATACCAGATGAAACATCCTTTGAAAGTGATGGTGAAGATGCCCCTACCAAGAAAAGAAAACGAATTTCTGATGACGAAGAAGATAAAGATGAACAAAATGAAGGGTCCGATCACGGAGATGCAGAGGAAGGTGATAAAAGCATTAGTGACCCAGCTATACCAGATTTATCATCAGATGAAAGTGATGGGGAAGAGGGTCCTAAGAAAAAACGAAAACTAATTTCCGATGATGAAGAAGATAAAGATGAACAAAATGAAGGGTCCGATCACGGAGATGCAGAGGAAGGTGATAAAAATATTAGTGAACCAGCTGTACCAGATTTATCATCAGATGAAAGTGATGGTGAAGGTGGCATTAGGAAAAAAAGAAAAAAAATTTCTGACGACGAAGAAGATAAAGATGAAGAACCCAGAGAGGAATCTGGTCAAGCTGATGGTGATGAGGAAGGAAACAAAACAAACGATCCAGCAGTTCCAGATTTGTCTACTGACGACGAAAGCGACGATGAAGATAAAAGAAGGAGTAAAGTCTCGTAAGTTTGAATCATTTTTTCTTTATTTTGTGATTATAGAATACATGTTGTTTTTAATATTTACAGGGATGATTTCGTTTATGACTTTGATCTTATGATGGCTAAAAAGAAGGAAGAAAGTTACCATCGAAGGAAGAGGAAAAATATAGACATTATCAACGATAACGATGACATCATTGCTGATTTAGTTACACAGATGAAACAATCAGCAGACGTAAGTACTCTATTTTTTTAAAGAAAAACTGTACTCTAATGTCTTTTATCTCTTTCCAGGACGATTTTGAGCTTAACAAAAATAGGAAAGCAGCTACCTGTAAACTAAAACTATTGCCAATTGTGGAACCACAGTTGCGGAAAATTGATCTTAGAGAAGCATTTCTGGATGCTGGAGTTCTTGGGGTTATTACAGATTGGCTCACTCCATTACCTGATAGAAGTTTACCAAATTTACAAGTGAGAGAAACAATGCTCAAGCTACTCGGAGAAGTAAGTATTGACACCCCATATTCATTAACTTTATATAATTAACCAATTTTTCTATTTTCTTTAAGTTTAATATAATGGATGTTGAAAGATTAAAAGCTAGTGGAATTGGTAAAGCTGTCATGTATCTTTATAAGCACCCTAAAGAATCCAAAGAGAACAAGAGACGCGCTGGCGTTTTGATCTCTTCCTGGTCTCGACCCATATTCAGCTTGGATTCTGATTTCCATACAATGTCAAAAGAAGAAAGAGAACAGCGAGATTTCGATCATATGACAAAACTCTCTGAAAATAAAAGAGTTCGAGTTGAACCCCCCACTACCCCATCTTCAAGTCGTAAAAGCCAACAAGAGCCAGAAAAGTAAGTAGCATTAGATTTTTAACTTTAAATTCTGTGCAAACAATTTCTAATTAATCTTTCTTTTTTCTTTACTTTATCTTTCAGAACTTTGAGGCCTGGTGACAAAGGTTGGATTCCCAGAGCTCGTGTACCAGCTCCATCAACCCGTGACTATGTTGTTCGACCCAAATCAAACGTAGATTCAGATATGACAAAATCTGGTAGCAAGAAGGCCGTCACTCGACTAGATAAGCATCTTCGCAATTTCCGAGAAAAGAAGAAATTAATGAAAACACAAAGAGCTGTAGCCATTAGCATTGAAGGACGCAGGATGAGCCTTTAATATTTAATTAAATCGTCTATTATCCCTCTATTTTTCTCTTTTATCATTTTCTTTCTCCCAACTCTAACTCGTATTGAAGATTCATTATTTTCTTTATTATATAAGTTGACCTTACAAAAGGTTTATATCCTTCTATCCAGCTTATTGTTCCCTAATCATTTATTTTTTAAATCCTTCACTTGAAGATCTATTCTGATAATGTATGAAATTAAGTATCTATGATGCAATAAATGATTGGATAAGTTAATACCATGTTTTATTATTTATAATTGTGATTAGCACTTTGCTTATATTTTGGAAAAATTTGATATGACAATGGTAAACATTGATATGAACAAAGAAATGTCAATAGCATAAATGTTTAATTATGACAAGAGAGCCAATATCATTAAACCGTCGGTTTCTCGTTTAAATGACATAAAAATGTTACTTCAATCAATAATCATGAACAACGTTTAATCGGCTTCTCTGATACTTTAATACAGATTCGACCCTGTGGACCAGTTTGAGAGCTATCCAAACCCACCTCTTTAGATGTAAATCGCTGAAATATGTTACTAGAACAAGGTTTAGTTTCAAATCGACATCCATGGAGCGAAGCAGCAAAAGTCATTATGGAGAAATGTGATGAACAAAATTCAAGTCCATCACAGCCTGGTTGATCATTCCAAGAATCGGGGAAATTAATAAAATAATCTGAATCTCCCGTTGGAGTCAAAGCTCCTGTTTTTGTGTTACCCGCAAAACGTTGTCCTAAAACAGGAACAGGAGCTACAAAAGTTGAATGAATCACATCTACAATCTTAGCATCTCCTTTACCAGATATCTTTTTATTAGAAAAATAAAATGGTATCGCGTCAGGATCTAGTACTGTTGATAAAATGACAGAAAAACACAAAATTTATCAAGATAAGATAATAACTCAATAATTTGAAAAATGTCCAAATTCTTACCCACTGCTTTTCCAACGGTTAAATTGTACTTTTCCTTGATCCAATCAGCAGCAAAATGGATTGTATTACCTCCAAGGCCATGACCAACAAGAGTAATATTATCTGGATTAATGGAACGGTTGTTAACGATGAAATCAATTGAATTACCAATTATTCGACCAACTGCTTCAGAGTTAGCAGCTGCAAGAAATTTGTTATATCTAGTAACAGGAATATCAAATAACAAGGATGGATTGGCACCAAGATCCCACCGAACCAGAACGATTTGATCATAATGTTTCAACAGACCATCAACTAATTCCATGTTAAACAGTTCTGTATGCTCAGATCTGTATCCCGGTATTACGTAAGCAACCGATGAATTGGGAGATATACCAAAGAGATTGAAAAACTCGTATGAATTGTTGTATCTCATCACCTTAAACTCAACACCAAGTTCATCGGGAGGTTGAGGACAGGCGGCCACCGGTGGTAAACCTAAATACGCTTGCAATTTGAAGGGTTGAAAACATCCGACATCATCATAACAAACTGGCTTCATACATGGCTGGAAAATTCTGTTATTCAGATAAGCAGAATAATCTTGTCCGAAAATTGGTGAAACTAAAGCAGCAAGAGAAAACAGAAAGAACGATAACCTAGCGAATTTAACCATTTTGGATCTTTTGATAACAATTATTGTCACCCTGAAGGATTTTCTCAACTGAATCAAATTGTTCCATGTAGAAGTTGAAGTAAAATTGTAATCAAGTTAATTAGATAACCCTCATAATGTTGGCTGTCTATGGTTACAAGATGATGGGCCTATTTCCTATTAGCCAGTATTGTTGACACAATAATTACACAACTAATCATTATTAACATCACAATTATGAATCCTAAATTTATTTCAGTGTTTATTGATCCAATTTTCAATCTCAATCATCGTTGGAATAAATAATTAACTCTTAGTTTGCTCAATTTTTGCTTGTAATATAAATAAACTTGGTCTGTAAAAACTTGCAAATGTTGCAATTTTAGATTAGATTCATCTACTCGGAGATGGAAAAATTCAATGATTCGTGCAGAATATTCAAGTTGCGAAAAATTTTACTGTTTATTTATTTTCACTTGAAGTTATTCCAACTCCTCTAAACAATTATTTGTTAATCTAATAATTGTAAGTATTAGTATCAAATATTTGAATTTTTGTAAATTCAATCAAATCAACTTCCGATGTACTTATCAATACTGCTTTGACATGAATATACGGTGACCAGTAATTTTCGGTCTGGTTTCTGATAATATGTCTAGATTTACAGTCAATCAAGTTTAAACTGTTAAACTCAAAATATTCAATTTTTGTCAGAATATTTTTATCAAGATGACTATGTAACCAGAAATCGTCGAGTCAAATTAAATGGTACCGCTTGATCAATATCATGAGAAACTGTGTTAAGATAAACACAGTGGGCAAAGCAACATTGAATAAAATATCGAAATTTTGTGATGAACCTTTTGATAACCATAGTCGAATATTTCATCAGAGGTTCAATTTGATTCAGATCCTTGTAATTATGTTCAGTAAACACAATAATACGTCTTTAATTATGCGGTTGCATCGAAAAAACTTTGAATGATGTTATATACTTCATTAGGAGTGAACTTGACATATTTTTCAATATTCTTTGAAAAACTCAGGTTGCTGTACCTGTAAAAGAGAAAAACATGAATCAGATATTATATGGTCTCGATTAAAATAGATGAAATATTACTTATTAAAAAATTGTGCATATCTTGGAACAATGAAATTGGCGTTATCCTCTTTCAGGCTTTCACGAAGTTCAGCATCAGGAATCGCATAAGCTTTTTGTATTCTACGTAGCTCTTCAATTTCCTTATTGAAGCCCTGAGTAAATTAGAAAGATAAAAACAGAAATTAATTTTATTGCATGTGAATTTTAACACAAGGAACTTACAGAAAACTTGTCTTTAATCATTTGGCGGTCTTTCTCCTTCAATTTCATGTTGGCCATTTCAATAGATTCAGGTGAAGGCGCTTTGTTATCAATTTCAATAATAAAATGTAACACTCTACTCCAACTTTGAGAATAGATTCTTTTGTTTTCGATAATTTGTTTTTCGTAGACTTTTTCAATTTCTTTGTTGTATAATTCCAAAATTTTGGAAAGGGATGACTTACGTAAAGTCTAAAGTGTAATTAGACAGAAAACGAAAATAGCAGTTTAGTAGATAGAAGTTACAGTTTGAAAAAATGAAATGAAAACTTACCTTAAGTATGTAATGAATATTGTTAAGTTTAAAAATAGCTTTCAAATATTGATCAGCATAACAATCACTTTTCAGTTGTAGATTCAAAGCTAATGTCTGTAACACTCGACTAATAAATTGAGCAAAAGCCAACTTATTTTTGTCAGATGATCTTTCGTATGATTGCATATCTGTTACTGTTATAACTCTGGACAATATATCCAAATAATTTGAAAGCTGGACAAGAAATATCATAACATTACTAGTTAGCTCATGCACAGTTCCATCTCGAGGTACTTTGGTATCAACGTCATTACGAATGTACTCAATAAATTCTTCTAATGCTTTGTTCAATGTTGTTTGAAGAGTTACCACAAGTCCTTGAAATTTAGTTTGAACATCAGTGCTGCAACCATCAGAGGTGCAACCATCAAAAAGTAGATCAAAGTTATGTCTCATCGAGGCTTGATGTCGCAGGATTGGGAATAGATTGAGAGCTGAAGTGAAATCATGTTTAGCTGTACATTTCTTGACTCGACCTGCAATACTTTCTCCTTCATTAACAACAAAATCTAAAGCTGGCTGAACTAGACGACTGAATATTACTTTTTGACATTTGATCGGTATTACTCCTTCCATTAATCCTTCCATTAATTCCAATTCTGCTTTCATCAGACGATATAAAGCTGTAACGCTAGTTAAATAACATTCGATTTCTCTTTCACTGGTTGCAAGCTCACATAAGTCGTGAGGAACTGAGTGATAAGATCGCCCTCCAAGCATTTCGGTCGGAATAACATCTTGTAGCTTCTTTCTCAATGCCTGTTGAATACTTTTAGGATTTCGACGTAGAGGTAAATTATCTCGCAATGGGGTTAAACTTTTTCTAGGCGGTGCAGGTGATCCATGGATACCACTGAAACCACCCGAGGAAGATTTCTGAGATAGCTTAAAATCACGTAAAGATTTTTCGACAACTTCACACCGCAAAGAAGAATAAGCAGCAATGAATTCACCCTCCATATTATCAACAAGCCATTCACTTAACAGCCTCAACTGAGCTCTGTCTTTTTCTGTGAAAAGAAAAATTATGAATAAATTTATTTATACTTTTGACATTCATGTAATAACATACCGGGTATATTTTCTGGCAATGGTTTTGGCGTTTCTGTAGAACTATCTTCTTCATGAACCAATAAATAAATAATGTTAGGCGGTACTGGACGACTATGATTTGATATCAATAAACGAAATTTTTTCAAGAGTAGAGCTGCTCCTTTTTTGTGAAGGCTTGTCTGGAAAAAACAAAAAGAGGAATAATAGTCTTTTAAACTAGGATAATGATGTGTAGACTAGACAAATATTCAAACTTACAACATTCATAAGCTCTGGACTTTCAGGATTATTCTTTTCAAAATAGTTGATTGCACTTTTAAGTTTATTCATATTTTCGAGATAATCTGGAATGGGCATTGAATCAGGACCAGTGGCAATTATTGGCTCCAAATCATTAGCGACAGTATAAAATGGTATAACATAATCGAAACTTTGTAGAGCTTTAATGAGATTTTCTTGTCTCTGTTGTAAATTACCAGTCTCTTTGTAGACAGGTCCAATGGTCTCTTCCAATTTGGACAATTTTTCATCAAAATTAGATAAGATAGAAACCATTGTTTTGGTCAGTTTGTTGCTTTTAGTTAACATCTCTTTAAAAGACTCTAAATTTCGAGTCTCTTTAATTAACTTATCTCTTGTTTTTTCCATAATTTAAACCAATTAACAAAGAAATAAGTGAACAATTAATGAAAATAGGTAAAATTAACAATTAAGATAAAAAAGTAGGCAGTTTTCAAAATACAGTTTTGTCATTTCTATTTACATCAAAGCTGCGAGGTGAATAGACACTTGGCTATTTTCCCTACAGAAACTGTAAAACAGCTTTTCCTAAAAAATCCAAATTGAAAATTTTCAATTGCCTTTTCACTTATTATTAATATTAATAACATCCGAACTATCAATTTAACTGGAAAATGCAAATCTTTATACCAAAATTTATTCTTCATTTATTTTAAGGTAAATTATTCAATGATGCAATTAACAGCTAGCTCAAGTTGATAATAAGTTTAAACAATTTTAAACAGCTATTTTGAAAAGCGATCATAAAGCGACAATAAATATATTTATTATCTTCTTCCGAATCCTTGTGATAACTCAACAATTGATAATCTTGTCCTTTTAAAATTATCTTTATTCTAAGTAGTTACCTTGCAATGTCAGTTTAGTTAATCTGGTTTGAAATCGTTCGAGTTATGGTGACCCCAGCTCTAGCCGCACAGATTGCGTTAAGCAAGGACCATGAAATTTTCACATTTAAATATTTCTTAACCTTTCTTAATTCAGTGATTTCATTAGCTGCGTTTATCTTTTTCCTAGTCATAGTTTTCGATGAAGATAAAAAAGGCCAACAATATTTCAATTTCAGTTATATTGGAGGCGATGCAACTTCAGTAGCGGCTTATTACCTACTCTACGGGGCAATTGGGATTTACGGATCGTTGACTTTAAACCCAAACCTGATTAAGACTTACATGGCTATTAATGGTATCTCCATAGGTGTCAGGCTTGCAACGGCAGCAATGAGAGCTCAATTAAGATTGGAACCACAACTTTGGAGTTTTGCTTTTTTATTTCAAGAAGCATTGGTTATCTTAGTGTCACTTCCAGTATTGTCCAGCGCCGAAGCAAAAGCCAGAAGAAGGTGATAACTCATAATTTAACGTTTTTCAACCTACAACAAAAAAGGAAAAGTTTTATTTCTCAAAATAAGTGCATTTTCTTGTTACCCATCAAAAGTTCAATAAAATGAGTTTCATAAAAAAATCTGCTTCCATAATTGTAAGAAAGGAAATTCAATTTTGACCTTTATTTTCTCGAAAATTTCTCATCAGAGAAATCAATAAATCACTCAAATGCTTCATAAACCAACAGAGTCTAAATTTGAAAGAAATTAATTTTTACCCGTTTTTGCTCATTTGTGTCTTTTTAGCAACTACAAAAATTGATAAGCAAATAGTGAATATCGAAATCATAGTTATTCTGAGCAAAGCGAAAACTAACACGCTATGCACGCTTCATTGTTATCAACAGCAAGTCTAATTATTTTGATATTTAAAGGCCAAAAGTAGGTGTTTACGACGAAAACAGTTATCGATTGTAACTTTTCTCACTTGTCAGATAAATGTTAGTTTATGTTATTTGGGTTGTGAAGAAAGATGGCAGCATTTTCATTTATTTATTTTTTGTTTACATTTATGTTCACTCTATTTAGGTAATCTTGTTGTCAAACATCGACTTTTATTTAAGTGTTAATCAAGTTTAAGGATTTTAATTAATTTTGTTGCAAAAAACTGTGTTCCCATGTGGTCAATAATAAGTCAAGATGAGAGACCAACAAATAAATCAAGCTAGTTTAACTCCTACAGGGGTTTCATTAATTCACAATGACCTCCAGTTACAGTTAAACAACCATCAGCTTCACCTACAAAGGAATAATCTCACTTTGGGTGTTGATAATAATGATATAAATGGAGGACCCAATTGTATCTCTGGTATTTTCAATGGTTTAAGTGTTAATTCTATCCTTGATACTAACACTGGTGTACATGAAAACGGTGATGATGTTGATGATGATGATGATAACAGCGAAGGAATTATCCAACTTGGTGAGCCTGGACCTGGAACTGATGACCATCAAATTAATGAGAATATTCACCGAGAACGATTTCTTCTAAGTACAACTTCTTATTCCACTGAGGCTAGAGATGCTTTCAGAAGAGAATTGAAATATTATTTTATGAATCCAATAGACAAATGGAGAAGCAAGAAGAAATTCCCGTGGAAATTACTATTACAATTGACTAAACTTATAATCGTTACTATTCAAATTTACTTTTTTGGTACTCAAATGTCTCGTTTCAAGACACACCAAGCTAATATGGAGATTACTTTAAGAGAACTACTTCTCTCTGATTGGGACCCTGTTAGAGAGGTTATGACTTATCCTCCATCAGCAGGACCGTTTGCATGTTATACGAAAAGTGATTTATTTCGAAATATTGACTATGCTATAAGGTCTTTTTCCAACATAACCAACACTGGTGTTGGCTCGTTTTCTTATGATTCAGCAGCCCCTGATAAAGTATCACCCATTTATGTTAATATTTTAAGATTTGCCAAAGGAGAAGCGGATCCATTCAATTTTTCATACAACTTCAATAATGAAAATACAATGGATCGCTATCTCATTGATCTTAACTATACTGCTGGTGACATCGAATGGAATCATTTCTCTATAAAAAAGTTTCTCGCCTCTCAATCGTATGCAATAAATTTCGATAGTCTAATCCAGATTCAAATTGTAACATCTTTACGGACAATCTATTTAAATGCGTTGGACTCTTACAATCGTCCACAGTGCTACGTTGTTGAAATTGCTATAACATTCGATAATTCTCTTCATGCTGGTCAATTGTTAATGAGTTTGGAAGCTAAACGTAGTTATAGGCCTTGCGTTGGAAACTTGGAAGGCCACACAGTTTCGTCGCGCTCTGTTATCGACGTGGTTACTATACTTGTTATTATTTTAAGTTTTTTGTCTGCAATTCTTTGTTTGCGTTCACTGATCAAAGGCATATTGCTTCGCCGACGAACAATAGACTTTTTCGAACGTCATTACGACATTTCACTAGGATTTTGTGATAAAAGTGATTTCATCGATCTGTGGATTTACATGATATTCATAAATGATATTCTTCTCATCATTGGCTCAATAATTAAGCTTTATGGTGGACCAGTTGATCATAGTCAAACACCGAATAGCAATTATTCAGTTCTTTTTGGCGTTGGTATCCTATTGACATGGATTGGTGTTCTCCGATACATTAGTTTCTTCGATAAATTCAATGTTGTAATTTTGACAGTTAAAAAGGCGTTCCCTGATATAATTAAATTTTTCCTTTGTGCCATGCTTTTATATGTTGGCTTTTGTCTTTGCGGTTGGATTGTTCTTGGGCCTCACCATCTTAAATTTCGAACACCCAGTGAAACATCTGAATGTCTCTTCTCCCTTTTGAATGGTGATGATATGTATGCAACTTTTGCCACTTTATCCACAAGAGATCCGGTTATTTGGTGGTTCAGTCGAATCTACCTTTATTCATTTATCTCACTATTTATCTACGTTGTCCTCAGTCTGTTTATCTCAATTATCATGGACGCATGGGACATTATCAAAAACTACAATCCTGATGATATGACTGAAATGCATGTAAGTATCATTAAAACGCAATTTCAGCTAAAACAATCTCCCTCTTGATGTAAAAAACCATTAATTTAACAATGATTAAGCACTTATGGTAAATATTGCTTGCCATTTTTGCTAGTAAATAGATTAGTTCAAAACATTTCTCACCATTTAATCGTGTTAAGATGTGACCTTAGGATTTACCTTGCATTTCATACTAATTTTCTTGTAGTCTTATCATCATCTATTTAACCTATTTCAACCGCTAATTGATATATATTTATTGATTATCTTTTCCTTTATTGCAGAGATTTATCGCCGAATGTAATGATGATGTTTGTGATGAAATATTGCAAGAGGAATCGAAAAAGTCTCTTCTTCGAAAAGTCAAATCATTTTTCAAACTCAACCCTGAAGATACGAATCCATTACTCTTCTAATTTTCGCCTTGTGTCATGTTAATCTGTCATATCTTGTTAATTCTGTTATCCATGCTGTCATTCATAGTCACTCACTAACAAAAAGTCAATTGCCATCAATTATCAGAGGTGATCTGTTTTGGCTTTCAGGAAGAAAATCAAGCAAATGGAGAAAAGGTGCATCACGTTGTTCAAATTATCAATATTCACCCCCAAATGACAATTATTTTTGACTAAAAGTACATATTATCTCACCATCTTTACTTCAGTGTTGCTCTCTTCCAATCCAATTGATAACTTCTGATCAAAAAAGCAAAAGTCAACATCGCTATATTTTGATCATCACCAATTCCTAACACATTGTTGACAAACTCAATGTCCTTATTAAAAATAACAACTTAGGAGAGGAACTTTAATCATATATTGATTAATCAACCAACAAATTAAAACCACATCTATTATAAATACATACAAACAAACTGTTATATATAAATATAAATATTATTTATAAGAAAAAAAATATTTACATATGTATATGCAACTCTTTAGCTATATTTGAATGAAAACCTAAGTTTTCAACTCTCACATTAACATCCTCATAAAAATTATTGCTCTAATTAATTATTAGAAAGTCAAAAACCATAAATTGTAAAACCAAAGCATTGTTGATTATAACTAATAAATAACATTTTACCATCTAATGAATTATAAATATTTACCAGTCACTCATCTATTCATACCAGATTCACATTTGGATATTGACGGAATCTGGTTCGCTGATAAGTTAAATCAAAGTTTAATTTTTGATTTGAGTTTTCAAATTTTTTCAAGCTTAGGAATGATAAAAATTAGATATTTGTAACACTCAGGTTGAAAATAGTTTCCTATCACCAATGTGATGATTTAATCAATTTATTTCCTAATCACATTGACTGACTACGGGCGTTAACGAGAAATTGAATGCAAGCCATCAGCATTTGATGATCCATTTACCCGAGAATTAACATAATAATTATTAGAACTGGAACTGAACACGATTAAAAAAGATTGTCAGATTTAATCAAATCACAGAAAAAGGGTGATTTTAATTTATTAGAAAATCCGTAGGAAAATGTTACATTAATCTAACCTTTGTTTTAAATTTTCAAACAAATTGTGAGTTAAGTTTATATCAAGTTAGTGAAGTACTCTTCTAGTTTATAAATTGATACAGATTCTGGAAATGTTATCTTGATCAAATAACTATAATGATTTTAGATATCGCCAAAAGTGAATCTAACAGAGTTTCATCAGCATCATCGTGTTCCTTTGAGTTATTCAATTACAGTAGCTACTTGACTGGTAGCATTGAAATCAGTAAATTAATCTTAAACAATGATTGTTCTGTTCAAATTAACATTGAAAATGATATAATATCAATGTCTGTACCATCGCCACCCAAACCAGAGACAACGTTAAGTGAAGTGACAAGGCCATGTCCAAAAGAAATACGAAAACAGTTGAATGATGAGTTGACGTATTTCTTCAAGAATCCAATGGACAAATGGAGGACAACCAGAGCATTTCCATGGAAGTTGTTTCTCCAATTTGCTAAATTAATTGTGGTTACCATTCACATAATCTCAATTGGATTTGAAATGTCTTCTTTTATCAATAAAGATGTTGCTATGGAAGCAACACTGCGATCCCTCGTTTTTCAAGACTGGAACACTAACCGGGAATTGAATGTTTACCCTCCTCCTCAAGGACCGTATGCTGTTTATACCAAAGCCAATTTTTATGGTAATCTTAATTTCGTAATTAAATCACTGGCAACCTTGCGAGATGAAGGAATCAATTTATTTGCCTATGACTCTAGTCAACGGGATCAAGTTTCGCCAATGACCTTACACATTCACCAATACTCATCTTTAAAATTGGATCCCTTTTCATTCAATTATGACATTAATCCTCGTGTTGTCCACCGAAAGATACCAATCAAATTGGATTTACCTGCTGGTGACACTGGATGGGATAATTTTGATCTTCGTACTTATTTGCAATCCCATAATGAGACCCTTAACTTTAATCAAATGATTGAGCTTAAATTGGTCACTTTTCTGAGAACCATATTTTTCCATTCGCTGACCTCTTACTATTATTCACCTGCTTGTTATACTGTTAAGGTTGAGATTACCTATGACAATAGTGCTCACAGTGGCCAAATCAAAATGTCTCTTGCTACTGAAAGCTTTCGCCAAAAATGCTATGGAAATTTATCAACCTCTGAGACAACAATTCTCAATACGTATACATTGGTTACTTGGATTGTCCTGTTAGTCTCGACGATATCATTGTTTTTGTGCTGTCGCTCATTGAAATTTGCATGGAAATTGTACTCAGATGTATCTCTAGTTGCCAAAAAATATTACAGAACCAAATTGACTGCCGATGAAGCTTGGTTATTTTTTGATTCAGGGTTAGCCATCATCATGGTCAACGATATAGTATTCATCTTGGCCTCAATAATCAAATTAAGTAATGTCATTAAGCTTAATGAAGATGTCACTTCAGCCAATCGATTCTCGCTGCTTTACGGCTTTGGTATACTTTTGACTTGGTGTAATCTCCTCCGTTATCTGAATCTATTTGAAAGATTCAACATTGTTACAAGAACAATTCAAAGAGCAGCTGTCGATATATTTAAATTTACCCTGGTCGCCTTAATAATATTCACGTAAATAATTGCATATCAATTTCAGAATCTGTCAAAAATAGTTACACTCTGTTGATTTTTATTGTTTATTTCAGAGGTTATTGTTTTTCGGGTTGGATTGTTCTTGGGCCTTATCATTTAAAGTTCACTACACTCAGTAAAGCAAGTGAATGTTTATTCTCATTACTAAATGCTGATGATATGTTTGCCACCTTTGAATCACTCAGAATAGCTCCTGGTATCAACGGCCTGATCATTTGGTGGTTTAGTCGACTCTATATATATTCATTTGTTAGTTTATTCATTTACTTCATTCTAAATTTGTTTATAACAATAATCATTGAAGCACGTGATAGTATACAGAATCCTCGCAGTGACATACATCAGAGAGATCAACAGTCATTTTTGAAGGTAATCTTAAAATGATCATCAAATGTATTATTTGATGAGGACGTGAGTTAAATCAACAGTCTATTATCATAATCTTATCAACATGTGAAATAAACTATAACCTGACATCATATGATAATTTTATACTCATCATTTTCTTTGTTTCTTTCACCTAGAAATTCATGAGTGAACCAGATGAATAACAAAGATACTCTCGTTGAAGTATAGAGCCAAATGTTGGAAACCAAATTGATCATCAAATTCACCTTGGAAAAGATCACAACAGTTTTAAAAAGCTAACAGTGTCCAAGGGTATTGAGTGTAGAGCCAAAAATGGAAACTTCCTAGATCTTCTCTGATCTGATTTGTTATTGCTGAGTCAATTTTCATAAACAGAGGCAAACTGGAATTGCTTTTGATGCAGAGTTAATCATATTTTTTATAATGTAATTATTATATGATGTAAATCAGAAACTATCAAAATTATTCGGATCTTTTTTATAATTAAATATGCCAGTTACATTAACTGTTTATTTCACTGTTAATGTTGTATTTGAACTTATTGTGAACCTTTCACAAGACTGAGAAATCTTCTTACAACTAGGCTTATTGACCTTCGGGAGATTAAATCACAAGTTGATGTAACGAGATTGAAAGATAAATGGTCTTTTTATGAATTTTTTCATCAGGGACACAAATAAAAGAGAGTTAATTTTAGAACCGTATGGAAAGTTCCAAGTCACATCATGTCATGGGAATAATACGCAACTAAATTTCTAGGTTGTTTACCATGGAACCAATGGACAATTCAGTAAACAACTTTTAAGTGATAATCGTTGCTTGATACAACTGTATACCAGTTGGCATTGTCAATTGAGCATATAAATCAGATGATTTTGGGCTGGAAAATTTTTTATGAGCTATTGTGAGTTATTTTTATAATATTTCTCTCAACACAATCTTCAATCACTTTAATTTGTTCACAAATCAACGGTCGAGAAGGTAAATCTTTTATGAAATCTTGAAATTCTTGGGTTCCTCCACCAACACCAAAATAATAACTTTTTGCTGCAAAGTAGGCGGCACCATTTGGGGATAAACAATTTAGTAAAATATCAGTTAATTTGCTGTAATTATCCGTATTATAGATGGTTTCACAGCTGAAAATATGGTCATATTTTTTATCATTTGGAAAGTTTGACCAGTCACCAGAAATTAGTTTAATCCGTCCATGAGCTTTGTTCCAAATTTCATTGAAACTTTCATTATTTTCTTTAAGATTAATCAAAATATTGGGTAAAGTATAATATTTTAAGACGTTATGATTGAAATCTTGAAAATCAACATTACTACCAGTTAATTTAAGTAAGTAAATACCAACAATCCCGCTTCCACAACCAAGCTACAAAAAAAGAAAGTACGTGTAGTTAGTAAACTTGTACTGACAAGGTGAACAAAACGAGTTATCTGATCTCAATGAAAGAGGCAACTTACATCTAAACAGTCGACTGGTCCAGTTAATTTTAATTCATTTTCAATGAACTCAATCATGTCCCTTGAACACTCCCAAACTTTGAAACCCCCTTCATAAACTCCTGGTGTCAAATCACTAGGCGAATTGAGTCCGATTTGTTTATTACCATCGCCATGTTCATGCGACTCGGATACAGTTGAAGCACTATTCAACAACTCAGAACAAGTTGTATTCAGAATGGTACTAAATTTACAATTCCCAATCTTGTGAGATTTAAATTTTTCAACAAGATCAAGTTTGCAGGTGAGACCATTGAGAAAAATCTGAAAAAGAAACAACAAATCTTAAGTCTTCACAAATAAAAAACAATTGAATTTAATATAATTGAATAAATAACTAAATTGAATACTACCTTATCAATACACTGAACACCCATCAATAAGTTGACAATTGTTGATTAATGCAAATAAAACAAATAAAAGTTCTTATAAAAACCGGACAAAAGCTCAGCACATGTGAGATGAACATATGTTTTTGTTGCGTCAGTTTAAGGGAGGATCTCTTAATTACTTAACTAATCACAAGTGAATGTTGGGTTAAAATATTAATTATAATTTTCCTGTGACCGATAGGTTGAGATTGAAATCGGCAATAAATACAAGACATGATCTAATCTAATTTGAATTGAATTATTTTAGATTATCCTGAACAAAGGTTAAGCTGAAGGAACGAGGTTTCCTGCAAGGTCATCTTGAGTTTGTGAATGTGTTCAGAATTAAATTAATTGACTGATTATAAGTTGATATTGTCGATGATTATAATTGTGATATTAATGAAAGAAAGAAAGAAAAATCAATAAAAGAGTAAAACTGATTGAAAAATATTTTCGCCTCACCACCAAACGAAAGTTACATTCTTTCAATAAAATATCATGATGAAATTTCCTCTCCTTTGGATCCTTTTTCTTCATCACTGACCACTTCCTTTTTTATGGCTAATCAACCTTGACCCATCATTACTATCATCCGTCAAATAGCTCCAGAAAAATTCAGCGTTACCTGATGAACTTGAAACAAGAAGCGAACACAAATGATAAACTAACAAGATTATCTGATATGAATATTATCGTCATTAACTGATTTTTTTGATAAATTTACGTTCAAAAAAGTATAATAATCATCGCCATTAACATTGTAATGTTAAAAGGCAATTCATGAATGTAAGCAGTTTATGCAAAAATACGGAAAGTTAATAACAAACCCGTTGGGTAAACAGTTAACAGTGAAAGCAAAAAGTGAAAACAAATTTCCCGATTAAAATTAAATGACCTCTTTTTTTAACCATTTTAACTTTGAAATTTGATAATGAAACTGGTCATGATTACAATTACGAAAGGTTTATAAATGTTTACAAACTCCATAACAGAGGTTGAAATTTAATTATCTTTTCATATTTTGATCAAAATAAAACAGCTCAACACATGACCATTAGTTGATTATTGAATTGTAATCCATATTAAAGTGTAACTATTTCACAATCAAATAACCACTAAATTGTTAACTAGTTCAAATAATGAGTAAATAAAAAGATAAATTGTGTTTTTAAATGTAAGCTTATTTTAAAAGAAAACAATATCTTTGAATATTCAATTCCGATCAATATCAATATCCTAATATTAGATAATAGATCAGTATCTATTATGTATCCATATGAATGGCGCGAGTTAACTTGACCTCTTGGTAAATTGTTGTTATTCAATTGCAGGTAATTTTTTCTAAAAATTTCAACTTAATTTATCCATGTTTATATGTTCAATTGGTGAAATTTTCCCATAGATTGTCTTAATTGTTGTGTTTTTTTGCTATTGGCCTTGTATGAGTTGGTAATTTTTTTCATTTATCAAATGTTTACCGTAAAACCGTACATCTTCTGCCTCTAGGACATCTTAATTATTATGGTTAATGTCGTTTTGGTTATCTATTTTAGTCGTTATTATTTCATCTATTATGCAGATTGCTTCAAATTGTTGACAACTTAATATTCAAAGATGAAAAAGTAAAAGCAACTTTAAGGCCTTTGGGTGGTCAACAAGTTTAACCAGTGATGTCAATGCTCGGTGCTTATATTTGTTGGGTTGAATGTTGGCAATCTATGAAAAGCTGAAGCCAAAAATTATGGAATTATATGAGCTGATTTAATAGCTAAACATGATCGTGATCACAACACAAGTTCAAGAATATGAAACTTGCGGAGAAGGAGGAGAATGAATTAAAGGAAGAAATGATTAATAGGAGGGAACAAAAACCATCACCAGGATAAATTTCACTTTTCCTTACCTGAATATGTATGGGAAAAGCCGTTAAAACAACATTGACCATTACTATTACCGCCAAGTATAAGATGATGATGTTTCAGTTGTTCAAAACTCAGAGTTTATTCAGTTGTTGACTGTGCAACATCAAATACCCATTGACAATCACCAATCTCATTTATTTGGATTTTTAATTATTTATTCAACTTTATTCAAGTTTACAAAAATGTCTTCCGTTGAAGTTCAATCCGTTAACCAAACTTTGGATGTCTCATCTTCCTATGCATCTAACAACCAATCTTCATCAAAACATACCAATAAGAGTAAACCTCTTGTTGACAAGATTCGTTCGATTATCATGGAAATGTACTCAGATGATCCAGAGCTCTTCGATCCTATTGATATTGAAAGAGTTAAAGTTGATGATTGGTACATCAAACGATTCCTTTTGGCCCAAGATCGTAACGTCAAATCAGCTTCCAATATGTTGGTTGGTTCTCTTAAATGGCGTAAATCTTATGGAGTTAATCATCTTGATTTGCGATCATTTCCAAGTGAAATTTATCGTCTCGGAGCCTTCTTTGTTTATGAACACGATAAAGAGGGTCATGAAGTTCTTTATGTTCGTGCCAATTTGTTCCGTCGTTCAAAAGATCTAAGACCCATTTTGGTCCAATATGGAGTTGCCATTGGATGTCAAGTTGAAAAGGCTTCAAAAAATGGCGTTGTCTGTGTTATTGACTTCAAAAATTTAAGCTTAGCTCATGTTGACTTGGAAATTATGCGAATCATTATAAGCACAATTGTAAACCACTTTCCACTTTTCGTCCAGCGTTTCTTTGTGTGCAATATACCTTCAGTACTTCAAATGATCTCTTCACTTGTGATTAATTTAATTCCATCTTCCGGGCGAAACAGGTTAACCTTTGTTGATAATAAAGAGCTCACAAAATACATTGACTCCGACAAGATCCCTGAATGCCTCGGAGGTAGCTGCAAAAAACCATTTAAAGGCTCAGGAGTGGTTCCAAATGGCTGTCCAAATTTTCTTGAATTTTCCAAAACAATCGGTTGGACTAACCAACAATACCGTTCAATTTATAAAACGTTCAAATCCATCTTTGAAAGCGAAGGAATCGAGCCAATGCCAGAACCAGTTGACTGATTGAAATAGCCTCAACTTTTCAAGCTCAACAATAATTTTACTCAAATTTATTTCCAACTAAAATTCAAATAAAATATAGAGACAAAATGTCTTGATGATGTATAAATCAGAATCTGAATATTGTAATTACGATTCTTGATTTTCTGTACCAAATCAATGTATTGATAGCTTTTAATTTGTGTTTTCTACTCATTCATACCATTTATTTAGACAAAAAAGTTTGAGATAAAACAAATTTGTCTAAAATTTTCTGCTCATATTTAATTGTCAAGCATTTCAAGTTGAAGGATTCTTACAGTTTGTGTTTCTTTAATTTATTTAGATCCTTTTTGGATTCTAATTTTGCTTAAAAAATAGTTTGTACAAATAATTTATAAACCTTTGTATTATGAATTGTATCAATTATCATGAAACTCTAATTTTGCGTCTATTTTTTGTTCTTTCATTCAGACTCGGGATGTTCAAAGTTTACCGTTTTGCCTTTTATTCAGTCCAAAATCAAGGTTTCCCATTAAAATCACCAAACTTGAACATGATTTATGTTGTAGGTGAAGTAAAAACAACAAGATGAGATCAATAAAATATGAGATAATATGAGGCTTTATGGGAATGAAAAGTCTATCTACATAAATGTATGTATTGCCTATGTATTCAAGTTTTCATTCAATTTATCTTTCAAAAGGCAAGTTGTTGATGAAGAGATACGAATTAAATCAGAGTTGATCAAAAATGAAAACAATTTTAAGCTGATTTTAAAGCTGAAATAAAAAACAAAGTATTCAAATATAATATTCAATATACTATCCATCATACTTTATTTTTATTTTATCAAGAGCTTGATGATAGGTTAGGTTAGGTTAGGTTGAATAAGTAGAGAATCAAGAAAAACATTTGATCAATTTTTATTGAATATAAATTCCAGATAAATCAGAATCGAATGTAACAACCACTAGCTTTACATGTTAGAACAACGTTTGGCTACGAATCAAAGACACAATTTCTCGTTCAGCATTATTTCCTTCGAATGTTGATTATTTTTTTGTTTTGAAGCTGCAAAGTTTTTTTACAATCAACTTTTGTTCACAGTTGACCTGTTGTTGGCCTGGGTTTGCCAAATGGGCCAGCCATGGTTTGTTCCGCTGATGAGTTATCGAACCATCGAAAGTTGGTCTTCCTTATCTCTTTTCGTTTTTGTTGTTATTCCTGGTTGATATCGAGCCAACAGATACAGAAATTAAATCCTTGTTGTTGGGCTTTGATCCATGGAATCGGTCAATTAAAATCTAAAAAGTCATGAATACGGATGGATTTTACCTTTTTTACACAAAATCATTAGAAAAACTAAACTTGAATCTAGAACATTTGTATCATAATATGGATGATAATGTTTAATGTAACTCAACAGGTTCTGAAAAGGTTTTGAACTAAAGATTTATGGACAAATGACTCGATAATTTGGCTCAATATTAAAAAATCAAATGCGATCTTGATGTCTGCAACGAAAATTGAAAATTGAGTTTTGAATTGGAACAGACTTTTGCTAAATAATTTTTGCTATGAGAAGAAAACTTGATTGACTCAATTAGATACTTTAATTATTTTTGTTGTTTGAATGATAAGAACAGGTTAAATTTGTGTTGAGATCATTAAAGATATTACAAGATTTGTCCTGTTTCAAGGTATCCATTAGATTCCTGTGCTCAAGAACCAGATTAACCAAATTGTAAAAAAGTAAATTTATCTAAATTGTTAACATTTTATTTTATATCAAATGAAATGAAATATAATTAAAACAAATTAATGAAATGGTGGTGAAGATGATGATGATATGTTGGCAATAGAAATAATTACTTGAAAACAAATGGCATCCAAATTAAATTGAAAAACAACAATTTAAAGTTATCAATTTGATTGAGTGATTGGCGTTGATGATGATAGAAATGATGATGAAGAAGAAAATCCGAATTATTCCGAAAATTCAATGAAGTGCCTTTAAATCTATATTTGGCTTTGATGGTTTGTGTATTGATATATCATTTAACCCTTTACTAGATATTAAATAATGGTTATGGGAAGAAAGGAGAAGAAAAAAGATGATTATTGATGAAGATGAATCATGAGATGAACATTAATTAAACCTTTGCAAGGAATGGACCAGGCAGGGAAATACCAATGAGCAGCGAAACTTGATTGGTGCGAAAATGCGCTCGCGATCACCTGGATTAGGCATGAGACAGACAGCATTTTGGTAACAAAAAACACAGTTAAGCGAAGCAAAGCGACCAACAAAACACATTGTGGCATAATGTACAAGATTGTGTTCAAAAATGCAAGCAAGTGCCGACTTAATTGGCAATGGATTAGCAGGGAAAAATTACAATAATAACAATGAAAGCAACATTACATCTATGGTACAAATAAATCAATTATTGGGCACAAATGTTGATGTAAAAACGGACAAATCATGACAATGATGGAGCTAAAGTTTTCTCAATGGGTATCATCTGATCATATTGAACTGGAGTTGATCTGATTGAACGAATGGCTTTGGTATGGAAAACTTGTCCTGGAATTGTTAGGACAGTTATTAATTCAGTAACATCACCGGAATCTCCGGTAATATGGATGGTTAAGGATGTTGTTACCACGGGTGGTTGAGTGGTAACAAAGATGGGTTGAGATGGAGCTAAGGAAACAGGTACTAGTGAGGTTGTCACTGAGGTGGTTTCAAGGGTTGAACTTAATGTTAAGGTGGACAAAAGAGTTTTGCCGTGAAGAGCGAGGGAAACTACTTTGGTTGAGGTTAATGTTGTGGTTCCAGTTATTGTTGCAGTAACCTGACTGAAGGATAGTTGACCACCACCACCAATGACACCTCCATGAGGATAGGGTAATCCCGTTTGTAGATATGGTGATGCACCTGAAGGTCCACCGATTCCAGCGGCTGCTGCAGCTGGATCATTATGGACTCCAGAGGGTGGGAAAGAATACCCTGGGTAAGCGTGGTGGATTGTGGGATGAATGGTTTTATCTGAGGTTACGAATGTGGTTAAAACCTGAGTATCAGTTAAAGTATCGGTTCGAGTGGAAAACCCAATTCTTATTGGAACCAATTTAACTTCTAACAATGTTGTTGTGGTAATTAAAGTTTCTCTCACTTTGGTTGGATCGATTGTTGATGAATCAAATATTGTCAAAGTTTCAGCTGTATTAGTTGGATTTAACCTCAACTGATATTCATTTGGGTTAATTACGGATTTATTGAAAGCTGTTGTTGTTATAGTTGCGTATGATGTTAAGAACCCGTGTCGAATGGGCAAAGTTTTAACGACAGATACAAGTGATGTTATAGTAATGGCAGTTTTAGATGCATCTGGAATGGATAAGTTTGGTGATTCAGTTATGGAAGAGGCAAAAATCAAAGATGGACTGGGTGTGTAGGCAGGTAAGACTATTGCCGGTGGTCGACTTGGTTCTGGATTGTTCAAAATAATTCGTCTTGTTTTACCTGTTCCACGATTTCTGGATGAAACAGCGAAATGATTGCGACCACGAGTTGATGGTTCAACGTAAACATTTTCTTCAATAATAGGATCTTCAACTGGTTCTTCTGTGTCATAAGCTCGAGCAACTGGAGGGTCATTAACAATGTAACTAGGTGTTACAGGTTGTCCTCTATTACCACCACGATTTCGTGATGATCGTCCATTAGCTGGTTGAGCTTCAACTTGTGATCTTTTGGGTGTTTGATAGCGAGCAACTAAAGCACGTTCAGATTGAGTTGTTCGTGGGGTAACACCCAAAGTATCACTTAAATCACCGGAATTTGATCTTGAAGAAGGGTTTGAAGATGAGCGACGACGCCCTGATTGTGATGATGATTGACGATTAGAAGACCGACGACCCGGTGAAGCCGTTACACCATTTGAATTGTACGTTCGATCGGATAAAGTTTCATGCAAATTTTGAAAAGGTTGAAGAACCTCAACTGGTCTAGAGGCTGGTTGTGTTTGAGCTTGAGGAGCAGGATAGTTATTTTGACGATCAACACCAATTTGATCATTAGCAGCAAATCGACCTCGAGAATGTGGTATCAGAGCAGGCTGTGATTTTGGTGTAATTGGAGCTGAAGTTCCGTAATTGGTATATGGATCATAATCATTGGCAAATGAAGACGAAGTGGGAGAGGATGAAGATGAACGACTTGATGCTCCAACTCGTTGTCCAAATACTCCTTTGTACCGACCCTGAGGAGCTGCTGCTGGTACTGGAGTAGGAATGGCAGCTGGTGCCGCAACTGGTTGGACTGGCTGTGCTGAATAGGGATCAACGTAACCTGAATACCTACCATTGTATCTAGCACTTTGATCTGATCCATAATCTGTATCATCATTGTTACTCGATGGTTGAGCAGGAGCCTCATAATCGTAGTAACGGCTTTTTTCTCGAGTGGGTCTGTGTCGACTTGACCTGCCAGTTCGACTGTTTGGATGTTCCACAGCATCTTCATGGTGGACATCTTCATTTGCTACTGAATCGTATTCGTCATGACCAACTTCAACCTTTTCAGAACAACCTTCTCGATTGTCAAAACATTCAGCTTCGTGTAGTTCATCATCATTATTAGCAATTGAATTTTTATTCGCATTATTATTGTCAACCGGTTCAGATTCATCTTGATCTTCTAGATTCGTTTCAACAATCAATGAATTTAAGGAAGCGTCTACAACAGGAGTTGCAGTTACTGTTTTAGTAACTGTTTGGGTATGAATGGATGTTGTCGATTGATTCACCAATTCGTTTGCATTTGAGTTATTTAAATTTGAGGAGCGCTTTCGACTTGGGAAAACAATGAATGGACGAGTTGAAGTTGAAGATCCCGAAAAACTTACCGTTGATTGATTGGTTGCAGTTGGCTCAACAACTGATGAAGTAGCTCTAGTAAATTGAGCACTAAAACCAGAAATCATTGTTGAGTAAATTTCAGAAGTATGCAAAGTTGTGATATCATTGTTAATTTCAGTAGAAATCAAAACTGAAATCGGTGTTTGAGTTAATTCAATCTTTGAATTGGTTGATACTGAAGGAGCAATTAGGTTTGATGTAACCTGCCCGAAATGAGCATAAACTCCATTGATAAAGGTTCCATGTACTTGTGTTTTGAACAATGTTGTTGTACCTAAATTAATCTCACTTCGAACCGATTCTGATATTAGTCCAATAGGTAAACTGGATGAAGCAGGGTCAATCTGATAAGATGATGATGAGGAAGGTAACAAGGAAGTTTGGGTTTTGGCTAAATGAGCATAAATGGTTCCAATGTAGGTACCATAAATTTGGGTGGTGTAAAGGGTTGTTTGACCATTTTGTACAACAGAGGAAACATGAGAGGAAATGATACCCACTTTGGATGATGGATTTACGCCAATCGAGTCCAGGGAAGGAGTTGGATCTTCAGGTGAGGAGGGAATAGAAACGAGCACAGAGACAGGTGAAGACGATGAAGACATTGGAAACGATGACGAGGATGATAATGGTGGCGCTATGGAAGCATTTGCGGGCGCGAAAGCAAAGGTATTGGAGGTATTGGTTGTATCCAAGGAAGTTGCAATGGAATGGGAAGCAGAAGCGCTGATCAAAATGTACGTACCCATTTCTTCAATTGGTTTTACTGTTTTTGATGATGATTCATCCTCCGTTTCTATTGGTTCATCAGAATATTCTGGTTTCATTGAATCATCATTAGTTTCATTATCCTTCATTTTTGATACAATTTGTCCACTTGGTATTTCGAAAGCCATCGGATCTAAATTACTCTCTTCCATAATTAAATCGTCTCCGTCATTGGTTGATCGTTTGGCTCGCAGTCCGATTGATGGCCTTAATCCAAATCCAGTTCGAGTAGGTAAGACTCTGTCTGTGATTACTGTAGAGAAAATTTGCTCACGACTGCGAACAACAGGAAGTCCACCAACCAATTCGGTTGTAAAGTGAGTGAAAGTTGTATAATAAGTAACAGGAGTTGGAGCCAGGCCAGGTTCATCAACATGAGAGACACGGTGGCGATTAAAATCACGAGGAAAATGGTCAGAGGCAAAAGGTCGATCTAAAATGACTGTTGGTTCAATGATTGGCTTTTTAGTAATCACAACGACTGGTTTACGGGTTAAATGTGATCCATCTCTAGGATCTAATGAAATGTCTCTTGCAGCTGCACCTCGTAAACGTGTTCGACGAATAATCAATGGTTTTCTTGTCACTGATGGATTAATCAATGTATTTCGTCGTATTTCTGTAACAGTTTCTCGTCTAGTCTCAGTTCGAATCGGTTTAGTTTGATCAAAATAAGTAGTTAAATAAGTTAATGATGTCTCATAAGTCAAGAGAGGATCAGTTTCGTGAGTTCGGTGAATGTTTACTGTACTGACAACCTCTACTTGATTAGTCCCATAATCATATCTAGATGGTGGTGAAATTGAAGATGATAAAGTTGTTACTTCAGCATTACCATTGTTGTTGTTTCTAGGTAAATCAAGGGAAATGGATTCTCGTTCTGGTATTGAATCAATCTGTCGAGTTGGAAGAACTTGATCATTAGCTAATCGAGTAACACTCGCTCTAACATCAATATTACTCAAAATGGTTGATCCACCGGTGGGTAGTAATATTGTCGTGTAGTGTGTTGTTGTGGTGTAAAATGTAACTGGTTTATCGTGAGCATGTTGTGGTCGATTTTCATTTGATGCGACTTCAAGTTCATCTAAAACTGGAGCTCGGCGATTCAATTGTAATCCAGTTGAAATGTTTTTCTCATTAATAGGTGACGATAAGTTTGGTAACGATGAGGATGAAGCAGAAGGTAAACTCAACTTTATTGTATCGGTGACAACATTGGATACAACTTGTGTTCGAGTGACTGTTGATCGAGATATACCTTGACCCAAAGTTGTGAAATATGTATAAGTTGTATATCTAGTAATAGGAACCTTAAGACCAGCTAAAAGGCTGCTTATGTCAATTGAGGTCATATCTTTGATCTCAGGAACAACAGGAAGTTCAGGTGTTTTGGACGATGAAAGGTGAACATCATTTAATGATGACGATGATTCGAAAGACTTTAAATTGGCAAAAGAAGAGTCTATTAGACTTGGATTTTCAGTAGGAAATGGTTGATCAAATGTGACTGACGGTGAAAGTAAATTGTTGTTAATTACTGTTGAAGACAATGTTGATGATAATGATGGTTTAATTGATGAAACTGATCGTTGACCGAATGCTTGAGGACTGATGACACTTGTGATTGTCTCAAAACGACTTGAAACTGTTGGTTTTCCTTGATTATAAGTAGTAGTAAAGTAAGTGAATGTAATTAATTCTGTGCGAGCTGATTTGCTTTGTTTAATTGAGTTTCTCAAGCTTCCTGTTGGTCGAACAATCTCTTTAGGAATTGTAGCGACATTTGTTATTGTCTTTTTGCTGGTTGAGACAACAGTTGAACCTGATCGTACGTGTGTTGTGTAAAATGTATAAGTTGTATAACGAGTTAAAGCTGCACTAGGCTTGATTAAGGAAGGTGCAATTACAGCAGATGAAGTTTCATCCATATTGTTGTCACCAGAGGCAACGTTAGTTATTGTTTCAAATCGCGATACAATTGACTTTGATCCTCCTCGAAGGTAGGTTGTAAAGTAGGTAAAAGTTGTGTAGTAGGTTCGGGCAGGAGCAATAGATTTACGAGAAACTGTATCAGTTGAGGAAGCTTCTAGTTTGACTAAACTTGAAGACGGTAAAAGAGGTGTTGATGATGGAATTGAAGATATTGAAGATGATGAAGATGATGAAGGTTGAACAGTAGATTGTGGTTGGTTTAGTGAAAGAGATTGAGTGGGTACGATTGAGTTAAGAGTGATTGGATTCACCTTTTCTCCTGGTTTTGACACATGACTAACTATTTCTTCTCTGGTTTTAATTGTTTGTGAACCCCCGTTGACAAGTGTTGAATAATAAGTATAAGTTGTGTAAAAAGTGACCGGAGGAAGCACCTTTGAACTGGAAGTGGGTACAATCTTTGATGTTTGCTTGGTAGCTGATTGAGTATTTGTTACGATTTCTTTGTGGGAGGAAACTAACATTGAACCATCCTTGAAGTAAGTGGTGAAATAGGTGTAAGTTGTAACATGAGCCCGAATAGGTGTAAAGGTCAAAGCTGAAGTTGATGAAGAATATGGTGAAGAAAATTCAGATGATGATGCTCTAATAGTTTCATCTAAACTTTCAGTTGACTCAAATTGTCTGGATGAACTAGTTGTTTCTGGTTCAATCATAGAAGAAGAAAGTCCGATCGATGACGATGACGGTAAAGATGATGGTTCTAAAGTGTTTGGCTTCTCGGCCATAGTATTGAAGGTTGCCGTAGAGCTCGAATCAATTGAGCTAGCCGCTGATGGTAAAATAAATCCACTTGTGATTGTAATTTGGTGTGAAGGTTTAATTGAATCTGGTTTTGGTGAGATACGATTTGGAACCGATTGGACGGAAGATGCCGATGATGAGGATGAAACAGAAAATGATGATGATGATGAGGGTTGAAGTAAAGGCTTGTTCGATGGTTGAATGAATGACATTAAATTTGAAGGTTCTAATGTTACCTCTTGTTTAGGATAAATACGTGATTTACTTTCCAAAATATGAGCATAAGTTCCTTTAATATACGTTCCAATTACTAATGTTGTCCATTCGGTTAAACTGTGATTAGCTGAAATTGTACCAGTAAAAGAAGAAAGTAAACCAGTTGGTTGAACACTTGTCGGTTTGAATGCCAATAAACTTGCTGATTGACGATTAACAGATTGATAGGTTACGCTTGGCGATAAACCAGATTGAATGATACTTTGTCTAGAATTGAGTTTAGTGTCTTTTGATGAAGCAATTGGATTGAAATTGATTGATTCATATTTACCAGATTTTAGTTTGAAAATCGATTCACTTGTCTCAACTATCGAGGGTTGAGTTGCTGTTGGTCCAATTTTAGGACGTATTTTTGATCCCAATCGTGATCTTAGTTTTAAATTATCACGTAAATTGATTGAAGAAGCTAAAATAGAACTCATATGAAGGGATGAGGTAGATGAAACAATTGATGATGCAGTTGTAGGTTGAATTAACCCTGAAGAAGTTGATTTCCATTTACGTTTATCATTTTTAGCTGCAAGTTGTTGAGTATTAGGAGTAAATATGACCAGTGATCCATTAATTGTTGTAGTGAAATCAATAAATCCAAAGATTGTTGTGGTACCAATCAGCCCAGAGGCTTTGGTTTGGGTGTTGATAGGGTCGACTCGTAGTTTCAAAGTAGGTCTTTCATAAACTGGAACTGATTTGCTAACTAAGCTAACACTTTCAAGTGGAGGTGTAATCTGGTATTTACTTGAGGCAGGAGTCTCTGAATCGACCGCAAGTTCATTCAAGCTATCAATGACAGTTCGTGTTGGAAGGTTAACATGACTTGGTGTAATTGATGAAACTGTTGGCCCAGACGAGTGAAATTGATTACCAACTATTTTAGCACTAACATCAGAATTTTCTAATCCGTAAGCCACAAACTGCTCATTTGGTTCTGATAATGCACGGTTTGTACCAGATTGATGAGGCACATGTTTAGCTTTAGATGATTGTTTAGCTTCAGAATCATTTACTTCAACAGCAGTTGACTGTTTAACGACAATGTTTTTAAGTTTACTGTCAAGTGAAGTTTCAACGGCCACAGATAATTTCAACAAATCAACTAGCTCATCTTTATTTAGATCTGAGCCTTCAGAAGAGTCCATTCGACGTGATTTATCTTGATTTAATAAAAGTCCGTTCGATCCGGTTGTTTGATCAAATTTAACCTTATTTGCATCACTAATCATTATTGTGGTATACTTGAGATTATTATTGGCATCAGCGTTTCCCAATAATAAATCACGAGATGAAATCATTTTATTCAATGTACTTGGTAAATTAATAGTTAATCCAAATTGATCTAGATTAACACCTACTTCGCCAGGTTTGATTCGTCTATTTCCATTGCGAACCTTTCCATTGGAATTATCAAATTCGTTTATCGTAATTGTTACCTCAGTATTCTCAGTTCCATTGCTAACAGTTAACAAATTGTATTTAGTTCCATTTATAGAGACGAAACCAGTATACAATTTAACTTTATTGGTGCTTTTAGAGAGTGGAGCTCGACTTGTCGTAACTAAAAATCTTGTTTGTTCGATGTTTCTTGTAATGAATGGTGAAGGTGACTCTGTAGTTACTTTAGCATCTTCATCTTTTTCAGTTGTAGGTGCCACTGAAGCTGATAATCTTGATGTCTTGACCAGGAGTCTCGTTGAAGTTGGTGTTGTAACTGGAGTCGATTCTTGAGCAGCTCCTGGCAATAAAGTTCCAGTTATTTCAATGACAGATCTACTTCCAGCTGGCACAATGGAAGAATATTGAGGTAAAGCGATAACGGAAGATGCCACTGCAGGTCGAAAAGGTCGGAGTTGCTCATAAGGAACAAATGTACCGGTTACTTCAACAAAAACATCGTCCGTCGTTGATGCTGGAGCTATTAATGGTGATGAGATTGATGGTAATGATGATGAAGAAAGAGGTGAAGCTTCCGTAGATGACTGTGTAAATGCACTGGTTGGTGCGCTTACATTGGACACGACTACTGAGACTAGATTAGACGTTGCAAGTTTATCATTATTACCAGCATTTTTTTCAGCCCCGCCAACAGCCAACTCTGTGATGGAAAAAAAGCAAATTTGATTGGAATTTTATTTTTTAGATAAAGTCGTGAGTTATTTACCTGTAGTATCATAACGGCACAAATTTGTATCAGCATGACCTTCGTCTGAGCCATCGATACAGTCTTTTATACCATCATTTACTCGTGACTTATCGAGGCAAACCGGTAAACCGCATAAACATTTATGCTGATTGTTAAGACAGTCTTCATCTGATCCATCATAACAGTCCTTGAAACCATTATGCAGTCTATCAATTGGTATAATTTGTCCTGATTTACATTTAAATTCTTTGGAATCACAATCTATAAATCAGTAATCATAAGATAAATATAAGATGAATTATTTAAAATAGCTGTAAATTATAAGAATAAGGAAAATTATACAACACAAACGATAATGTTTCCAATTTCTTTAGAGCTCATTGAACAAACATTTGAATTATTAATACATTAGATGAAAGAACTCATTTAACTGTAACAATTTGAATAATTATTCATACAATGAATTATTTAAAATCAAAAGTAAAAAAAGCTTCAAAAGTCGCAAAAGAGACGAACAACCCTTTGCTTGGACCCGTTACATAATTACTAAATTTAGTTGTAATTGTTCCAATATTTTCAATACAATATTTGAAAGTTGATCGAATCAAAAATTGACAATTCAACACAATCTTTAAATTTTATATTCCCTTACAATAATTCATCAGATCGATCATACATTTAACTTTATCATATTCATACTCAAGGTCCGAGTGACCTGCTGTGCCTTTTTCCCAGCTTTCAAGGTAACATAATAAATAAACAGAAAAGATAATCTAATCTAATCTTCTAAATATTTCAATTTCAGATCAAATGAACTTACCAGATTTCAAGACTGGTGTTTCCACACTAGTGTTGCACTGATACTATCGATAAGAGTGATATTTCACTGAGCAAATTGTATCGATACTTTGAAAAATGATATCAACGTTGTTAGATTAACTATCTGAATCTGACCTTTATATTTGTAATCTGAGTTTCTAATAATTTTTGATATAATTAAACAGTTAACTTACCTAATAGAAGCGATGAAAAAACTATGAAAACAATGTAAAGTAACATTGCTGTTTATGCACTACACGGTCAAGTAAAGACGAAGACAACCAATTGAAGATGTATTTTGTCGTCCTAATTGAAAGCAGATCATTGAATTATAATTTAACCACTTTTGGCATAATATTGATTTACTTAGAGGGATAAAAGCAAGAATGAGAATGAAAGAGAGAGAAAGAAAGCCAAAATGATGATAAGGAGGAGATTGAAGATGTTGATGTTGATAGGTTGGTGGAGAGAGAAATCGTGAAATGAAGGGAGAGAGGTTTGACCGGTACATCGACGAGCGATCTTGTTACTCTAAACAATTATCTACCAAAACCAGTTTAAACAAACACAACATTACATGAAATCAAAAAGGAAGTTTTCCGTTATGACCGCCATGACCGATTTTGATGAAAAATTCATATATAGGGTGGGGGGAGTGACAAAAATTCATTGATAAAATGTGAACTTCGGCAAATGACCTAATGACCTTATAATATTTTTGTGCATTTCTCTTTCCGATAAATGACAATTTCAAGTATATTTCACTGATTTGCCCAACTCAACATTTGGTAAAATATCAATTGTTGGCCTCTTCTATGATTATATGAAATTTCATCAAAATCGTTCATGGGTGTCATATCGTTATACAGATCATTTAATCGACTCATCTTGCAGGGTTAGGAGAAAATTATTTAATATTATTCTTTTATTTTCAATTGTTTTACCACCAATTTCGGAATTGATTGACCAGAAAATGAAGTTTCATTGAATTGAAGAAAACTGTTCCAATCTTTTGGTTAATGGATGATGACTTGAGATGAGTGTAAATGATTTGCTTATGTAGATCAACTATTGAAGATAAATTGCTAATTACAGGTTAAAGAAAAGAGGTTTTATTAGTAACCTTTATTTAATTGCACTTGAATTTGATTAATTCTGTAGCAGCTCTTAATTGTTCGGTTTTTTCTGTTTCTACAAAAGCAAAATATGAAGCAAACTCACCTTGATTATTTTTAAACATAACAAGAGGAAAATCAAACAAATTGATGAAATATTTGGGTGAAAAGAGTATTCAAATGTTTATTAAAACCCAAATTTAGAACTTTAAGTTTTCGTTTCAATCTAATTGAGTTAAAAATATGAAATCATTAAGCGATTTATTAGAGGTAAAAGCAGCTTTTAAGGCGCCCCTTTATTGGGTTGTTCCGTTTGAAACCGGCTATTTTTGAACTAAAACTACTTTTTGACCAGAGATCGCTCAGCCTTCAATCTTACACCCTTTTGTGGCTTTAATACAGTAGTTTCACATGTGTTTCAATCAAAATTTTATCGATATGCCTATTAGAGGTGAATTGGTTTATTCAAGGACCAGGTTCATTTAAATTAGAGAGTTTTTTGAATATTTGCTTCCCTTGATGACTGGTTTTCTGACTAAACTCATGGTTATCTACAAAAATCAATTCGCCACTATGTTTTGAGCCTAATGCAAATGAAAAAGTTGTGTATAAACTGTAACATGGTGGCCATGGTCTATGGGCGATTTCCAATTTTATTCAGATTCTATTGGTAATTGTTCGAAGGTTTAAGAAAAGTAACTTAAATGATGAAAATTCTTGAAATTGAAACTTTCATGTAAGTAGGTGCGAATGGAATATTGTCTTTTGTTATGTTAAAGAAAACTTAGTCCTTAGACCTGAATTCTCAAGCTAACTCAGCCTCACAAGAAGGAAATTGATAAAATAAGAAACTTAAGGGCCGATTTCAAACGGAACAACCTAATAATTTTTCTTGTTTCTGCTCTTCAGTGAAGAGTCTTTTAAACCAGAAGACGCTAAGTTTATGCTGCCATCTATAAGATTGTTTTCCGTTTTCAAGGTTAATTGTCAATTTGGTAAAGTTTTTATGCCATAATGCGCTTTCAATACCGCTTCAGTTCTCGCCTTTTGGGATGCTCCTTTGATCTGAACCAGTGATAACCAGAGCCAGATCACGCAAGTATGTTGGGTAAATTCTTTAGCCTTGCACCCAGGCCATCACAAAGTCTATATGAAATAGCTAAGTGAATCAAACTTTGTTAGTGGGCTTTGAAATTTCCTGGACTAACATTTTTCGTGAAAAAAATTTCTGAAAAATCTGCTAACAATTAAATGCAATTTTGTGACTGATGATCATCAGCTTACTTAATCAATGAATTTGCTTGGCTGTTTTAAAGATGGTGAAGTTGAAGGTAATTAATGTGAAATATGCCAAATACAATATGTACAATATGTATATGGAATAAAGTTTCACTGGAAGTAAGTGACGAGCCATGGACGAAGGTTATAAGGTAATCGAGAAGACATTAGACTAGGAATTATTTCGATTATAAAGCACAAGTAAATGATTATCAATGTAATCACTAAATGTTGATTGTTGATCAGAGGGAAGTCATCGGGTGAAGCAACAGCATCGAAAGGAATGTTTTTTTGCAATAAATTCAGACGAATGGTTAACCAATGAGTGGCTGTAATCCGGATAGGATAAATTGACCACAAACGGATAGTTCCATAAATAGGAAACAGGTGAAGTGAGTCGGGCTCAGCACAAACCTTCATGATAATAACCATTATTAAAGCATTAAACATGAAACCTTAACCTTTATCAAACCTGAAAGCAAAGGTTAACGTAATAATTGGATGAACGGAAGACAAAATAAATTTTCAAATATCAAATCAAAACAATAACTTTTCAGCTCAATTCGTAAGACTTAAATCAGGCAAAGGATAAATCAAAGAAGGGAAACCAGATTTTACAATAAGATGAAAACAATAAAACTATTTGCCAGAAGTGATCTTGATGCTTGGTCACTTCGGAATCGTTGTTCACCTTCACTTCATATCCATCAAAGTGTAATCATATCGATGATATTATTGATGATATAGATGACTGTCTCTGTCTCTTTCCCTCTCTAATCAAATGATTGAATTTTTTCTAAAGATCTTATTAGCCTTAAGGTGAATTGAAATAAAAGAGAAAGTAAAAGATGAAAATGAATGACAGTTTTACATTAATCTGATCTCCAAGCAACTTGAAACTCAATTCTTATGCTGCTGACCAACTTCCGATACAACAATCATGAGGATAGTTAAGCGTTGATCCAATTAGTAGTCGTATTATCGATTCATGCTTTATACTCGATGAACTAAATAAATCAATAGTCAATCAGTTTAATGATCAATCAATTGCAACATTAAGCTAAGAGTTGGCTAACAATGTTTTCAATAAGACTATCAATATTGATGTTGGTTTCAGTTTTTTCTCATAAATGTCCATATATTTGTCCTCTCTAATACCTCAGAATGGTCATAAATGTAAGATAATCACTTACATTACTAATTACTTACCTTCAGCAAGTTAAAAATAATCACTAAAGGCTTGCAACAGGTATGAAAAAAGCCTTTATTTACAATATTGGATCAATTCACAATTCAATTCAAATCTCTGATTGCAACGAGTAGCTAAATGAATAGAAGTGGCAGTTAAAAAAACATTGGTTACCAGAAATTATGATGTTTACAATCATCTGGATTAATTAAACCCTATCATTTAATCTCGTCGGTATGAGATGTGATATTAATTTAAACTTATAAGAGAGACTAAAGTGTTACTTTTTTCTGTTCATTCCTAAACGGGTTTCTGGTCATTTTTTGTGTTCACTTGCATAATAAATCAAGCTAACCATGGATTTCAACTTTAGAGCTCAGACGGTTACCAGTAAATTACTGACAGTAATTGATTAAAGCAAAAGCAAACATTTTACAGTTTTTAGTAAAAACTTTTTACTTTCAGGTTGGAAAAGGGAACCCCATCTGGTGTCGCACAAAAGAAGCCACACTCATAGCGGTACATTCCAATCAAAAATCACAGTTATAAAATGCCGAAAATTTGACAAAATCAAGAGTCCCTCTTTTGATTTCGACGCCAACTTTTTAAATTTTTGTGGCGTTTTTTATTTTAAACCAAATTCAGTCAATTTAAGTGAAAAAATAAGTTTTCCATTCATAGGAAGAAGATAAGATGAATAAGTGATAATTTCATAATTTTATCAAAGTAGTAGAAATACACAAGATAGGACATGCACAGGATAAGACAACTTATTGAAAACAGATCGATACCTATGAACATTTCGATACTGCTTGATCTTATTTATAAATTAATTGAGTTATATTTTTAATTTAATTGAATTTTCAATTATTTTTTACTGACAGTCAAATTAGATTTTTTCACCTTTTGACACCTATTGTTGTCAACTGCAACAATGACTTTTGACTTTTGTCACTCGCACCCAAACTTAAATTAGATTTATTTATAGGTCAATTTAATAAGGAAATAGAGATGGACAAAGGGGTGGACAATTAAGAATCGTCCAAATCATGAAAAATATACGACAGTTTATCACCATCACCAACAAGATCAACTTCGTGTTTAAATTACAGTTAAATTTTCGTTAGTTAATATTAGTTAAAAAGAGAAATCAGTGACTAGACAGAGAAATTAGTGAAATCAGTGACATAATTCCAACGGAATCTACCACTTAAAATAACCTCAACTATATAAACACACCAAGTTACCAAAATCACCTCAAAAAAAGTAAGTAAAATTATATTCACCATGGTTTAGAGATGAGTTTTGGTTTCTTTTTTCTCTTTCCCTTTGCTCATGCAACTATTCAATTCTTATTCAAAGAAATCTCTGAAACTTTAATTTATCAGCATTTTGTTTTTCCCAATTGAATTAAAATGAACTAAGTTTCCATGTTGTTTGCTTTTAAATGAAAAAGTGCAACAGTAAAATCAATTTAATAGTAATAATCAAACAAAACCAAACATGATTTGGGACTAATTTCACCGCATTTTCACCTGAATATATAAAAGTTCAATTCTGATTCTTGCCAGGCAATGGAACAAGATGAAGAGGAAAAGGTTACATTAAGATGAAAATGAAGATATAATGAAAAGCTCTTGAGTCGTTTGTATATTTATACATATAATAAAATTGAAGCAGAAAAAGCGAGAAAATTTTGATCGACTTTCCATGTAATTTCAATCAAATGGCTCTTTCAATGTCTAAATCAACATCACAATTGATAAATTACTTTGCCAGTTGCATTTAATAATTTATTCAGAGAAAAATGTAAAATGAAAAAATTGATTTTCTTTTCGTTTCTTTTTTCATTTTCCCTGTCTTTTGTTTTACGCTTGAAAGTTTATTAATAAACAGACGGGTTTCCTTTGCAATCAAGAGACCAAGCATGATTCAATCAATCAGAAAAAGCAAGTTAATTAACAGATTATCATGATAATAGATCCAGTTATCCTTTTGGTTGGCAGAGTAGCGCTAACATTGAAAGCTACAGTTAAATGGGAAAGATAAAAGATACTCCTCAAAAATATTAATGATTATATCAATAACAGTTTAACAATTTTACATCATTTATTTCACATAGAAATCTTCTCTTTTGTAAGATAAAAATAACATAAAAATAAAAATACATAAAAACATACATAACATAAAAATGTTCATCTAAATGAACATTGAAAATTTGCCTATTTTAATAACTTGTTACCATTTGAATAATCATATTATTAATTACAAAACAAAAAAATACACTATGTTTAAATTCAAAATTCATTTATTGAACACAAAAATTTTGAGAAGTGTTACATATGAAAGGAAAAATTAGTCCTTTGATTTTGGTCGCCCCTTGTTTTGCTTCCTTCCATCTTCCCTAGGTGTGTATTTGGCTGGAGCGGGACAGTTTGGCCCACAAAACTTTCCATGTATGTGACCAGGAGCTCCAACAACATTACATCTTTTTTCATGTTTATTAATATTAGACTTATCGTCAGTTCCGATTCCGCACCACCGACAGCTAAATTTTCACTCAATTTTCTCAAAGTTGTTGGTGCTTTTAGCACTTTCGTATTTCCTCCAAGTCGCACGATTGAATGGCCGTAATTTGGGTCTCTAAAATTTTTCCATCACCTAAGTGCAGATCACTCATTTTCACCCATGTTGGGGACCATTCGGTTAAACAATAAACGTTGTCAGCAGTCCTTGGTCCAGGCCCATACATACAATCAATCACCTTATTTATGGGGTATTCGCCATCGCAAACCCGAGCTGATTCGTTACTATTCACTGTATAACACGTTTAGTTGAAAACACAAATGTACAAGAGAGCAAAAAAATAGATATTTCAATGTTAACTACAATGGTTAGCGTCATTAAATAAACTGAGGACAGTTTCTTTGTTTTGTAGTGGCGGGTAATGTTGCTACCCAACGAGGACTCACTGAGCCTCGTCTCTCACATGGGCTCTTATTTTTAAGTCGGTTGTGCTTTGACTGCTTTTCTTGTACTGTAATCTTGTTTACTTGAATATCGTTTGATTAAACCTTTAAGTTTGTTTTAATTCATTTGGTGATTACTTTATTATTTTTCTTGGTGTAACAATATTATTGATCAGTATCTTTTATCTTTCCCATTTAACTGTAGCTTTCTCTGCCAACCAAAAGGATAACTGGATCTATTATCATGATAATCTGTTAATTAACTTGCTTTTTCTGATTGATTGAATCATGCTTGGTCTCTTGATTGCAAAGGAAACCCGTCTGTTTATTAATAAACTTTCAAGCGTAAAACAAAAGACAGGGAAAATGAAAAAAGAAACGAAAAGAAAATCAATTTTTTCATTTTACATTTTTCTCTGAATAAATTATTAAATGCAACTGGCAAAGTAATTTATCAATTGTGATGTTGATTTAGACATTGAAAGAGCCATTTGATTGAAATTACATGGAAAGTCGATCAAAATTTTCTCGCTTTTTCTGCTTCAATTTTATTATATGTATAAATATACAAACGACTCAAGAGCTTTTCATTATATCTTCATTTTCATCTTAATGTAACCTTTTCCCCTTCATCTTGTTCCATTGCCTGGCAAGAATCAGAATTGAACTTTTATATATTCAGGTGAAAATGCGGTGAAATTAGTCCCAAATCATGTTTGGTTTTGTTTGATTATTACTATTAAATTGATTTTACTGTTGCACTTTTTCATTTAAAAGCAAACAACATGGAAACTTAGTTCATTTTAATTCAATTGGGAAAAACAAAATGCTGATAAATTAAAGTTTCAGAGATTTCTTTGAATAAGAATTGAATAGTTGCATGAGCAAAGGGAAAGAGAAAAAAGAAACCAAAACTCATCTCTAAACCATGGTGAATAAAATTTTACTTACTTTTTTTGAGGTGATTTTGGTAACTTGGTGTGTTTATATAGTTGAGGTTATTTTAAGTGGTAGATTCCGTTGGAATTATGTCACTGATTTCACTAATTTCTCTGTCTAGTCACTGATTTCTCTTTTTAACTAATATTAACTAACGAAAATTTAACTGTAATTTAAACACGAAGTTGATCTTGTTGGTGATGGTGATAAACTGTCGTATATTTTTCATGATTTGGACGATTCTTAATTGTCCACCCCTTTGTCCATCTCTATTTCCTTATTAAATTGACCTATAAATAAATCTAATTTAAGTTTGGGTGCGAGTGACAAAAGTCAAAAGTCATTGTTGCAGTTGACAACAATAGGTGTCAAAAGGTGAAAAAATCTAATTTGACTGTCAGTAAAAAATAATTGAAAATTCAATTAAATTAAAAATATAACTCAATTAATTTATAAATAAGATCAAGCAGTATCGAAATGTTCATAGGTATCGATCTGTTTTCAATAAGTTGTCTTATCCTGTGCATGTCCTATCTTGTGTATTTCTACTACTACTATCAATTCAAATCGAATTAATTATAATTTTCACTAGATGCCGCTTAGTAACCTTCGACTACTTGTTGACTAACCAATGGTTAGTATGGGTTGTAAAATAAGTCCGTGTGAGAGAAAAAATCATTCCCCTGAAGCATTAAACCCATTTGCAATATATTCGAGATTCCCCATAATAATATTGTACAGGGCATTTCAGCTAATTTTACCGTTTTAAATTGGTTATATCTTTGCTCCTGAGTGAACTTGAGGTGTGATATTTTGTTCATGGAAATTTGGGCGATACTCAATTGTCATATTTCAAGGTCAAGGAGAATTTTTATATTGTTTGATGCTAGTGACATGTTCATAACTTATTCTGGTCAAATGATATGAGTGTTTACGCATTTATGTGTCGATCAATTGGTTTTGAGAAAAATGCATTTATCTTTCCAACGGTGCGAGATACCAACTCGTAGCAAGCAACAAACAATATAAAAATTCTCGCGCTCTCAGACAATGACCTCCAAATATCAGTCAGAGGTCAAAAAACGCAATGACCTTGAATCACCTTGACCTTGAAATATGACAATTGAGTATCGCCCAAATTTCCATAAACAAAATATCACACCTCAAGTTCACTCAGGAGCAAAGATATAACCAATTTACAACGGTAAAATTAGCTGAAATGCCCTGTACTCTCCGATATACTCTTCGGTACACTAGTTTCACCTATAAGGCAATCTTTGATAAGCACTGTCTACTATACTATTACTAATACCAGTGATATAATTAAGCATCTTACGTATAGTAGATGGCACAAAAATTAACTTATCCGTGAAACTAATGTATATAGTCAAACATGTTTAATTAATCAAAATAACTATCAAGATTTGTATTAATTGTCAAAAAATATTACAAATTAACATCACCAAGCTATAATATTAAGTTGAATTTACCAAAATATTAAATTGATGAAGTTCTTCATTTGCATGTAAACAAAGGGGTTGAGGGGTCATTGATTAATTTAGTCACACTTTACTGTACATTTATACTGATGAAGAATTCCTTAGGAAATCGAATGCTTACCGCCATTTCCCTTTCACTCACAGGTCTAACATCGTTCTCTATCTTTCTATGCCCTAACTAAACTCTGTTGGCGTGAATTGCGGAATTCTGCATATTGTCGTGACCATAGTCATTCAAGATGTCAGAATCGGTAAGTACAGATTTCTGAGAATAACATTGTTTATATTATTCGTATGTTATTTTATTTTATATTCACACAGTATCAAGAAGTCGAAGAACAGAAGATTCGGGATAAAATAAAATCTTTGACTGATGATATGCCGGTAAACACCCTTTTAAGCTTTAATATTGATGGCAAAGAAGTTTTAATTCGAAGGTGACCATGTCTCACAAAACTATGAAGAACTTTTGATCTGAAAAGTGAATTATCATCTTTTCAATTAATCTATAACATGTAACAATGTTTGACTACCAATAATTAAACATATTTAGACAAAAATTTATGAATATATTTTATGAATATTGATGGCTGGTCATCTGAAAATAGTCCGGAATAAGACTCTTTATATTATATAATCAGGACTGTGCGTTTTTTCTGTTTCAACGCTATTGTGTTACAGCGGATTTTCGATTCCACAATTTTTGTGTTAAAAGTACGTTACTTGTTTTTCTTCATGATCTTCTGATAGGTGAGGTACATGTGAATTGGTGCAAGTTGTTTGTATTGGGGAAAAATTGCATTTTTTGGGATAGGTGAGGAAGAGTTGAACCCCCCAATTCAAATATTAGATTAGTGGCAAGCCAATTTGGCAGAGGAAACTATGAAAATTTAGATCTTTTATCGGACAAAAAGTCATAAATGAACTTGAATGAACTCGGCTTTATTGCCTTTGTTGAAAATTTATGCTGATATTTTATAGTGAAATTTTCACCTTCTTGGTTCTACTAGTTCTTCACCATTTCAACGTTACTTGAAACTTATTTTGCATTCATTATTCATCGGTGAAAGATATTTGGGCAGTATATGTTGTCAGCTATATTTAACCTATGAACCAAGTAACATAATATCTTATATATTTATCGGAGCGTAGTGAAACGAAGTGAAGATTTAACTCAGATATGCCTTTTCGAAAATCCACTTTTTGTTTTACTGTGTACAAGATATCTAACGAATAAAACATCATAGAAAGATGATATTTGTTAATAAGACAGAAAATATTGAGACGGTGAAACGATCAACTTTTCAAGGTTCATTGACGGTCATTTTTCTGGATTTCATTTCGACCTTAAGAGGTCATTTGAAGGTTGTTTGAAATTTTTCGATGATCCTCATGAATATTTATCATTATTTCACCAATAGTAATCAGAATTTGACCCGAAAAGGGGCAAAAAGTCTGAAACTCATACCAAAGCAAATTTTTGTAACTATGATATCTCCTAAACGAATGAGGTCTCGAACTTGATATTCGTAATATGCCCGCTTAAGAACATGCTGTAAGCCTGAAAATTAAATAACGATCATCAAAGAAAGGTTTTCGGATTTTGACCTATGACTTTCATAATCCAGTATGCTTGAACAAACGACGAAGCATTAGCAAATTTTAAAGCTTGCATGAGGTTTCACAAGTTATTTTGTGATTTAATATCTCTTGTGAACAAGATTTCAGATGCAAGAGAAGTTAATGAATCATGGTCTATACTGGATGGTTAAGGAGTGAAACTAAGATACAATTTTGTACTTTTTCGATGTTAGATTTCGTTTCTTGTTAAATCTAAAAAACAATACGGTAGATTCAATTGCTTGCTAACGCCAGATCGTCTGACCTAGTAGTACTAAAATCCAAGCTTTGTTTAATAGCAAACAAATCTAATCTTATGTATGTTTATCAGAATTTAATCAAGAATTCATTTCACATTCAATAAGCATTGTAATTATCAAGAAAATTGGTAATCAAAAAAACGTAACTCAGACGGAATATTTTCTTAAGACTGCATAACATTGAATGAACCAAAATACAGCGAAAAGTATGATCAAATCTAACAAATTGAGTTTTTCAGTATCAATTGTTACACCGATAGATGAACAAAAGAATTGAATCCGCTATGTAAAAAGTTTTATTATTTATAAAAAATAAAGTACTTGTAAATTTGAAGTACTTATGCAATAGCCATTGACTTCGTGGTGTTTGGTTCGACAATTGTTTTTCCATTCTGAATATTGCTACTGCTTGCAACAGCATTTAATATTTTAATAGGATTAATCGAAATGTCTTTTGCTTACAAAATTGATTTTTGTAATCAATTTCATACAAATAATTAGTTTATTCCTATTTGGTTCGATAGTATCTGAAGAGGGCTGCGATACTATTGAGACAAAGATTCTTCGATGAAAACACAATAGGAGGCGCACTAGTATCGAATCCTCGTGTTAAATCGCCTTTTTCTCAAAATTTAAATTTAATTTTCAGTTAATTCTATTCTAAATTTTAATCATCATAAGTTATTTCATATCTGGTATCTTGTCAAATTTATCATTCGCTCAAGCCTTGGTGAGTAAAAAAATAATAAGTATTAAATTATTTAATCAATTTTAGCATTCATTTCTTATTTCAGGAATATTATAAGAATAAGAAAAAGGTGAGTTTTAAATACATTTTACTTTATCCAATTAACAAGACTTAAGACATAGACAAAATTTAAGCAGGACAAAGTATTGCCCAAGCTACTGTCGAACCAAACTGCATATGAAAGAGAGACAAGCTAATTTATATTATTATTTATTTATATATTCAGAATCCGAAGGAAAATTTGGAGACGAATAATACTGACAAAAACGATCCAGATGTAAGTATTTCCATCAACAGTTTTGCTTAAATTACTTATAGAATTCAATTTCATCTAATTGTTTCTATTCCTTTTCCAGAATTCAAATGCTGAAATCCAGGATAAACCGCGATTGGTTATCTGCAAAAATCAATTGCAGGCAAAGTTTCCATGCAAACTCAAACATATGGCTATAATTGACAATGTGATGCATGCATGTTTTTCATACGGCGCTTATTATGAAGATAAAACTGAGATGTTGGATCTTAACAAAGACAATTATCCACTACTCGAACCAGTGGCAGATGTTCCCTTGGCAACTGATCTAAGAAAAGACTCCGCCAAAGATAAGAGCAAGAAAGATTGACAGTGCCCTTATTGTGGTTATTGCTCCACAAAATTCAATCAAAAAGTATTGAAAAATATAATATATTGAATGTAGCTACTGGTAGAATAAATATTATTATTTACAAAAAATAATTTTGATAATAATCTTGTGAAGATATTAATTAAGATAGAGATAATAATTAATGAAGATATATAATGATAAGTATTCTACTTACAATTAGTAAGTTGTGTTGATACTCGGTTTAAATTGAATTAGCTGTTGTTGCAAGCAGTAGCAACATTCGGAATGGAAAATGTACATAATGTAAGTAATGTACTCCGAAACTATTGTCGCACCAAACACACCAACTGAAGTCAATTGGCTATTACATATACCGAAAGCTTTGGGGTCATCCCATTCGTCATCAAAATCACGATCACTGAATTCAAGGTCATTAAAATTAATTAGATAAATCATTTTCAATAAAGATATTGCATCTGTTGATCCCAATTTATTTATACACTAGAGTACCCGGTTAACGCAATTTTTTTTTGTTAGTCTCCATCTAGTGACATAATCTTAAATATGAGGGATATTATAACGTTAAACTGTAAACATGAGTAAATTAACGTTATCAAGTAAATTAAATATAGTGAAGCAAATTGAAAGCGGTGAAAAACAGTTACTGATTGCTAACAACAACGAAGTAAGTCCATCAACAATCTCAAGAATAAAGAAAAATAAAGAAAATATAAAAATAGAATCAAAAATTGATGGTCAACGAAAACGTCTAGTGGTTCAAAAACAAAAATAAGAGATGAAGCTATTCATAAATTTGTCAACGATTGCAATGAGAAAGGATTTCCAGTGAACCACAGAATAATTAAATCAAAAGCAATTTCAATTGCTAGTCGTGAAGGTGAAGTGTTCAAAGCAAGTAACCATTGGTTTTCAAATGTGAAGAGGAGAACAAGTTTGAGCTACCTGAAAGCAAAAGGAGAAGCAAAGTCAGTTAATCAAGAGCAAGTTGATAAATGGTTTTTTGATGACTTGCCTGAAATAATTAAACAGCATCCAGGTTATCAAATTTGGAACTGTGATGAAACAGGTCTTGAGTATCGCAATATTGATCAAAGATCATATTTTGTCAAAGATGCTAACAAACAAGGAATTAAACAAAACAAAGAAAGAATAACAATTTTGTTGTGTTGCAGTTATGATGGTCAGAAAAAAAATCCATTGATAATTGGTAAAAGTAAAAAACCAAGATGTCTATCCTCTATTCTTTATAATACAAAACAATTTAATATTGACTATCGAGCCAGCAAGAAAGCTTCGATGACAAGTCATCTATTTGTTGAGTGGATTGATGAGTGGAATGAAGAACTGAAAGTAAAGAATGAAAAAATATTATTATTTAATGACAATTGTCCAGCACATAAAGTTGACGGTAAAACATGGAGCAACATAAAGCTTATTTACTTACCAGTAAATACAACAAGTAAATGTCAACCACTGGACGCTGGTATTATAGCCAACTTAAAACATCATTATTACTCCGAGTTGAACATATTCATGGCCTCACTCATGTCAACCGATGAAACCATTGAAAATATAATTAAAACAATTACACTCAAAGAAACAATTGATTGGATTAGTGAAGCTTGGGAAAAAGTCAGTCAAAAAACAATAACAAACTGCTTCACCAGATGTAGATTTTTCAAACTTAATTAAAAAAACATAGATGGAGACTGTGAAAATTGCTTTAAACGGGACACAAAAAAATTGCGTTAACCGGGTACTCTAGTGTATCTTGTTCCCAAGAAACAGTTTATACATCATCGTAGACATATGCTTCAGTCGAAGTGTTTTGTTGATTTATTCTTAAAAATGATTAACAATGTATGAAATGGATAAAAATATAAAATAGCTCAGAATGAATTTGCTGAATGTGATTTGCTAAAAATTTAGCAAAAATAGGGAAAATAGCAAAGATGGAAACCATGACGACTGTGTTGCACGGAACGCAGACGTCACCGAACGTGACGGAATTTGAATGGCGTTTATCAAAATTTAATTTTTTCGTGAAACTAGTGTATATTTTTTGAACACCATACATCACTAGTCACATTTATAATAAATTTATAGAAGTGGTCAAACATTGGTGGGCACAATAGACAACAATAAATAAAAGTTAGGAAAAGTATAACAGCGACAGAGTTATATCGATCCTCTATTGAATATTTTCAGCACCTTCAGGTGATAAATTAACAGAGTTGGAAGGAAAATTTCTGATACTTAATAAGCATCTCAATCACGATCATGTCCTAAGGGCATATCAGCGACTTTATATGGGGATTCCCTTTGCACATTGAACTTCAATGTACTATTAATTAAGTTTATAGCCAAAGAGGTAAATGATCCTTGATTCCATCCATCGCTAACTTTTCATCGCTCAGTATTATGACTCTCAACACTTGATTCATTAGCGAATTGTCAAATAGTACCAATAACCGTGCTAGCTTATTGAAATGACGATGACTGTGACTAATCCAATGACTAATCCATCCAAGCAGCAAGTGTTTCAATGGAAAGATTGTGGTGATAAAAAAGGTTGCTTGTGATTTCACTGAAAATGAATTTAAAAGATATTAAATTGATAATATTTCTAATAATCATTTGATAAGATAAAACAGACTAAGGTATCAAGGTTTACCATTTCATGGTTTAATTGCCTCTTTGATAGGAAGACTGCTCAAGGAAACAAGATCAGGTTTGTCGAGCTTACAGTTGCTAGATTAATCGATGGAGATAAACATATGCAGGTAAACAAATGCATGCTGTTTATTGAATTGATGGTTTGATATTCCACAATCTAAATCTTTTAATGAAACTGTCCAGCCCATGTGATAATGTAGTTTGCAGTTTGGTGTAAAATAAAAAGTGTAACCTTCAATTTGTATCTTTATTTACTATCGTATTTGAAACAACAATAACTTTCCATCAATTATTGGAGATAATGTTCTTGGTAATCACCACCATTGTCAATCCTGTCACTTTCCTGAGAAATATCGAGTTCCTCCGAATGGTTGAATAGCTGAAAAAACAAAATATAACAAATGAGAATTGAAAAAGCAAATGGAAAGCAATGAAATATGTAAAATAATCTATCTGGACAAACATCTACAAACCTCTGAGTTAATAATCGTTATTTTTTGGTTCATTTGCTCATTAAAACTTTGAAAGTCATGAATCACGATGATTTGAATTTATGAAAAATTTAACTTCAACTAATGAAACAAAGTCCATACAACTGGTTTGAATTGAAAGAAGACAGAGTAATTTGAATACAAAGTGTATGTACACACAGACTGAATATGTATTATGATTCCATCAGCAGCTAAACACAAATAAATTCAACAGATTATCGAAATTTCTTGAATAACAATTGTTGATACCAAATCTCGAAACAGTCCTGTGGAAATAAGTGAAACTGATAACCAATTTTTTCTTTTAGCTCAACTCAATTCAAAAAGTCTAACTCTTTGTATCAATCTGTTTACATTTTTAATTGAGCCGCGATTTTCAATTTTTTTAAAATCTAATCGCAGATTTGATTAGACTAGGATATTATGGGTTTAAATATCTTATAATACATTAGACAGGACTAATTAATTTTGTTTCCAACTTTATTCTTAAAATATCATCTAAAAGATTAAAAATAAGAAAAGAGTAATGAAATTATTGACAAGAAAATCTAAAATTAATACTGTTTAGGATATCAGGAATATTCATTTTAAATGTATTAAATTGGTCGAGAAGTTTTGGACGAAATCATTGTATCATTTAATCAATGAAATGATCGCAATCAGCTTCCATTGCTTCATGAAAGGTTAGGTCATCCAAAGATTTCATTCCTCTTACAATTTTTCTGACTATGAGGCCAAAATGCATTCCAACACCGCTTCGGTTCTCGCCTTTTCTGCCCAAAATGGGATACTCCTTTAACACATAAACTTTAACATCTATTGAAAGTATTAAAAGTTGGTGGAGTTAATTAATAAAGTAAATGTAATGTAATTTAAGGATCAATGTAATTTTGTGACTGATGATCATCAGTTTGCTTAATCAATGAATTTGCTTGACTGTTTTGAAGATTGTGAAGTTGAAGGTAAATTAATGTTAAATATGCCAAATATATGGAATAAAGTTTCACTCAAAGTAATTATGACAACCCAAGAATACAATGTACGAGAAAAATTGTAATTTGTCGTGAAAAGGTAACCAATGACGCTTAATCCAATAGCATTAATAAAAACGTTAATCCAATGGATTTTACTTTTATTGATTCCATCCAGCATCAAACTTTTTTCCCCTGGAGCCGTTAAAATGTGGTAGAACATGCGAAAGATCACTTTGAGAGCATCAAACATGGGTAAAAACGTATATGGTTCCTTGGATTCCAGTTCATATCCCAATGAGTAGGCTGTCACAATGATTGAAGTGTAAACAGCGTGGAGAATAGTCTCTGTGGAATCCTTTTTCATCAGCAATTTAAACACAGGTACAGCCAGGTCAACCAAACGAGCCCAAAAGATAAGATTGTGCACATACATGTAATAAACTTTGGTCAATGGAGTTTCCAGGGTAGCATCTTCACCGTACATGGCATATCTCCAGGGTGGAAAGCAATAAACGAAAATACAAAAGCCAGCCGAATACGCACCAAACATGAGTCCATTGAAGACAACTAGCCATGGACGAAGGTTATAAGGTAATCGAGAAGACATTAGACTAGGAATTATTTTGATTATAAAGCACAAGTAAATGATTATCAATGTAATCACTAAATTTTGGTTGTTGATCAGAGGGAAGTCATCGGGTGAAGCAACAGCATCAAAAGGAATGTTTTTTGCAATAAATTCAGATGAATGGTTAACCAATGATTGGCTGTAATCCGGATAGGATAAATTGACCACAAACGGATAGTTCCATAAGTAGGAAACGGGTGAAGTGAGGTTATCGGGTTCAGCACAAACCATCATTATTAAACGAAAAAACCTTTACCTTTATCTAAACCTAAAAGCAAAGGTTAACAAATATGTGAATGGACAGTACAATTTTCAAATGTAAAACCAAAACAATAACTTTTTCAGCACAATTTGTAAGTCCTCGAGTAAACGGGCAAAAAAAGTATCCTAAATCAGGCGAAGGATAAAGCAAAAAAAGTGAAACCAGATTTTTCAATAAGTTTAACAATAAGATGAAAACAATAAAACTATTTGCCAGCAGTGGTCATGTTGCTTGGTCACTTCGGAATCGTTGTTCACCTTCACTTCGTTAACATCAAAGGGTAATGATATCGATGATATTACTGATGATAATGATGATTGTAATGGGAATGACTATGTTTCAAAAGTGACTGGTTTTAACGGACCAAGGGTATTAACTTGAATTTCATTTCCTAAGATTGCTAGTGAGAGTAAAGAGCTGAAGGGGTGAAGAAAGGGTCGACAGAATAATCATCATTCTTCTTTCTCTTTCTAGTCTTCAGTCTGTGCCTCTGTCTCTTTCCCTCTCTAATCAAATGATTGAATTTTTATTTTCTAAACATTTTATTAGCCTTAAGGTGAATTAAAATAAAAAGAAAGTAAAAGATGAAAATGAATGACAGTTTTATATTAATCTGATCTCCAAGCAACTTGGAATTCAATTTATTACTGAATCCAAGCAAATTCCAGTCAATTAAGGATCAACGGTCAAAATGGTTCTTATGCTGTTGACCAATCATGAGGGTAGTTTATGCGTTGATCCAATTAGTAGCCTTGTTTACAAGTAACCACTTGTAACCACCACAATGACCATTGATTTTACCTGTGATTTCATTGATTTATCCTTTATGCTCGATGAACTAAATAAATCAATAGTCAATCAGTTTAATGCTCAATCGATTGCAACTTTGAGCTAAGAGTTGGCTAACAATGTTTTTAATACGACTATCAATATTGATATTTGTTTAAGTTTAGTCTTCATAAATGTCCATATATTTGTCCACTCCAATACATCAGAATGGTCATAAATGTAAGTGATTAGCTTACATTTAGCAAGTGTTTTGTCAGTCAAAAAATAATTGCTAGAGGCTTTTCAAAAGGTATGAAAAGAGCCTTTAATCACAATATTGAATTAGTCAAATTCAATTTGGATTGGGAAATAATATAAGGATTGAAGTGAATTAATTAAATTGGAAATTTAATTCAAATCTCCTTGATTACTATGAGTAGCTGATTCTATTTATATCTTCATCTCAATGAAATTACAGCAATTATTAACACATATCGGGCAATTTGAGTCACATCCAAAGCAAATGTATAGAAGTGGTCAGTCAAAAAAACACTGGTTACCAGAAGTTATGATGTTTACAATCGTCTGGATTAATTAAACCCTATTATTTACAATCAATCCACAAATGACGGATCTATTTTAAACAGGCTTGGGTTGGTATCACATTATGATGAGAAGGTCACATCTAATCACCTTAGTGTAACACTGATTTGACTATTATTGGAATCTTTATTCATCTTAACCCGATTTGTAACACTTGATTCATCCAATTTAATAATGCTTTGTTCAGCTGAACAATAAGATAGCAATCTTTCGATTCAGAGAGATGATTAATTGACTAGAGATTGATTATCCAAAATATTTACTGGATTGGTTATGGTTACGATTCTAACCATTATTGCGAGTTAATTTGGTGGAACTTTTTATCTCTTTATCTTTGCTCTTAACCATTAACCTTGTGATTTTATTGATTGGATTGAAGTGAAATCACAATTTCCTGATGATTAAAAGTTGTTGTCCCTTCACTTTTGCACTGATCATAATCTGTAAACTGGAACATAGTCTAAGCAACCAGGTCTTCCACCCTTAACATCAGCTTCTCTTCCTTCCTTTCTGGTGAAAACATAACCATGTTAAACCACATTAAACATGTCCATCACAATTTAAAAACAATGCCACAATAGCCAAAAGAGTTATCAAAAAATTACAATTTATAAATAGAATTAAAAATTTCATTCTACAAACAAAAGCATTTGAAAGATTCTCAGCCGCCATTTCCCACTGTTTTATTAATACATTAACGATGACCATCATTATTGTCATTGTCACTGAAGTTATCAATAAGTTGATTCCAGGTCATAGTTGGCCACAATTGATTGTTTATTTAATTGTTATCCGTTGTTTAGTTGAATAAGACATCCTCATAAAGAAATGATAATAAAGGCTGTCATGGAATAAAGATCAATATGAAAAACGGTAAGAAGAGGAGCAAGTTCAATAGCTTCTCACAGGATTGAAATTCAAGAAGGTATTAAAAAAGGGAATATTATTTATCAGGAAAGGATGTTGATCTGAATAGGTCAAAAGATCAATTTATCACACATCGATGGATTCACAAGTTAATAGTTGGCACTGTAATGTCAAACAAAATAAAAAAGCACCAATTCCTCGGTAATTAAAATAAACCAGAAAACTCAAATTCTTGTTACAACAGCCATTAAAGGAAAAACTTTTTCTATTTAGTCTGGTCCTGGTTAATAGCGTAGAAATGTAAAGATTTGGTGAGAAATAAATGGCAATTTATGATTGGTTAAAAAAAAGCTTTTCTTATCTTTGGGTTTCTTTAGGTTGAACAATTTGTCATCATTGGGATTATGCAGCAGCGCTTTCAACCGTTGTAAAGAAAATTAATAAAGCCTAGGAAAAGGTCTGTTAGATAACAAGGAAGATGGCAATGAGAAACCTATTATCATCAACACCATGGTGAGTCGCATTTCTCATGTTTTATCATCATTTTTTTCAATCTCAAATCAACTCTTCTATTTATCTCTTTCATTTTTCAATGTGAAACCTTTTTTCTGACCTCGTTTGGTGTTAACTGAATAGGATAACAATAAACAACAACAACAAAACCGAGAGGAAAATAAGGCGTCAACGTGGTTTATTACTAGCTATTCAATTAATGAACTTCTCATCATTCTCATTATCAATATCATCTTTCTTGTCTCTCTCATTGCTCTCTTTTCTGTCTCTCCCTCTCTCTCTCTCTCTCTATTTTAGGTAATGAAAGTCAACCGGTTAATTCAACTACATCATGAAACAAGATTAACATCAACAGTGACCTTCGCTAAACTTGATCATCATCTTAGTCAATCTGCATTTGCCCTCTCACGTGTTTGGGTCAACCAGCAACCTTGATATCAGTTGGTAATGACGATTAGTTAATCGGCAACTATTGATGAGAGAGGCCAATCAACACTTATACCATAGTTACTCTCTCCTTCTGTCTATTTCTCTGTTTCTCTCTTTTGTCTTTCCTCTCTTTCAATGTGTTCATGTGAATTTATCAGCTCATCACAACTCTACATCAGGCAAACGGTAAATACATCAAGTGAGAACAGAGCAACAAACCAAAACAATGTTCCCTTTAGACTACAGTTTAATCATCAAGATGGATCAATCACTATTAATTACTGATTTTTATATTTCATCGTCCTGTGATTTCCCATTAATAACTTTAGTGAATTCAATCAAACAACTCATGTAACACAACTTTATTGATTTAATGCCAAAAATATGAAACTTCTTTGGATTAATCGTTGAAAATCTGATACCTACGTTATTATTGAATCAATGATTGACCCTTCAACAATAATCCAATTGTTTTACCTTTTCATTTACGGACTCGTTTTAATTTGTTTTTATTAATTGTTCTTTTTAAAGGTAAATACATCAAAGTTTAACTGTCAGTGATATGGAACAAGTTTATGTCATCAAATTGAAAGAGTTACCCCAACCACCAGCCTCGACAACAAGTACAACAACAATTGACGGGACAACAATCAATGGAATTAAAGTCAACTCGCCATTTGAAGGAAAAGACCTCAACCGTCAATCTTTATTTGGTCTTTCTATTTTCCAACTAATTCTTGGCCTGTTGTCAATAATTTTTTCATTGGTTGGTGCAACTAGAGATTGGACACATTCATTTGGTGTTTTCTCAGGATTAGTCTACATTGTAACCTCTGCAGCAGGTATATTAGCCTCAGAAGGACCAGTTTCATATATAGAACCTTCAGCATCTACGTCTTTTTCATGGGTCAGCTTCTCTAGATCATCATCTTTCATATGGATCACCTTGGGTGGACAATTTATCACTTTAATCATCTCGACACTTTTCACTTGGTTAACTATGTTTGGTGTTATCTGTTCATTTAATACGACAATCAACCTTCAAACATCTTTAATTACTGCCAACGGTCTTCAATTCATATTGTCGTTGTTCTCCTCTTTTATACTTTGTCGTATCCTCAATCCAGACTTTTTAACGGAGTATCTTCCAAGCTGGCCAGACAAACCCAAAGTTTCTTCCAAAATCATTGTCAAAACCTCAATCTACCCAGGAGTATTAAAGAGTGACAATTTTTCTCGTCTTCTAGGCCCTAATTGTATTGTTTCATTGGTGCCTCCAAATAATAACAATTTAAACCGGCAAGCGGCTATTGGTGGCATGCAACCAATTCAAGTACATGATCAAGCTACAGAAACTGAGCCTGACAGTCTATTAGATGAAATGAATATGCTTTCATCGACTCCGAAATATTTTTCAAAATCAACATCATCCATATCATCAGTTTCAACAGCTTCAATTTCAGCTGAACGTTTTTCTCCTGAAATAGACATAGAAATTTTGCCAACTTCTGAGTTTGAAGCCACTGTCGAGACAGCTATTGAACAAAAAGTCGAGCCTGATGTTGAACCTGATCTTAAAATTGTGCCTTCACCAGAAGCTGAAATAGATTCCGGATCAGAAAAAATAATCTCGAGTTCGTCACCATCTACAGAATCAGATTCAGAGCAAGACTCATATTCAAATGCAGATTTAAATGAGCACTTGAAATGCCAATCATTACGATCAAATAATCTTCATCATACAATCGCAGCAACAGCCACAACCGCAATCCATTGATCTGGATGGAGACACACAGAGTGATGATCCATTGGCCAGACCTAAGTGACAAACCAAATGTTGAATTTTAAACATAATCAAATTAGCATACAAAATAGACTAACCCTGAAAATGTTGGATATTTTACTTGAACAAGAGCAAAGTAACGGATCTCTAATCATTTGACAATGAAAATCCAAGTGACAATGATTATGGATGAATTGTGGTTAATTTGAAATTGCCGATTCATGGAAAGCCTTGAGAGTGATGAAAATTAATGTAATCATGGTTAGTTCCTAAGTGAGAAAACAAACTTTAATAACATGAATTGTACATAATTTTACGGTTGCGTCTCAAGATCGACATTTCGTTGTTTACTGAAAGTACCAAAAAATATGGGTGGTAATTAAGGAAAAATTCATATCAACATGGTCACCATCAAATCATTACTTAATGTTGTTCAACTTAAGCTCCTCAAAACTCTTTGATTATTCAACAAGCTGTTAATTTTATTTAAGAAACTCATCCAACATCATCCAGATTCATCCTGTTAAACAGAAAACGTTATATTTCCATATCTTCTCATATTATTTACATATTCATTTGTAATTTGTATATCTGTGATCAAAATTTGAAACTTCATCTTTAAATAAGTTCCATCGGCTATTATTATTGACAATTTTACATGCAAATTAAAGATACAAATGCACAAATTAAGTGACCATCTAAGTGTTTTTAAATATGCCAGTTAATTTATTCAACTATCATTTCAAATTGTAACCTTGTCTAAATGATTATCTCTCGTAGTCAATTAGATTCACCTGATGTCTAGTTGTAAATTGTCGTAAATTGCATCCATTAAAGTCATGTAATAAATCATTTATTACTCAAACAAGTACAAGATTTATAAATAAGATTAACCGTTGAGAATTGGGATTTGGTGAAGAGAAACAAAAATTGGTGTCAATCTCACAATAAAACAACCTGAAATAAGCTTACGATAATCATCAACTAATCAGTAATAATCTGGTAAAGATAAGTATCACTACAAGTCATGATAGGGCTGATTTAATTATTAAACTACAATTTATGTTAACCCAAACCAACATAAACATTTCAATATAAAGTGATCTCAGCCAAACCCTGTAAAAACATGACTTCAATTACAGCATTTGAATAAATTGAATTTCACTCGACTGCCCAATGTGGTAACATGTCAAGTCGCTTAAATCATCGATTTACTTAAATCAAGATGAACCTGAAAATTTCAATATCGAAGGGTTGAAAAAAAATGAAATAAATTTAGCCTAAAAACAAGTTAACCTTTAAAATTGCTACAAATCTGGTTGACCCACAGAATAGATATTGAAATTGAACTGTTTTCAATAAATTAACAGCTTTTTCATGCTTAACTCATTGATTGACCGAGTCTTAATTTAGATGCAACTTGACGTTATATTGATGATGATGGACTGATGTTTATCAGGATAATAGTCCATTCATGTATTTGGGTCAGTTTCACTTGAGCCTTTTAATTGAGTACAACAGGAGATGGAAAAAGTGAGCATTGAAAAATAATCATTTACTTTAATTGTATCAGATTTACTTGAAACTGGACTTGTCCTTTAAACCTTATTTAAATCTTAATCTCAATTTGGTTATAAAAGATTTACAGATTTTTCAGTTTCTAAAACAATTTGGATGTTCATTTTTTTCACATATTAAATATCAGTTTAACGGGTTATTTGACCTGAACACGGATCAAATGAATTATCGTTATGATCATAAACAATTTGATCAAATTTATTGGTAAAAAATTTAAAGATGAAACTGAGAAATACAAATAAACAGGATTTAACAGCTAAAACCTGAAATGCAGAGATTTTAAGGTTGAATTCACTGTTATCTGAATAATTGATTTGTTTATTGATGGATTCGGTGTTACTTCAAAGCTAATTGTTAATCGATAACTGTAACTTGATTAGTCGTAAATTAACTTGCAAATTAATAATTCAAACATTTGTTGCTTTAGTGTTTACCTTTTTCATGTATTGACTTTTATTGTATTACCAATTTAATAACATATTACATGGATAACATTGCCGTTCTGTGATTGTTTGATTGTTTACAGGTACAGTAACTGCTGGTCTACAATAAAAGTTAACAATTAAGAGACAGAAAAATTTAAATCTACTTTAAATTTTATAAATCATAATATAAATGACTGTATTATCAAAAAAGGGTGAAGAATGAAGAGGAAAGCCTGAAATTGAATGGCTTGTTGCTTCTTATAAATTTGATTAATTTATGATAACAATACAATTAAATTGTAATTCTGTTAACTAATTTAACATGAATTTATCTCTATTTAACTGTAAGTTAATCAAAAGATGAATTTAATTTTCCATTTAATTAAATTTCAATGTAAATGTTTGTGCTTTGAAAAATAAACATGAGCTAACAAGGAACTTGAAGATAACTCTTTGCAGCGTTTCATTAGATCCATCATTGACTGAGCATCATTATTAATGTAAATAATAATAATTATAATGATAATAAACTATGTAAATATTGTTTTTTAAAGGCTTGATCAAATTAACGATTAATTAATGATGAAAAATGTTAATTAAGCTTTTGTTGTTACTTTTTTCGTTTGCATTCAGGATTCAACTTTGCCTGCCTCAATGACTGAAAAAACCATTGACGGCGAGGAAAGTTTGAGGACAATAGTAATCAATTATTTTAAGTAATTAGTATTCATTAATAATATTTGATTTTTGTCTACAAATAGACGTAATTAAGGTTTGGTATCTATTGCTATAAGTTTTGGTGGTTGTCTTTGATTTGTTGTCGTTTTTTGGTTTCTTCATGATGATAGATTATCAAATTGTGGAGATCATTTTTGGGGCTTTTTTGCATTTTAGGGCATCACTTTGGACCTAATGATAACTTTCAATGTTACTTTTGTCCTTTGATTCTTTCCGTTGTTTCCTTTTCCAGGGGTTATAATATTTCTAATTATAAGAATAATGAACGATCATTAATGTTATCATAATTATAATAGATGAAGGTTTAAGTCAGGTTTAAGCTTTGGATTCCCGGGAAGACGCCAATGAGGCAAAATTAAGAGCTGATGTTTTAATGGTTTCATCATAAGTCGGTGGTCTTTCATTTTCTTCTTGAATCATCTCTTCCTTTTTGTTATCATCAGCTAAAAGCTCCTTGTCACCTTTCAATGAGTTATTTAAGATGAAAAAAGGCGCTGTTGATTCGTTATTTTCTGCCTTCTCTTGAGTGCTGGGTTGCTTTTTCGTCCGATCAACGGACCAACATAGGCCATCACTAAAGGTAACAATGGATAAGACTACGATTGCCAAAAGAAGAGCCATCAAAAGCCTTAGATCTTTGACTATGGTTTGACTTGTATCGGTAACCCAACGAGCAAAGGATTGACTTTGATCTGTTTGGTAGTTAATGCGATTTGTTGGGACAATGTTGGCTGGTGAAGCTGATAATTTAATTTGTTTATTTGCTGAAAAATGTGACGATGACGATGGTAAAGAAGATGAGGAAGATGTTGATGCGGATGAGACAGATGGGAAAGCAATTACATGGAATGTACCTAGAAAAGTTGAAAGATGAAAAGTGAAGTTAGTAAATTGTTCATTTGAAAAGAAAGATTGCTTTAAAAATTGATTTACTTTGTTCATGAATCGGATTAATTGCCAAATTGGAATGTGAAAGACTTGGGTTAACTGTGAGGTGGGGTCGAGCTCGGACCAGGAAGATTTGTCTGCCATTGGAACCATTGCCAAACATTAAAGTATAACTTGATCGACTTTTAATCCAGTTAGTCGATGAAGTAATCTGGTCAGTCAGCTGTTTGTAAATGTCATTCAAAAAGTGAAATGGCCAAGTAAATTCATGATGTGGAGATTCAACGGTTTCCTCAAATGGTGACCTGATGAAGAGCAAAATTTTTAGATCAGTAAAAGGTAAACAAAAGGGAAAAACTGAAACCATAATTTCCATCAACATTACAAGAAATTAATAATTTAATTCTGGTTAATATCAACCTTTTTATTCACCATTTTATAGCATTTTTTCATGCAAACATGAATCTTTAAAATCTGGTAAAAATGATTTTATTTTCTGGTTTTTTTAATCTGAATCGACTGTATCTTCAATTTTACCATTCGTTAACTACAATTGAGTGAAACAATGAACCATTTAATAAGTAAAAATTGACTATTTCTGCTAAATTGTAATCAATCAACCAGTTTGATTATTTACAGGTTAAACAAGTAACCAATGACAATTTAGTTTTATTTTAAACATTTTCCAGAACTTGATTAAACTGAGAATTCAATGTTTTTTATTTCAACAATTAGGTGTAATGACGATGAAAACGTCAGAAATAGAGTTGATAATAATGGTGATTGTGATGGTAAACAGAATTTTCAACTCAACCGTGATTATCTTTAAATAAAGGATAACCCGTTGATTGGACACAACGGTCAAAGAACTGTTTGGCTAATTGAATCAATTGACTACTTTCCTTTTGTATTGTTATAACCTTTAACAATTAAAATGTCTCAATTAGTCGGTAAAGTAAGAGTAAAAGTGAATCACAATCAACTCAATCTTACATTGTTTCTCACTTTCAATCAAACCTTTCTCAACACTTCACCTTAGCTGAATTATTTTCTTAATTTGATTCCCAATCTTGAAACTCATTGAATTATCTTGTTCTATTGATTAAAATAAACCCAAATTAACGTTAAAAACTGAAGATGAGTGAAGATACAATCAAAATGAATGGAAGATGGTTAAATTGTTGACTTTATTTATGGATTCAGGACTTGATCTTAAACAAAGTAAAGACTGATTGATCAATTAACTGGTTCATTGTTTCAATTAATAACACAACGATTGACAGATTGATTAGCATGAGAAATAAGTTGAAATGTTGATAGCTATTCCAATGAAACAACAATTGAATGTAATGATTAAAGTAACGCCCAGGAATAAATTAGTGGTTGGTTAAGTGTTGGATCTCAATGGTAACAAAAGTTAACCCATCAAAGGATCACAATTTAAGCCTCACTTTATGACAAACATAAGACTCGAAAAATCAATTATATTGATTAAATCAATGGATGAATGAAAATTTGATAAAATTTTGACACAAAAATTGAAATTCATTGAAAAAGAGTTGATCGATCATGATTTTGCTACAGATTGTCAGGACACCTTTACAAGACAGAAATATCAGAAAATCAAATTTAATGCTAATTTTGTTTCCAAGTTTAACCATTTGATTGTCAGCTTCAACTTGAATCTAATCTATTAACACCTTTTATAAGCATTAAAGTTGAACAAGCTTTTATGATACAATGTTGACAAGGTTAAATTGAATTGCTTCAGAAGTGTTTATACACAATTAATATGATGTGAATCATCTCATTATGTATCACTAACATGGTATCCTTATGCAATTTTTCATCCACATCATGAATTTACTTCTTTTTTGCCTGGTTTTCTCTTATTTTTTGCTGCTTTGCTGCTCATTCTGTCAAAAAAACTTGAACTCTAAGCTGAAACCAAGCAAAACAGAGTCAATTGAAAAACTCATCTAAAGGCGTAACGAGTAACACTTGAATTCCATGAATAAAAGGAGTAAACAATTTGATAATTGTATTGTTATTAATTTTTTACCATCAATCATCTTTTATCACCAACAAGAAGTAACAAAATCATGAAATCAAGGGCCTCATAAGGCTGCTAATCAATTGGACTTTTGGGTTGATTCAGTACAATGAATGAAAATATGTAAAACTGAATAAGCCATCCAAATTTCAACTCTCAACTCGATTATCAAAAACAGATGACCATTCAATGACATGAATCTACTCCAATATGTCCTGAAAACTCAATAAGTCTTGAAGTCTAAGCTTTTGAAAATGATTCCTAGATTTCATGAAACAAGATTTTTTCGTCATGGAAAAATAGCTGAACTGAATTTAAATATAATGATACAGAAATCTAGAAGAAACAGCATGAAATGGAAATGAATTAATCGTAAAAATGGAAAACTTGATTCACTGTGAATTTAACATCACGATAAAATCTGAGAATATTTTTGACTCAATTCTTTATTTGATTTTCCTTGGAATCATTTTTTTCTATGAATGATTAATATTTTAATTAGCATCATTTGCCTGCTTCTTAGGATTTTACAGTTCGGTTAGATTGATTATGCTTTAATGGTTAATGGTTAATGAAAATGTTTGGTTGACAGGTTAAATACATTATTATAAATGATGGTTCATGATAAATACTTACATTCCAAGATGGTGGATCCATTGTTCAGCTGAACTGAGTAATTGATGTTCAGAATTACTGTGTCCAGTCTTGGCACTGGTTATCATTTCAATTGACTTCCTACAGCCGCTTGAGCATGCTTTCCTCAATTGTGTCTCATTGTAAGCTTCATTACAAGCTAAAAGGAAAGGAAGACAAGTGGACATTAGTGATGGACAGATAATCAATTGATTCGAGCAAATATTTTACATGGTCAATGATAATATACACTTGCATTGAGAAACATTGCTTTGCGTGATAAAATCATGCAACTTGCAATTATTACAATATAATATATATTTATGAGTTTTATGGTTAGGAAAACATTGCGAGGTCGTTCAATTGATTGGTCAACTAAACATGGCAAAAAACAACTCAATATTTGAATACAATAATCAAAAGTGTTCATCATTTATGCCTAAAATGAATGAAATCTAAATAGTCAAGTTCTTGTTTTGCTTCACAAATTCAATTGAACAACAAAGCATTTGAAATGTTCATCCATTTAGACTGAGCTTAAATTTTTGTGTCAATATTATCAATTGATTTGAATGTCAGTAATTCAGTTTGTCTTAGCCAATTATTGAACATAAGTTTGAAAGATATCTTTCAATTTTGAAAACATTACAACGCAATAAACATTAACCTTAAGAATTGAATTTACTCAAGTTAATTGTAAGTTATTACGATAATTGATTTCACTTATTTCTTGGTTATCATCTTTCATTAGACATATGAATCAGATAATGTTTTATTTGGTTAGATTTGTTTCAACTTAGTTGAGGGTGAAACATGAGAGTAATATCTGAATGACAGATTGCAAATTGAGTAAATTAAATTATGAAATGTGAGTAGAGGAAAGGATTGTAATAAAATGACTAAAATTATCTCACCAAAAGGATTGAAGAGTGAAATAAATTAAAAAGTTATGAATTTAATGGAATCAACAAAATGAATTGTTGGAAGATGTTCAATAAATCTGTTGACAGATTCATTGTTTTCCAACTTATATCAACATTGGTTGAGTGATTCAAGCATAGATATTGAACAATATTAAAGTGGAACAAAAACAAAAGATCAACAACCTTGACTCTGAATGAAACAGGGAAGCTCTGAATATTTCATGAACATTACAAAATAAAGGAAAAGAAGGAAAAACATTGTCAATTGAATGTTACATTTCAATCAGTAGACGGTTTAATCTTATTCATTTGTAGATATAAAAAGATTTGAATAATATTCAATTTCAAGAGAACATCTGTCTTCATCATTGATTAACCTAGTTTAACAGAAGAATGCAAAAAAAATCAATAATAATTATAATGGCGATGATAGAGATGAATGAAATTGTTTGGAAGAAGAAAAAAATGTTCTGCTTTTATTATGATTTTAGATGTTTTTTGTATGATTAAACCTCTCCTCATCATGAACCCTTTAACATCAATTGTATTTTAAATGTTCATAAAAATATCTTTATTGGTAAAGAGAGGAAAGAGTTGGATTTGCGACAAAAGTACACTTTTCTATTCAGTGATGACAATCATTTTGTTTACAGTTAACAGCAAATTGTCTGCAAACATTAGAATAGGAAAAGTTAATCGTGTTAAATCAGTGTATTCAATCAACTGTGATTAACAAAAGGTTGCAGGAAAGTAATTAGAGACTTGCAAGAGGAGAAACAATCCTTTCTCAGATTATCGTTTTACGGAAAGAAAGACGATCATGAAGATCATTTAGTATTATGAGTCAAGTCATACTGAACGATATTTCAACAAAATGATCAACTCGATGGTTGATTTAATTTTATAATTCAATAATTTACACTTTATAACAACATAATCATATTAGGTGTGATTTGGAGTAGATTCAGGTTGAGATTCAATTATTTTCAACATAAAATTTGATCATATATTTGATTGTTGCATTTAATGATTGGTAACAGTTAACAATATAGAGGAAGACAATCATTTAATAAAAAATCATGTCAACATTATTAATTTGATTGCAATTGAAAAATTGAATAATTCATCGACAATTTTATGTTTATTTATATTGAACCAGATTGGGTTATCAAATTGAATCACACCTTAAAGATGTTGAGTTTCAATCATTTGCTTTGAATTGTGTTTACAACATTTCATGTTTCATTCAACAACAAGATCAAATTAACAATGTTGAAAGGGAAAATTGCATTTCTATTAATAATCAACTATGGCAATCAATCAACATTTAGTAAATTGTTTGACAATGGGCTGTTTTTAACCAATTAATTGTTTAGTTAAATGTTGATCGATATTTTTTTCAACTCAGTTGAAGACGAGCTAAATTCAAGTTGATTTATTAATAGTTTATCGTTGGGAATTGTGAATTGAAATAAAATCAGCTGCGATGTTTTTATTGTTCAGTTGGTTTTGTTGAACAATTTCCTGATCTGATCAAATACAGTTGACTAGTCGTTTAAAGCAAGGAAAGTTATCGATTGAAGATGTCAACCTTTTGGGTCTTGGAATGAAATGCTGACCAGATTTTGTGCATCATTTCAATCATTTGGAAAATAATTTGGTGAATAAATCTTCACACGTTTGATGGTAGATTAACCAATTCATGAAGTGATTGAGTTAATTTTAATCACTTAATAACGAACTGCTATGAGGATAATTGATAACTGCTAGGTTTGATTATTAAATAAACTGAACATTATTGTGAAGCTTGTAAAGCTAATACAAGTGAAAATTAATAGATTAAATGATTTTCCTGTTTAATAGTTATGCTTTTTTATGTAAATCCTGTTATGAAAGCATTCTTTTGTATGGTTTTGTTTTTCAATCTTTTTGTTCATTTAGTTCATCTCAATGTGTATAATCAAAGGTGAAAATAAAAGATTTTCCTGAAAATTTTGTATCCAATTCAAGTTTACATGAAAATACAATGAGGCAAAGATGATGAAAGAGTTGGTAACGGAAGTTAACGTTAGCGTCAATTAGAACATTTTGAGGTTATTATTTAAGGTCAAAAAACGAGAATGAATGATAAACAATCTGAAAATGTGAGTCTTCACTTGCAACTGATTCCTTTTGAATTGGTCACTTTTACCAAATGAAAAAGTGTCTCTTCGCGCGGATTTAAGCTTCTTCAAATTCAACCTTTTTAAACCATTGGTTTCAACAAAATTTTTACGATTCGAAGCGTTTCTAGAACAATTTTTGAGACAGTTTAGGCAATTTACCCAAAACAAAGGACCTGAAGCTATGGACTTTTTCAATCGCATGGATTTGAAATTTTGACACTTTTTCATTTGGTGCCAATTGAAAAGGAATCAGTCGTTTATTGGAAAATAGAGAAAAGTGTGTTCAGAATCATTGAGAAAAATAGAGATATTGTTGAGATGCTTTTCAGATTGCAGGATAAATGTATGTTTGCATTTTTATCGATGCATACCAATATAAACTGACCTAAACTTTGATTTTTTTCATGAAATGCAAACGAATGGGATCGATAAACATATGAGAAGAAAAATCTGAGTCAAATTATTGATTGGAGAGATTAGGGTGAAAGTGGAAGTGGAAGGAGATGAGGATTGATAATTGGTGGATAATGGGAAGAGTGGCATTTGTTGATTACTTACTATTAAGACATGATTTTTGAGTTGCATCAAGCGATTGTGGTTTAGCGAGAATTTGAATTAATGAAAAAAATCGACATCCACGGGCACAAGAGGTCCATTCTTTAAGTGAATGGTATTGATCCCCACAAAATGATGAACAAGATGAGTCAAGTTGGTGAACTGGAATTGCAGAGATTAAATGTTGATTTGAAAAAAATGAGAGAATCAAGGATAATCCCAATGATTTGGTTATTATATTAGTTGATAATTTAATCGTAGAAGGCTTAAAAGTCATTATTGGAGACTGGATAAAAACGAGGGACAAAAGTGAAATGATGCTTGGATCACAAGCAATGGAGGCAAACAGCAATGTCTTAAGTTGTAAATGAAGGAGGAAAAATGCAAAGACAAAATAAGCAAAATGTAAATTTACAAGATAAATGAATAGATTCGGATGAGATCAATAACCAAAAGCATTGTCAAACCATTCAACAAAGCATTTACAATTTGATTTGATTCACTCTTGGCTTACCTAAAAAACAACAACCAAAACAGTCAGACAAACACAGTCTATTGAAACACCTTAAAATGTAGCACTGCCATCTATTGCCATTTACGAACAAAATTTGTATAAAATTACTCAAGTAACTCAATGTTTATTGAATATCATTATTAATAAATAAAAGTGTTTGTCAAATAAAATATAAAAACGCCTTGATCATTGACTGTCGCTTTAATTCAATTTTTTCATTTCGATTTCTCCTGCATCTAAATTAAGCACTTTGAAATAAATTAATTTCATCAGTTAAAAATAAAACTTCAGATAAATTGAACTCTTTTACATCAATTTTGAACCACAATTATTTCACGTAGTTTTACCTAAACAATAATTTATTGCTGCGATCCAATATTGCGATGATATGATTTCAATTGCTTAAGCTTGAGTCTATTTCAACTGGTCTCTTTGGCAAAAATCACAACTTTACTTTCATTTGCTCGAGTCATTCGTCGTCAATCTATATATTTTTGAACTGTACACGCAGATTAATTACGATTGCATTGGTTTCAATGAGACTATTAACGCGGTTGTTACTAATAAGACACAATTATCACATTTAAGCACAAATTGAAACAAATGGGCAAAAGCGGGTGAAAATAATCTCCCTCGAACTTAGACTCAGCTGGTTTGTAGGCACATCAAATTTGAGTCCATTAATGCAATTGAAAAGTTTCTCTGCTCAATGGTTATCGAGAAAATCGAACTAAAAGTTGAAACTTGGATCGCTTTTTGTGTGATAATGGAAGCAGATTTTTCCATGAAAACTCATTTTACTGATGTAACTTTTTACGCTCAACCAGAAAATGTACCTATTTGAGAAATAACATTTCCTTTTTCTTTGAAACAGATCAAGTTCGATTTTAAGTTAAACCGAACGTCTTCTATGAGCGCAAGAATTAGAGAGTCGAAACTTATTATATGTCCATAAAAATTGTTTGTACATATAATGGATTGAATTATTCTATCAATTTATCAATAGTTTTCTTGTTTCTGCCATTGGTACCAAAACTTTGAGCTTCCATTATCACACAAAAAGCGGTTGAAGTTTCAATCTTGAACTCGATTTTCTCGCGAACCATTGAGCAGAGAAACTTTTAATCGCTTTAATGGACTCAGATTTTATGCCCCTACAGAGTCTAAGTTTGAAAAAAGTTAATTTTATCCGTTTTTGATCATTTGTTTTGCAGTATTAGAGTCAATTTGTGCATAAATGTGACAATTGTGTTGATTGTGTCTTTTTAGTTACCACTTGATGAAACTTATGAGTTTACAAGACTTAAATGTTGGTAAATAAACAAATGCGAAAACTTTAATGGAACAAAACATTATGTAATTGTGTCTTTTCAGTAACAACCTATCAACGCAATGGTACTTTCCAACCCATTTATTGATTCCATTTCAGTGTCTACTCGATGAGTTGACGTATACACTGAAATACTCTTAAGATCTCATTATGCTTATTCAATTTCGTCCAATGTTCATAAACTAAGGAAAACAATAATGTTGAAACGGTTGAATGGTCAGATTGACCAAATGTTAGTGAATCAATATATTATGCCGAATGAAATAAAGCCACATTAAACACTTAATGAAATTTGTTGTACATGAATATTTCAATTGAAATTGATTCACATGCATAATTTTTTCAAATTCAGTCTTAATTTCCGTGGTGTATTTGATTGTTCATAATTGAGATTATCCAAACACTTAAACATTCACCGAGCAGAACAAGCATACAAATCAGAATCATTAATAAGTAGCTCGTGAAAAATTGGATGTAATTTTCACTGTCTAGTTGATTAAAACGATACAAATCAGGTTTGAATCCAATTGTAGTTTTATGTAAACAGCCCAGTCTAAAGAGGTCCATAACCTTTTCAACTTGATATTTCCACTTCCATTGCAAATAAGTGTCGAGGTTGCTCTCGAATTGTCTTACATGTAAATCATAAATAGTTTTTAAGGCATCAGGAGGCAGATTTGAGTTGAACACGGAAAACAACAAGTAAACCGGGAATGAGGCACCAGATGAATACCATTCTGGCATCGGGTAATTAGGTTCGATTGCACAATAACATATTCGAATTTGCTCAATCTCTTGCGGAGATGCGATGAAAACTAATTCCTCTACCTTTTTCTCTCGTCTTATAAAAACAAAATTGAAATCATCCAATGGTTTGGCGCTAATTCGTCTTAAAATCTCCCGCTTATCCCGAGGAGAAGCGTAATCAATCATGGCCGGACATAAAGGTTCTTGCAGCAAATATGGGGCCCTGTCAGAACTCGCGATATCGGCCAGTGTATTAATCTTTTTACTGGGTGCCTTAGAAGCAAGATCAGTAGTAAAGGAACCAGAATAAAGAGTTCCTATGAAGAAGATTGCTATTGTGATTGACATCCAAATACAACGTAGAGTAAATGGACAGAGAAGGTCTAATTGCGATGATCCTTGGCGGAGAATTGCACAGATCAAAGGCCATATGAGTGGAGGTGAGTTGCTTTTGTTGAGAAACTTTGATTTGAAGAACCACAGAAGGAAAGGTATTGAGAGAAGGAAGAGAAATAGGAAAGTCAAGAGCACGATTGCGTCTGAAGTGAAAATGGATAAAGATTTGAGGACATCTTCACGGATTGTGCCGATTTCGGGTAAAGCTGATGCTATTTTACAAGATACATCGCTGTGCACTGGTCCTGGTGCGATTCCATCCATTGAACCAGAAAGAGTTGCGAATGGATAAGGTTTATCAAAGAAATCAATTTCACCACGTTGAATTAACCCAAGCAGGTCAGTGCAGTTGCCATTGGAATCACAATTTCCATAACTAGGGAAATCAACGGCAATGGGAGTGTTATTAATCGAATCGTTGAGTCGCAGCTCTTCATTCAAGAAGTCAGCAACCCAACCATCAAATTTCTTTCGCTTAGGATCATAAACTCCAAGTGGAGGCCAAGTAATGAAACCGATTTTAAACTGATGATTTTTATTCATAACAACTTAGGATTATGTCGATTCAATCAGCTTAAATTGATGATGATAAACGACGAAGAACAACTTTTGTGTGTTGAGAAAATATTTGAGAAGAATAATGTAAGAAGCTTTCAAGAAATCATTGTGAGTTGTTTTTTTGTTTCATTGTAGTTGGCCTTAAATCAGAAAACAAAACGATGAAAGTTTTCAGCTTTTGATTAACTGTTTTTCAATATTTGAATTACGATTCTTATGAAATTGTATTAGTACAATATTACTTATTGAAAATTGAATATTCATAAAGAGCAAAATAAATATAAATGCATAACCATAGCAAATAATATAATTTATCGCCAAATCTATCATAATAAAGATGAAATTGGTTATATTTTTTGGTAAATGTCTGAAATCTCATTTTCTGTTTCTCATTCTCATCAATCTGTTATATTTATTTTGCTCTTTATGAATATTCAATTTTCAATAAGTAATCTTGAATCAATACAATTATTTTTCTTATGTATTTCATAAGAATTGTAATCCAAATATTGAAAAACAGTTAATCAAAAGTTTATCGTTTTGTTTTCCGATTTAAGACCACTCTAATGTGATGAAACAATAATTTCTTTGTACATTGAATAATTTCTGGTATATCTTGAATGTCTCTTTCAAATAGATGACAATTTTGCTTATAAATGGTGTTGATGCTGGTTGTAATTTAACAAAACTCGAGTTATCTCGATTAGATGAGCTTATGTACAAAATCATGTAATGCTCAAAAATTGACTGACCATATTACATATCATTAGTTAAGACCGAAGGAGCGCCCAGGTTTGGTCAGACAAGTCGAGAGTTTAAACGAAGTTGGAACGCTGTTCGGCCCAATAGTGACAAAATTTTCAAGGAAAATGAATTTTTGGATTGATTGAGCCTTTATTAAAAACAATTGAAACTAATTGCAATCACTAATTAAATAATTTAGATCTAAAATTAATATCCTTTTCGTGCAATTTTCATGCAGAACTTTCTGATTTGAATAACATGAAATACGATGTAATAACAAATTTATCAACATGCTATCCCAGGAAATTTTCAAATTCAAAGTAAAATGAACAGAGAATGTAAATTTACAAGATAAATTAATAGATTTGGATGAGATCAATAACCAAAACCATTTTCAATTTGATTTGATTCACTCTTGGTTTACCTAAAAACAACCTAAAAACACCTTCACCCAAAATATCGCACTACCATCTATTGGAGTAAAAGAAAAAGACTTGTCTAAATTACTCGAGTAAATTAGTATTTATTGAATATTGTTAATAAGTTACATTGTTTGTCTAAAATATAAAAACGCCTTAATCATTTTGATTGCAGATTTACTTCAATTGTTTTCCTTTCGATTTCTCTTTTAGACCCAATTGCTTGACAATTTTCCAATAGCAATCTAACTCGCATTAAAAATGTGTTCATCAAGAGTTATCATGTTAAAATAAATAAGTACAAATGTATTAGTTGAGTTCACTCTTTTACAATGAAAACAAAAATTCAAGATTGTAATTTATTAAACAATTAATTATTAGACAATGTATCTGAATTAATTTCCATCAGTTCAAAAGATACGATTCCAGTTAAAGGTAAACTTTTAATAATTTCAGAATAAAACACTTTTCAACTGTCGATGATAACTATCATCCATTTCATAATCATCATTGTCTCGAAATGGCATCTACCAATCCCAAAATGTTTGAACAGTTCGATCGTTGAATTCAATATCTTTTCATAAATTTTGAACGACAAACATTCTAGATGCTTTACAATTCAAGCCAATGGTATTGTGACCTCAAAATATCAACAAGAATCTGTTGACTGAAAGGCACTCTTAGTGATTTATGCCACGGCAAGAGTCCTGTGACGCTAGCTTCGTGAATACAATTGATTATTTTAGTCAAAGAAACCGGTAAGTATCAATGTTATTGTTTGTGGACTATCATCATCCAACAGTGCACGAAGTTTCTTATCGTGTCATTTGTCAATTACCGCAATCACCGTTAATATGAACTGGATCATGCTGGATTGGAATCTGTTGAAGTAAAACATTGATTCAAGTAATAAATGGATTATGTTTTTTTGGTGAGAAAAGATTCAACCTTGATAGTTTGATGATATTAATACATAAATGATGGTGATATAAATGATACTGAAACAGCTCAACAGATACCCGGCAATATAATTTTCAAAACATGGCAGTGGCAATAAATAAACTTAAATCTGATTCAATGTCACAACTGATAATGGTTTCGTCAAAAAACAATTCACATTATTACCTCGATATCCTCAGTAATTTTAACATTCCTTGTATCAATGAAATGTATATCTTTGATGAAATCACACGGCAAGTTAACGTAACCTTTTGACTAATCGAAGTGAAATCTGTGTTAGTAATATCTCTCCGTTTACAACACAAAACAATCTGCCGTTCATGATCAAGTTATGATTCAAAGGGATATAATGTCAATAAATAACCTTGCAATTGAGATCATATCAAAAACGAAGCTTTACTCCTTTTACGAGCCATTAAGCAGTTAGATAAAAAAGAGTCCTCAATTCCGTGTGACCTACACAACAAATTGATTATTTGTTTCATCCCCACTCTTGATTAAAACAATATATTTAATTTCCATCGTCTTAAAATCTTTTGTAAGTTGATCAACACTTTCACCAAAAAATAATTTCAATTTCATGCATAAACCAGCCTAATTGATCACATAAATAATGATGTATCCGTAAATCCAGTGAAACGCAGTTTAAAGTAAATGTTTACATTATAAATTTCATCTCTCTTGGTTATTCAACGGTAATCTTGCCAAAAAAAATCCAAAAATTGGCGACTTTAAGGTTATTGGCATTACCTGATGATCCAATTGTTTGCCACATTAAAGCACTTGCTAACACCTTATCAACTCTCAGATCCCAACGTGTAAAGGCATTGAATGAAAAGATAAATTACTATTAAACAATATTTGTAAAGGCAAACTTGAACAAAAGATGAAAAATAATTCCATGTTCCGCAGGATTCAGAAGATATCGATAACACCCTAAAGAATCGATGATATCGTTTCAAAAAGTATCGATATTGATATCGCCCATCTCTAATTGCGACTGGAGGGTGGATATTCATGGCTGAGCCACTCAGCCATATCATAACTTGGCGCTTGCGTAGTTTGATATTTAGTAAATGGTATTATATGTGATGTATTGTGATTGTGTTGTTAGATTTTGTTGCACTGCTATTAACTAATCACAACGTTTTAATCCATTATTGTATTTATATTATATTATTTTTCTGTTTTACTATAATCTGGTTTCAGTGTTTGTAATGGCAACCCGTGGAGGTGTCCAAAGAGTAAATGGATCTACACAAGGAAAAATCTTTCAATATAAATTGGTACTTCTGGGAGAATCTGCTGTTGGTAAATCAAGCTTAGTTTTACGTTTTGTTAAGGGTCAATTCCATGAGTATCAAGAAAGCACCATTGGAGGTAATACACATTCTATTTTTTTAATCTGTGCTTTAAATTTTAATTTCCTCCTTCTCTGGTAACTTTATTCTCCATCTTAGCTCATCTTTCCTTTAAAAATCTCTCAGCCTCCACTTTTCAATCATCTCTCTCTCCGTCCTCCTATCTTTCCCTTCCTCTTTCTACTACTCTCTCTTTTTTTCATTTAACTGTCTTTTTCACTTGCTATCTTTTATTTCATCTCTCTCTCCCCTTAGTTGATTTCTCCCTTATTTGTTTTTTTATTGGACTTTCCATTCTTTATTCTGCCATCTTTTCTGGTTCTATTTTACTCATTACTCTTTTTATCTTACTTTAGCTGCATTCCTAACCCAAACTCTATGTCTGGATGACACAACTGTCAAATTCGAGATCTGGGACACTGCTGGTCAAGAAAGGTACCAAAGCTTAGCTCCTATGTATTATAGAGGCGCTCAAGCAGCTATTGTCGTCTATGATATAACAAATCAGGTAAATTATCTTTCATTCAACCTTGTATGTCCTGCTTCTATTCATTGGTTTTCATTATTTTTATTTATTGTTGCTGGGCAGGATACATTCAACCGAGCAAAGACGTGGGTTAAGGAACTGCAACGTCAAGCAAGCCCTAATATCGTGATAGCTTTGGCTGGTAACAAGTCTGATTTGGCTAGAAAGCGAGCCGTTGAGATGGAACAGGCTCAAGTCTATGCTGAAGAAAACAATCTTCTTTTCATGGAGACATCAGCCAAAACAGCTATGAATGTGAATGAAATCTTTTTGGAGATAGCTAAAAAGCTACCAAAAAGTGATCAAAGCAGTGCCGGAGGTGGATCAGGATCGGGTAGACCTGGAGTTGATTTGACTCAATCCAGTCAAAACACAAGCAGTGGATGTTGCAAATCCTAAGAAAAAAGTTTAGGAAAAGAAGATCCTATTTGTGTAACTTGTGAACAGAATCCTTTTCTGATTTTGTTTTCTCTTTCCTTCTCTTTCTCCTTTTCTTCCCTTATTCCTGTTTGATTTTTCACTTTTCTGTCTCCGTTTAACTTTTCATCGCATACAAAAATCCATATTAATATAAATTAAATAATAATTCCGGTAAAAAAAGAATCCATTTGTCTATCATTTTGGTTGAAATGGTCATCGTAAAAGACCAACAAACTTTCAGTTTATTTTTCTATTTTGAAAGTCTAACACCAAAAAGAAACAAATATAAGGAAACGAACAAATTTGCTTTAAAACTCTTCAGTTCAGTTTGATTATTATCATAAAACACAATTAATGATGGTCATGGTCTTCCTTATAAAAACGTAAACCACAATAACCACAAGAATGATCGCCAGGTTGATCTAGATTAATGAAAACTCGAGGGTGTCCAAGTGGTCCTCCTCCTCCATCACAGGTAGTTACTCTTGTTTTGCAAGCTATTGGTGCTACTTCGGCCACCAAATCAATAGCGAAATGAGGATTTACTTTCTTCTCTTTACCAACAAATCGAGCCATTCGAAAATCATCGGATTCCCATTTTTGACCAGTATGACCAGCTACATCAATTATTTCAAAAGAATGTTCAGGTTGATCTTTTTTTTCAGGAGTTTTGGAACCAGGTGGAACAATTTGACTTCCTTGACTAGACACACTTCTCACAGAAGTCAAAGATACCAGCCTCGCGAGGATCGGTCTACTATTTATCAATAAATTAGACATAGTGAAGGCCAGAACTTAACGAAACAAACGATTAGGTAAACAAATACAATTTGAGGTGACTTTACTAGTAAGTTGTCATGGGCTGTTCATTCGTAACCAAGTGGTTTATGAGAGGGAAAATCAAAAATCTGAACCTATTTTTAAATTTTTACATTCTCTTTAGATGGCAGCACTTTGTGACATTTCACTGCAAATTTAAAAATATTTGCATCACACGGAGTTTGGTTCTTGTATTTGAGACTGTCTTCTCTGTTTCTTTGAGATTTCATTTAATTGTTTCTTTATTCTAAATCGTGCTTTCGTATATCTACTTTAATTATTGAGTAAATCAAAGAAATCGAGAATTGTCATTGTACCTTTTCACTTTCATCTCAATTCGTCGGAATTCAACAGTCTAGGTAAGCTATTATTCCCAAGCTATTCTCATGAAAAGGCTAAAATTTCTTTTTATCGAGTTACTACGCAAACAATGCTATAAATCCCTGTGCAAATGCATTTAACATGCAATTAAATTTTACAATTGTTTTCTCTTGTCACCAACAGATAATGTTACCATTGAATTTATTGAAAAAATCCCAAAATCATCCTATGGTTAGTATTGCAAATTCACTATTCTTTATCTATTTATTCTAGCTGTTTTGGCTTTCAAACGAATTGACTCATACAAGTGCAAAGTTTCCTTTACTAATCGCCTTATCATTTTACATTTCCATTTTTGAAACTTTAGCTAGTAGAATTGAAGAATGGTGAAACATTCAACGGACTTCTGGTTTCATGTGATAACTGGATGAATATCAACTTACGCGAAGTGATCTGTACTTCTAGAGATGGTGACAAATTTTGGAAGATAAGTGAATGTTATATCAAAGGTACGACAATTAAATATCTTCGAATCCCTGATGAGGTCATCGATCAAGTCAAAGAGGAAATGAACACTAAACAACCGAGACGTGATTTAAAACGAGGCCCACCTCCAAGTGGTGGTAGAGCTAAATTTCAAAAATGAGTAATTCCAAAACTAGAAGCTAATTACAGCCAGTTCAATCATAACAATATTTATAAATATAAAAATAAATGTATTGTATATGAATTATTATTAATATTGCATATACTTTTGTTTTAATTCACACAATTTGCTTATTTTAAATTTTATTTTATGAGCGCCACATTAGATTTTGTCGGATCACATTTTTTACTTTCTCTCTCTCTGCCATTCTTTTTATTATTATAATTATTTATTTATATGAAATTAAATTTTGTCAACCATCTCTGATGATTGAGATAAGGAGAAGAGAAACAATAGATGAAAGGGACAGAAAATAAGGAGGAGGAATAGGGAAGAAAACATCAGAGGTTTTTTGGCTGAGAGATTGTTTCCCCGGCTCTTCTTATCTCTTTCTCCTTCTCTACCATCACTTAGAATTTGAAAAGATTATCATAAGATTTTAGATCAGTATAATTAAGATTTTTTTTGTTGAATGATGAGAGAAAGAAAACAGTAAATAAGATTTGAGAGGCAAGAGAAAAGAGAAAGAGGGAGAAATGAAGCAACAGAATAGTCATTGACAATAAAGGATATATCTCCTAGAAAGAAGCAAAAATAAAATTAAGCTACTGATTTTAATGGGATAATCGGCCATTTCAACGACATTCCCAGACTTTAATCGTTTGATCTACCGATCCAGTGATGACGAATGGAGAGGTTTGATGGAAATCTGTATTTTGACATCCATGAGCAAAAGATTCAATCCAAATATTCCGATGAAGGTACATGAAAGAAAGAAAGAAAATATTAATAAACAAGAATTAATAAACACAAATGCAGAATGAATTTACTTCTTCCATAAATGATTAATATTTAATGTTGAAGTGCAAAAGATGTTGATAGTTGATTTTAAGCACATAAATAAGATTTTTTGGATGGATAATGCAAATAAATTTGATAAGCTGATAAGTCAAGGATAGAATTTTAAAATAAACTGTAAATGATTTATCAGTGAAATAACCACACAATTGCTAAAACAAGCATCCAATATTTGCACTAATTTTGAGCCGGTTTGTTGATGAATTATAATTGAAAATTCAATAACCTGAATCAAATTATTGTTAACATTTTCTCTCCTATCTCGGATTAATATTATAAATGGTAGCTTACCGACAGTAGTGCAGAAATGGTTATGTGCTTCTAATGTTTTAGAGCACCTTTTATTCACTATATCCCAAACTCGGACAGTTTTATCATCAGAACTGCTAATTATATATTTGCCCCCAGGATGCCAAACGACACCTCGAACCCAGTTATCGTGACCAATTAGAGTGAATAAACATATTCCAATAGTTACATCCCACACTCTGATGGTTTTATCTCGAGAGCCACTAACCAGGAATGGTCCTGTTCGATTATTTCGAGAATTCTAAACAATAAGAAAATAACTTTATTAGATTTTATTTTCAATTAAAAGCAACCAAATAATCAATTGAGTGCACTAAAGTACACATAAGTTGAATATCAATTAATTTCACTTCTATAGAATATGTCAGCTTAATATAGAACTAATAAAACAGCAATTTAATAAGAAAAAATCATAAATATGAGAAGAAGGAAGAAAAGGAAATCGAAGTGACTAGTTAGTTGAATGTAGTCAACAATCCGATTAAGCAAAAACTAAAAGCAACCTTTTGTTTACTTACATCATTACCCGCTGCTTCGCAGACGATTGTGAATGCTGATTCAGGAGCCCAGGCTATACATTCTACTGTGTGATCATGGTCTTTAAGGACTACTTTGTGCTCATTTGTCCCTAATTTATGCTCATTCACACTCGTATTCCAAATAATTATGGTCTGTTAAATCCATATGCGTATTCATGACGATCAACATACGGATATTCAAATTTGTAGAGCCATTATTTGTTTGATGTGTCCATAGTTAACCAGTACCGGGTGTGAGAAGATGAAAGAAAAGAAGAAAAAGAAACAAAAAATTAGCACAAATATTTAAGGTGAAAGTAAATCGTGCGTTAAAGCAAGAGTCAATTCATTTTGGTTTCGGAAAAATTGAAAATAAATAGAGAATTGTTTTATAGTAACATTTTTTTATCACTTCTCACAGTTTGTTTACGAATCAGTAACAAAAAAAGAGGGTAAGCTGATCAGAACAAATCGTACTGCAATTGAAAAACATCAACATTGTAAGATTTAACAATATGAAAAAAGGATAGGAAGTGAATTGTTTTCTCGATTTATATTTAAAATAATATTATTAGATTAAGGAAGAAGGTGTTGATGATTTTGATGTTAATTTGATCGCTCAATGTTTGACTTGATGAATAAAACTAATTTTTTTAACACTTTGATAAATGAAAATGATTCACGAAAGATTAACAAGTGATAATGTTGATTCAACAAAAACTAAGTAGAAATAGATTCATATTTGTCACCAATTTAGGTGCAATGGAATGGTTTTAAAACTCAAGTTTTGATAAAGCAAATCTTTCAAGGTTATCAAACATTAAAATAATTTGTCATCGCATTTATTTTAAAATTTGACAATCAGAAAGCCTTAAAATGTAAATAAAACTAAAATAGAAAGATGATGTTCATGAATCACACTAATAATGCAATCTTTGTGAATATGGATGACTATATTGAGAAAATTAATAGCTGTGAGGTTTATCAACAAATGCCATGAATAGAATGATTCATGCGAATAAAACTTTTACATAAAAACCAACATATGAACAAAAAAGAGGAAAGAAATAAGCGAAAAAGGCTTACATGATCTTTAGAACAGCTGGCAATTAGTGTACCATCCTTATTAACTCGGACCATCCTCACCCAATCACGATGACCAGCATAAGTTCTTACACAATAACCAGTAGCTACTTCCCACTTTTTAATTGTTTTATCTCTTGAACAAGAAATAATATGATCACCAGTTGGCATAAATGTAACCGATGAAACATTGTGATCGTGCCCATGAAGAGTTCTTAAACACTCATAAGATTGGAAGTCCCATAATTTAATAGCCATATCAGCTGAACAGGAGGCCAATAGTTTACCGGTTGCATCAAATGCAATATCTTGGACACTGTCAGTGTGGCCTTTAAGGGTTCTTTCATAATCACCAGTTTCATAGTCCCATACTTTAATAGTTGCATCTTCACTGGCAGAAACTAACAAGCTAAAAACAGGGTGAAATATAACCCTTGTAATGGTTGAACGATGACCACAGAGAGTAAATTTTTCTGGTGGTCGAGGTATCCATTCTGTTGGAGATCTTCTCTCTCTTGTTGGTGCTCCTCCAATGTATTCTTTTTCTGCTTCTGATAATTTTGCCTCCAAGTCCATCACTTTTTTCTGTAAACGTATCACAGAAGTCCATTTTTTCTCCAATAATCCACTGTACTTTTTATCAATCTCACTGGGCTTTAGTCATATGATAGTTGCCAAACATCAAAGGTGAAGATAAAGGAGTAAGTAAACAAAGAAAAATAAGTCAATATCAAAAGTCAAAAAATCTCTGGAAAAGTAAAACTAAAAAACGTTTGTAAATAACAGTAAAATTTAAAGATTACTAGTAAACTAGTAAAAATTAACGGCAACACTAACTACTAGTGTGCAAATGTAATCACTTTAACAAGCTAAAATGATGAACCGCAATTTACCATTTGAGCCTCTCTTTTGAATATTTCCAATGCTCCATTGAATCCTTGTGAGAACAGATAATCAGCAATTGCATGGTTCCTGGAACAACCAGAAAAAGGTAAAAGATTGATAAAACAGGATGAGAATCAAAGAGACAGTAGTTAATTAGCAGTTTGATTGAAGGGAAGAAGTAAAATTAAGGTAGACACACAAAATGGTACATAAGTTATGTAAGGGAGAGGAATAAAAATCACAACAGAAATGTTGATGACTCTAAATAAATACAAATACACAGGCAAAGAAAGATTCAGATAGATTTAAGAGAGAATGAGTAAGAGAGAGAAAGAGAAATAAGAGAGAGAAATTAAGACAAGGGATACAGAATGTGTCCGATTATTTACTTACAATTCATCCTTCTGACGAGTTGTGAGGACCATTTTCATCGCCTTCCGACGTAAGAGGTAATTACGATTGAATTTCAATTAGATTACAGAAATAAACAATACCTCAATACTCATTAAGACAATCTTCAGTAATAATAAATATCACCAGCAATATTTTCAATAAAGTCAACACCAGACAGAAAAAAAGATACAACATCAAGCTAAAGAGCTGGTGCCATCTACAGTCACATAAAAGTTTCATTATTTTTTGTTTTGTTTCATTTATTTTCTGTATCAACTGCAATCGTGAGCAACAACAATTTTAATTCATCAGCTATCATCGTAACATATAAATCGTAATTGTTGAAATTCTGACATCCAGCCATTATTGTTCAGTTGTTTTCTGTTTCTTCTCTGTGTAACTATTAACCATTGAATCAATCCAGAAAGAGTTTATTTGTGCATCAATTCAAAAGTTTGACATTTCAATCTTTTTTGTAAGTTATGTTGATTCAAACTTTAGCTTATCTCTTTGAATTGCACTAATCCAATTTATTTAACTCTGAGATTAAATTTGTTCCAAATATTTAAGTATTTCTTTAAAAGTCTCACCTTTAACTCTATGTGGATTAGTCTAAAAGATTTGTGGGCAGATTTATAAGATTTAAGCTTGGAGACGAAAAGCTGTTGATTGTCAAGTTGTAAACTGATCAACCGATTGGATTCAAATTTCAGAGAATCTTGATTTAAATGCTAACAAAGAGTTTTGAATCTCTTCATTGATCAACCATAAATTGAATTATTAATCAAAGTAAGTTTTTTCACACAGTTGTCTCACAACAAAAGATATCGCGTTTTAGAGCAAAATAAATAATGAGAAAGCTTGATTTCAAAGCATGAAATTTTTATTGACTTAACTCGGGTTTTAATCGAATTTCATCTCTGCAGAATTATAAAGTGACCTGGCATTAAGGATAGGAAATGAGGCAATACACAAAAAAGTGCACAACCAATATCCAAGTGTAACAGAAAATAACAAAAAATCGTAAAACAGTTTTTTTGAGGTTGATTTAAAGTAGAGTAACAAACTATTTAATCTGTTGGGTTTGGAAGGAGATAAAAGACTTGATGGGCAGAAGAAGGGTCAAGATGTGAACGGTCATATCAAGGGATCAGTCCAGTTTACTTCTTGAGGTAAGTGTAAGCAGCTGGGTATCCAGCATAGCCGGTGTAAACAGGGGCGGCTGCGTATCCATAACCGTAAGCAGCTCCATAGCCATAAGCTGGTGCAGCGTAGTATTGACTGTAGGCGACTTCAGCAGCAGCGGCGAAGAGGGCGATGACAAGGAGGGCAATCTACGAGAAAACAAGAATCAATGAGCAATTGGAATCATGATGGCAAAGGCAGAAAGTAAAAGATCACAATGAACAATGAAACTGAATACTTACGATGGCTTTCATTTTGAGGTTTAAGTGAGGTTGGTGTGTAAACACAAGAGTAAGATTTGCAAGTTGAGTTGATTGGAAACGATTTGAAACTGATGATTTGAACACTCAAACCGTCGACTTTATATACCAAAATTTGAGGCTGTTCACAATCGAAACACAGCATTTGGTTAACACCTTTTTTCATTCTTCTCTTACCACCAACCTTATCATCAAGCATCATCCCATGCTTATTTCAGGCTCCCCATTGCCTTGTCCAGGGCTGGTCAGAATCGATTAAATTTTGCTTTTATTTCTTCAAGAATGAAAGCCTAATCATTCAGATAAACGCCTTTACACATTGAAACTCACACACACATCAACGTCATCATGAAATCCTATTAAAAGCCAACTCACAAATCTACCTCATTATTGCTATTAGCATAATCTTATATAACAATTTCCTTTGTGAAAATAAAAGTGATGCTGATTTTTAATTTTCATTTTATGATGCTCAAGGTTTTCTTTCGTAGTTTCGGGTTTTTTGCATCTTCTTTGTTCATTTCATTCTGATTATCATGATGATGATCATCTTGAAATAAACAATGAAAATAATTGAAATTAAAAACTGGAAAAGGCCTAAAATTGAAAGGCACGCATCAATTTTCTTATTAGATGGATTACAGTTGATAACAATGTTTACTATTTATCATTGAGAATCATGTTTTACAGCATAAGGAAAACAATCATCAGGTAATCTTTCCATGAAAACATCAACAAATTTTTAGATTAAATTGGTCTCATTTTTTTTGTTGATTAACCTTGCAAAGGCGATTATTTATTTTTTGTAAATTTTCTGGTTACATTCCCCTTTTATTTTTGGCGCTCTCAAGGTATCATATTGAAATCACATGGCAATTGGTGTACCTCATTCACCTTGGGATGAGTCTTCATTTTAGATGTATCATTAACATTGTATTAATCAAAATTATTGATCGTTTTAAGGCCTAAAAATGGTCATCAAAATAACTTTACCTTCAAATAGTGAAATTTGCGTCAGTAGGTTGTCACAACCCAACCGTCCAACGGTTAATCAATTTGTCTTCAACCTTTTGCTGCTAATCAGTATCAAATTACATTTATTGGAAAGCAATTGATTATGGCAACTTTAGATGCTTTCAAGTGTTCCAGGATTAATTACTGTAGTTAACAACCGACTCTCATTTTTTTGAGCAATAGATCGAATTGGTAACGATGGTTTGATTGCTACAAAAAATAGTCTTTACAAACCTCTAAACCTACAGTTTTAATACAATAACCATAGTGTATTTGATTATTGTGAAGGTTTAACTACTGATAAAATCATCCTGTTTTGATGAAAAAGGTCAATTATTAATATTGTTGAGCAATTGACTACCAAACTTCAGTTGATCCACCCGAACAACAGCAAAAATAACAAGTTAATCCTGTTAGAGTTTATAGCCTTCATGGATAATCTTGTTGATCATTCTATCTGAATCAGATTGATTTAGACAATTGAATGGCAATTGTTTCTCAAGACTGTTTAAGTACATTTTTTGGTCCTAATAAATGTCAGCTGACTCTAGTCAGTGTAATGTTTGTATTTGCATCAGTGTACCAATTTGATTACCTACATAATTAAAATAAACGTGTAGGTAGAGAGAGCAGTTAATTTGATCTTATAGACATCATGAGATTAAATTAAAATAAAACTAAAAAGCTGATTCTCAAGGTTGGTTAATTCAGTTGTTCTCAGAATCGATCAGAGAAAGTTAAATATCTTCCTTTATTCGCCTGTTGATTAAAGATTAAAATCAACGGGATTCCCTTAATTTCTTTTTATTTTTTAATCACAAATTTCATCTATTTTACCCTAAATGTTCAAAATTTAGTGCATTGGGTAAGATGAATGCAAAGTACCTCCAATAATATGAACAACTGGACCAAATGACAGAAATCTCACAATAACTTCTCTATCAGTCGTTAAAGGCTGAATTCTGGACAATATAATAGCGATAATTAATAGCTTTGAGTTTAATTTCGCCTGACCATAAATAAAGAAACAAATAAAGATTTAAATGGGAAAAGACAATCAAAAATGAATTGATATCAGCACAAATTGATTATTGCATTGAATTATAACAATGCAACTTCAATTTTGAATAAGTCTCAACAATCGCCTTTGATTAATTAGAACTGGCCAATATCGCTAAACAAGTCAGTTCGGATTTTGATTGTCAGTCTTGATTCTGTTTGATTCGGATTAACTGGATAAATATTGACATCCAAATGACATCAAAGTGACAATCTTTTCAGTCCTTAATTGCACTTTTGTGTAAGAGTTGTCAACTGTTCGAGCTTTTTGATTTATCGGTGAATTGAAATTATTGTGGAAGAAAGAATCAGAATTAAACAATTATTTAGATGAATGGCAATGAATACGAGATGAATTAGTTTTGAATTGCTTTCATAAATTAAGCATTTTCAATCGTCTCTTTGTTGCTCGGTCGATGATCGACTTGATCAACTTTAAGATGACTTTGATCATTTGTTGTTTTCAATGATTTGTAAATTGACTGGGAAAACATTACGCTAAAAACAGTTAAATAGAGCAGTTGAATAACGTTAAAATTTAAATATAATCCGTAATAATTTAATAAGAATAAATTGCTCTAAATCTTAAAGCCTTCATTTATTTTTTGGTTTGGTTTGAACAGTTATTCTTGATACTCTGTGTGTTGCAAATTAAGAACAGAAATACCTGGATAAAGTTCATTTTTGTGGATTCATTTTAAGTATAAATCTAATAAAAATAACAGACTTGAGCACAATTCAGATGTAAAGGAAAAAATTAAGAGTAATAATCAAAAGGCCGAAAAAATGTAACATTTGATAAACTGACGATCCTTACCTTCAATTATTTTCAGATATTTTACAAAATAATCTTTGAGAGGAAAGTCGATTTCTGCTAAAGATCTTGTTTTAGATGCGAATCTCAATATGTTACAGGAAAGGTTGAAATGCAGTCATGATAAACTCTGGAAAATTTTATTTTGAAGTTTGTAAAACAAATGATTTCTCATAACTATTTGTTTTTGTCTATTTATACCAAGAACGATATATTACGATATAATATGATTTTAAAAAGACTTGGAATCACTCCAAATTTTGATTTACGCGTTTCAGTTGAAACTTTTGATTGATAAGTTCTTTCGATAAAAGACAAATCTGATATGACTTTTCAGAGGAAAACTCAAGAATATTGAATGCTAGAAATGTGTCTCTACTCTGTATATTATTTGAAGAAAATTGTTTTCAATTTTAACCACAATCAACTAGATGTTGTTGCTTATGAAAATGGTACATGTATCTCACGATATATGCCATTTTCATACGGGTAGGTCAAACTTTGTGGCTTTATACCTCGAAAAATACGAGCCAGATTGCGGTCACTTTTATTTTATATTAATTAGCTTTATCAGGAACTTGAAGGTTTCTAAAAGACAGGGTATTCAGAAGCGACACAAAGACGCTTACCCAGCTCGAAAAAGCAGTTTACAATAGGATTATAAAATTTCAATGGAAACTTGTCAAAAATTTATAGCTGTATTTTTGAAAATCGTCTTATAGCGTTAATTGTAAAGGGGTGAGGGCCTTTTGAGCACCTATATCATTAATTCCCATAAAAATCTATTTAAATGCAAATTTTCAGATCAATAAAAAATCCGTTCTAAAGATATAGCCGTTTACTTTTTGACCTACTCGTTTGAACACCTTGTACTTGGGATGGATTGTATCCACAATGATTTACCAGACAATGAAAATAACTTATTCAGTGAGTAAATTTGTTCAATTTGTTGCTCGAATCATACATTTTGACAGTTTTTCAAATGCAGACTGGACAGATGATGAATTGGAAGAAACGCATTGATTATAAATCAGCTTGTTTAAATTTAAATTTAAATCTATTTTGTAATTAAGTATTGATTCATATCACACCAAGAAGCGTCACTTTACACATTTAGATGAATAAAGTAAAAATGTTTAATAGGAAATCAGTATCTTGCTTCATTCGGAATCACCAATTGTGCGTCTCAACAACCTTGAACCTAGTTTATTCACTTTATCGTAAAATACATTAGGGTGATAAAATGTGAAATATAACTTTATAAAATGTTTTGTGTCAATTCAGATTCAAACTCAAAGAGTTAAATCGAGTTTCGAGTTTTGTTGAAATTTACTCTAACGCCATCTATTGTATCAAATTTTGTTTATTGCTAAATTATTCTTGTTGCTAACATTTCAATAGAATGAATTGACACTTATTTTGATAAAAAAACAGCGACGACTATTATATTGGCAATAGTAAGGCAAAAGTACTGTAAAGTCTAGTAAATTATCCTAGCATCATTATTAACTGCTACTACTACTGTTACTAGGGCCAGAGCTTCAATTGTCTAGGTGAGCTTCAATTTATTTGGATATAAGGATAACGACGATATCGAATTTATGCTTTTATAATTTTTTTCAGACAGAAATAACCCATGAAGACAGATCTGCTGGACGTGATAATGTGTTTGAAGACCAAGTTGAGTCTGAAGAAAATCATGAGGTAAGGAATTGTTGAAAATCGTCAATTTAAAGATTAATTGAAAAATTACTCTTAAAATGACGCACACAATCTTCTATCAGAGTATCATTGTAGTCAAACAGAGTCGCTATTGTGCATAAATTCACTACATAATCTATCCTGATAATGATATAATCATGTTTTAACCAAAATATAAATATTTACAGACATCAGACTTGCCCCATAAGCTTATCCAAATTGCACAACGATAATTTTAAGTGCTCAAGGTTATTCAAGGTCAATTCTTTATTTGACCTCTAATTGACATTGAAAGGTCATTTTCTGAAATTGCAAAATTTTTCTGATCCAATAGTCTTAGTTACATATTCATAGCTTATACCATTGGAAAGTTGAAATGACTTTTTCCTGATCAACTGAATGTTAAGGGATCACCCATATCCTTTAGCCAGTATGAGTTAGGTTAG